ACGTGCATTAATTCGACCAAACCTTTTTTAAAAATCATCTACAAGTTGTCTGGAGTTCATATATGACTTTGTATTAGAGATTTGACCTTTGGCTGGCCTTTGAATGTTCAGAAACGAATATAGGGCCTCCGTAAGATTGCTTGCAATCTTAGATCGTTAGATCTCTAGTTATTATAAATGTTTATTGAAATAGAAAAGGCACAAAAGAAAAAGGGAGTCATTTGTAGAGAAAGTATGCAATTATGGGTATTACGGTTCAATGTGTCTAATATCTATTACAATCATTTACGTATGTGTTGTTAATAACCATGTGAAATGGAAGTCGTTAGTTAATAACCATTGCGAAATGTAAGTCGGTTAATCTGATACCTTGAAAACCAATTTATCAAAGACATAAAAAATAGAAATGAAAAATAATATTCTGGCCTTTTCTCTTAGTCTTGATAGGTGGTGATTTTTTGCATGCTAATGCCTTGTATATTACATATAATACTAATGGGTTCAGGCCTGTAGCCTGTAGGGGGGTTAGGGGGGGGGGTTCGGGCAAACCCCCCTGGCCAAAATTTCTTTCAAAATCATGCAGTTTTTCACCATTCTGACTATTTTTGAGTGATTTTTGGCCAAATTTGCCAATGTGAACCCCCCTGGAATTTTTGTGGAAAGTGAACCCCCCTTGGAAAATTCTGGCTACGGGCCTGGGGTTATACGATTTTTACCTTTTGTTAATATGTAATAATGGTAGTAAGATTATAATACAATTATGTAATATATGGGTATTAAAAGCAATTAAATTACATAATAATAAACACATGGTCGGTCTGACAGTTGTAACTCTCCATAATGATAACTCTAATCAAAAATTTTATTTCATAAAATTGGAGCATTCGATAGTCAAACAGAAAAATGAGTGTGATGAGTACATGTGTCATATTAGACAAAGCTGTGCCTGTTTCTGTTTTGCTTTGGGATCATATTGCTTTTGATGTGACATATCATAACTTTTTTGTTTTGCTTGATTCTATTTCTGTTGTTGAATAACCATTGCGAAATGTAAGTTGGTTGATCTGATACCTTGAAAACCAATTTATCAAAGACATAAAAAATAGAAATGAAAAATAATATTCTGGCCTTTTCTCTTAGTCTTGATAGGTGGTGATTTTTTGCACGGTAATGCCTTGTATATTACATATAATACTTATAGGTTATAAGATTTTTAATATGTAATGATGGTAGTGAGAACATAATACAATTATGTAATAATATATGGATATTAAGAGCAATTAAATTACCTAATAATTATCACACGGTCTGATAGTTGTAACTCTCCATAATGATAACTCTAATCAAAAATTTTATTTCATAAAATCCGAGCATTCGATAGTCAAACAGAAAAATGAGTGTGATGAGTACATGTGTCATATTAGACAAAGCTGTGCCTGTTTCTGTTTTGCTTTGGGATCATATTGCTTTTGATGTGACATATCATAACTTTTTTGTTTTGCTTGATTCTATTTCTATATCATATTTTATGGTATTATTGAACAATATGTATTGTTGAATAACCATTGTGAAATTTAAGTCAGTTAATCTGATACATTAGAAAAACAATTTGTCAAAGACATAAAAATAGAAATGAAAAATAAAATTCTGGCAATTGATATGCCATTTCATGTCATATTTGAGCTCCAATCAAATACCATAAGATAATATTAAGTAACTGATAATTTATCTGCCTTTCTCAGAGTCTAGAATTGTTCAAATTCTTGGACCCTTCCCCCCTCAGGAGGGTTCAGAGGCTTGAAGCGATTCTATAGAATACAATGCTTATTATTTCGTCATATATGGGTAATAAGGGCAATTATTTCCATGACCATAACACATATTATTACCACCTTGCCCGGCCAGTTCTAGGGGTTTTAGTGCTAGTTTAGAAGGCATTCATTTTACTATATCGACCTGAGAAATGTGTGACATCATAGTGGTGGTCCATATGGACCGGTCTAGAATATATTCTGGACCGGCAAATTTTCCCTGGCAAATTAATTATCGTTCAGTGCGTAAGATTTTCTTGCTATTTCAGCCCTGGTCGTTAATGGCGATAATAATACTAATAACGTCATTTCTGCCCTTAGAAATGACGTTATTGTACTAATGACTGCAGTTATTGGCCTAACAATCAGATGAACTGATATGTCTAATGATATATGATGAAATGGTGAAAGAGAAAAATGTATCAGAATGAACATGAACATGCATGGGTAAATCACAAAGCTTGTAAATACATGTATTCTCAAATCATAATGATTGAGAAAATGTATAGTTTCTTATTTTGCTGCATGTTCTCTTGTATCTCTTATTCATTTCATTCAAACTGAGCCATTAACCCTTTCATGACGATAGGCTCCATATGGAGCCCTATTACGTTATACCTTTCAGGAGGATAGGCTCCTTTTGGCACCATTATCCTTATTTATAAACATCAATGAAATGACAATATCTCCAGTTCTATCCAATAGTTTTAAACCAAATTTTGACATTAAGTTGTTTAATTGTGATAATCCTTATCAAAAAATGTATTTTAGTGATATAATTTTGGGTATAGACCCCGGGGTGTTGGTAATTTACAGATTCTCCCTCAAAAAACGCTCTTACTTATCCGTCACCAGGCCAAAATTTTCTTCTTAAATTCACGTCACAAAAGGGTTAAATGTCCTCTCTTGATCATTCTGTTTAGTGTCTGTTTTCATTAATATAGCTGAGACTCTTGTAACCATAGCAACCACAATGACTGTCATCATATTACATATCACAACTTGAGATACAATATACAATAGGGCCAGTATTAGTAAGATAATATTATACAAATATTTCATACCGTTGACAACAAGTATTCACTGAAAATATAATGAAATATTTGTTTTATGTATTCACTGTTATATTCATCACTCTCTAACTGTTAGGAATATCTTATTAGAACAAGAATGATTAGATTTTTTTGAGATTACACTAACTGAAACGCCACACCTGCCTGGTATGGTGAATACACTTGTTAAATACGCCTTTTTTCTGATGTCACAGGTAATGTGTTTTATTTGTCCGCGACGTGTCCTGTAATGTATAGGCCAATGGGAGAGTGGGGAATGACAGTGATATAATAATACAATATACGTTTGGCATCAATACTGAGATATATACATGTTCATAACAAATGTGTTTTTTGTTTTGTTTTATTATACTCTTTACTTGATGTTGTATTTTATTTGTTTCAAGTTTTTGACATAGAATGTCATGGGAGATATTTGTATTTCATACCTACTGAGGTTCTAGGTACATAACGACAGGAATATATACATATTTACCTTGGGATAAACCCTGTATCCTAAACCTCCCAGTACATAACCCTTATGTATGTTCAGCAATTTTGGAGAATATGCTTGTTGATATATTTCATATTTCCTTTTTTTGTATGTAAATTTCTACACATGCACATATTTTATTTCTTTGAAATGTTAAAATTGTGTGAAGTCATATGATTTTGAATAAAATTTGAATGATATTATATGATTTGAAATGATATTATACAATAATGTTCAAGTATTATACAATAATATCATTTGACTTTTAGTGATATCATATGATTGATAGTGATATTACATTTGTATAATATCATTTGATTTATAGAGGATATCCTATGATTTATGAGTGATATGATTTTTATCCACGAATGAATATGATATATGCACGAGCGAGTGTAGCGAGAGAGTGCAGATATCAATATCCATGAGAGGATTAAAATCATATCACAAGTAAATCATAGGATGTTCTTTTTATTCCATAGTTATAAAGTCATCATCAGAATCGTCAGAAATTAAGTGATTTAATTCGAATTTTCCAAACGATCCAGCGATGTTGACACTTAGCCTCATTTTGAGTCTGAAGTAGCAAAAATCCATAAACGATCGCATACGGCGCCGTATGTCATGGCTAAAAAACCGTATGCTATTGTTAAGTGAAAATTTGTCAAAAATATCATATTTTACCACTGATTACAAAAATACCATTTTTATTTTCACATGTTATCCTATGAATATCATGCCTAATATGGAATAAATTGTGATACCATATGATTGACAGCAATATTGTATGTGTATCATATCATTTGATTTTAAGTGATATCGTATGATTAGTAGGGATATTATATGTGAATAATATCATTTGATTTATACTGTGATATCATATGATTGACAGCAATATTGTATGTGTATCATATCATTTGATTTTAAGTGATATCGTATGATTAGTAGGGATATTATATGTGAATAATATCATTTGATTTATACTGTGATATCATATGATTGACAGCAATATTGTATGTGTATCATATCATTTGATTTTAAGTGATATCGTATGATTAGTAGGGATATTATATGTGAATAATATCATTTGATTTATACTGTGATATCATATGATTGACAGCAATATTGTATGTGTATCATATCATTTGATTTTAAGTGATATCGTATGATTAGTAGGGATATTATATGTGAATAATATCATTTGATTTATACTGTGATATCATATGATTGACAGCAATATTGTATGTGTATCATATCATTTGATTTTAAGTGATATCGTATGATTAGTAGGGATATTATATGTGAATAATATCATTTGATTTATAGTGTCATATCATATGATTGACAGCGATATTATATTTGAATTATATCATTTGATTTTAAGTGATATCATATGATTGATAGTGATATTATACATGTAGAATATCATTTGGTTTTTAGTGATATATGATTGATAGCTATATTATGTGTATCATATTTTTGTCCAAAATGTAAAAATTGTTCTTATATTTTTTCTGGTCACCCATTTTTGTCCAAAATGTAAAAATTGTTCATATTTTTTTCTTGTCACCTTGTATACGAATGCAGGTCTCATTAACAATAATTATCACATATTCTATATCTTATATAATTGTGTATTTGCAGGTACTGAAATAGTATGGCACTATCAGATGTTGCATTGATGGAGTCGCCAGGAGGAACGAAGCGTTTTAACACAGCTGGCATGGAAGACAAAGATGGCTGCTCCCATTTACTTATTTCAATGTCTAGTTTGATCTCTCGTCAGATTGACTCATCTCTAAGTGGCTCTTCAAATAGTCCCTCTGTGGATGCTAATGATGACTGCTTAGCATGTAAACAATCAGAGGGTGCTGAGTCTCAGAATCCCTCCACCTCTGGAAATAGTTCCAGCGAAAGGTCTCTAGAACATACATGTGCCTCGAAGCAACCCCCTATTGATAGTGGCGCTGATCTTATCCAACGATGTATAAAAAGTACTGAGGCTAAGAAAAGGATTAAAGTAGTAGAAAAGGAGGCTCAGCCGAGGCAAGCTGTCCCTCAAGCACATTTAATCAATTCAAAAGTATCGAGCAGAGAATCGAGTAAAATGCATGAGGAAATCAATCAGGGTGAAAAAAGAGATGTAAAGGTCGATAAACATATGTTTAATGTGACTAATGCTAATGCCTCAGAGGCCAAACTTACTCAGAAAGCAATAGTCAATCCTGCCCTGATGAACATCTGTCAGCGGATTGAAAAGGTGATCAAAAAGCATGAAACATCAGAAACTGTTGGATCAGATAAAGAAACTCAGTCTTCAGTTATAAAAGCCCCTAGCCCAGGCGGAGCGCTGCCCTACCCTCACATTGCCCCTTACCCCCTCCCTATGGGTCTACCTTCCCGCACTTACCCCTTGGATGTTCCCCTCCAATCAAAGTCTGAGGTGCTTATTCACCAAGCTTCAATGAGTCAGAGTTCAAGTGCTTCGCCCCCTAGTAGTTCATCTAAGAGGCATAAACATGCTTTGTCTCCTCCCTCTTCTAGCCCAAGTACTCAAAGAATTGACGTCAAACAAGACGACAGTACCTGCACAATACAGAGAGAATCCACAATTCATCCAGCTGATGTTTCTCATTTACAGCGTTACCATAGCAACAGTCCTAGTGTTATTCATGCTAGTGGATTATTAAGCAGAGAAAGCACTGGAACGTCTCAGGCCTCAATGACATATCCGAGTCATTCCACATTCTTGCCTACTCAGGCGATATATGGCCAACCCCCCATCCATTACCCTCCAGTCGGCTTAGGAGGAGTTATTCGGCCCATGCCTACCATAGTTCAAGGATTTCACACAGGAATATCTCCTTTGCTCAAGTCTCCCCTAGTATCAAGGCCTATTGACCCAAGGGCTATGCCACCTTATCCCCAAAATAGGGATATTTTAACACTAACACCAGAATGGGTTAGGACTCCTTTAGATAAAAATAGACCCAGTGCGACAGGTGAAACGACACACGTCTCGACAGGTAAACAAAATCTCAGTTTGGATAGAGAAGGTAGCTATGAGAGAGAAAGGTCTGTAGAGGGTCCTAGAATAGGGAGCCAATTCCTTAATAAAGAACGAGAAAGGTCCCCGATAGAAGATCCTAGAGTAGATAAGCCTCACCTCTCAAAAGACCAAGAAAGGTATTCCATTGATGGTCTCATGATTGATAGATCTCATCTCACTGCAGAACGGCAAAGTTCCCCAATAGATGATCCTAGAATAGAAAGACCCCTTCTCACAAATGACCAAGAAAGGCCCCTTATGCTAGAACCAAGGCTCCTTTCCCATAGGCTACTCCTTACTCCCTCTTCTACCACTTATGGGCCTCAGCAGGAAACTAACATCAAAAACAGCCCAGGACAATCAAAAATGCGACGTCAAGCTTCCCCTGTAAATCCATCACATGCTGACACCTCTAAGATGCCACAAGCGTCATTCAAACATAGAATTTTAGATACTGCTCTTGATTTGTCCATAGCTCGAAATTCCCCTCAGTCTGAACCTGAACAACAGAACACCGCTAAACTGGAGACCGCAGTTTCAAATGATTCTCCACCTGTCACCACAGAGATCATGGATATTGTTAAAGAAATTGAAACATTACCGATGGAGAGTCGAAATTTGATAAATGTCTCGTCACATGTCATGCTACCTCCAAAGAAAAAAGGCTGGTCCGCCTATGTGGACTTTGGTGATCTTCCTGATTCAAATGTAAACAAACCCACTAGAGCAAGTTCCACCCCTCCAGGCGGGGCTACCCTTAAACGGACATCTGAAGAGGCGGAGCTTGAGTCTGATTTTCTAACAAAGGTTGTGAAACCGAACAAGCCCAGTGCATCAACATCTTCAAGTAGCTACAGAAGTGTCAGTGCAAATAGTAGCGACAGTGATGAACGCTCAACAGGGAGCTCGATTGAAGAAAAACATGATTCTGTGACTTTGGATTCAATTCCTGAGCAAATACCCATTGAGAAGAGCTCTGGTGTGCAATGGGCAACTCCAGATCAGGAAACTTCAAAACTAGATTCAGAAGTGACAAAAACTTTTACATCAAGCATTAAATCAAACTCAGGAACCCAAAAAACTGTAACACCTGCATTAAAAAAATCGGTGTCTATGGATGATGGACATTGTAAAGCTGTAGACCTTATCGAATTGATTATAGAGCGAGGTTTTAGTGGAGGTCGTATCGAGGATTCAAATGAACAGTCGGGGAAATTTGGTAACTATGATCATTTACTAAGAAGGATTCCGCCATCACCCCCTCCATTCACAAGCAGCTTAACTAACATCTTTTCAACTCCGACTATACATAAACCATCCAATCAGAACACTCGTGTTCAGTCATCACAGTCAACTAAGATCTCAGGTACGATAACCCACTTCGATTCGGTTAAACAGCAAACTGTTCCTTCGACAAGTTCAGCCAATCGGGAGGCTGTTTCTCATAACGCCAATCAGGGTAAAGTTCCTGTAGAAAAGGAGTCCCATATTTCAAATGTAGTCAAGGACCAAATATGGGCATCAGGCAGTGATTTGTCGCTCTCAACTCATGATAAGCAATCTCTGTCTAAAAATAAACATATTGGACAATCGGCATCTTACCCCTCGTTGCTTCAACATGGAAAAGACGAGCAAGAGAATATGGAATCACTTTCCCAGAAAAGATGTCACTCACTGAATATGATTCAGTATTTAAAGAATATGGATATACAGGAACAGCCTGATCAATTCACTTATCAGAGATTGTATTCACAGTTCAAAAGGATGAAGGACTCTGTTGGGAATACTAGCCCAACAGGGCAATCTGGTGTGTACTCGAATGAACCAGATAAAACTGGTTCTGTGACTAAACAGGACACTTCTGGTTCACATTCAAGTCAATGGAAATAATTCTGCATTTTGATTATAATACTAAATGTCATGCACGTGATTTAACTTCTTGAATACCAGGCTCTAAGCAGGGGTGATCCTGAAAGAAAAATCAATTTTGAAATTTTCAATTTTTTAGAAAAAATACAAATGAAGGCCCAAAATTAAAAAAGTATGCCCAGTAATGCCAGTTTGTTATCTAAATTGCCCAATTGACAGGATTTTGGGGGTTTCATGACCGCAACTGCTAAGAGGGCTTTGAAACCGCAGAGTCTTATTATTTTTTGCCAGATTTAGAGTTGCTGACCATATGGCATGGAGATGTTCTATTTTGCAGATTTGTACATACTTGTATGGGTTCAAACCCAGGTCACAGCACTTCTTGTGATTTGTCTTTGACCTATGACTGCTGACCTATACCGGCGATTACTAGAGTGCTGCTAACTCGATAAAAGGCTGGCGCTGGCTAGAATTGTCTATGGTTCTAGCCAGGATAAAGATACCAGTTCTTCAACTCGACAATGGGAAGAACTGCTCTACCTAAGTGACTAATATGTCATGATATGACATCTAAAGAGTCGATAAAAGATATATATATATATATATGTATAGATCGACTACACATCTCTGGCTTCCCAAGAATTTTCATTTGTAATGAAAATATCATCCATTCTGAGTATTCAAGAGATTGAAATGGTACATTGAAAGGGTACTGAAGAAGTTCATGACTGGTAAAATAGATTGGAAAAATAAATTGTTTGGTGTATATTGAAAATATCAGCCATTCTGAGTGTTGAAAAGGTTGAATTGAAAAATACAGTAAAACCTGTGTATATTGAACATTTTTTGCTAAGAATAAATGTTCAGTGTTGCTAGGCATTCACTACAGAGAGTGTAATTTATACAGAAGTCAGTAGATTATGTGCCGGTGAGAGGTACCCAGTAGAGATGGGTATTCACTAGAGAGAGGTGTTCACTCAGACAGGTTTCACTGTAGATTGAAAAAATAAATTGTTCAGTGTATATTGAAAATGTCAGCCATTCTGAGTATTTAAAAGGTTGAGTTCTAAAATAGATTGGAAAAATAAGTTGTTCACTGTATATTGTATATATCAGAATATCAGCCACTGCAGAATGACTGATAAAATTGGACCCTTATTATCTTAAATGAAATGACGTCTAAGTATAAAGTTATACATGGTAAATTTCATATGAATTACTGGTATTTCAAATCTGTTCGTGACAAACCTATTTCAATGCTCTTATTTTTTTCTAGATCATCGGATAAAGAAAAATAAGAAAACAATAAACATTACAATTTCAAAAAATGAGACTGATTGGCTATTCTAAAATTTGGTGCCCAGGGCAAAAAATGTTTTTTTCCTTGTCTTAGTTATTTTGAGGTTAAACTTTTGTCGGAAATATACCTTGTTTTGTTAACATTGTAAACAAGTCTGTTTCCTTATTAAGCTATAACTAAGAGGGGGAGAAACCCAAGGGTTCAAAGATGACATACGCTTATAATGTAAATCTGTATTGAGATGACATCATTGCTGATTGGTTTAGCGAGTTGATCATTGATTTGTTTAAAACTATGTCAATCTGAAAACTTTGAAAACCAAGATGGAGGGTAAACAAATATAGTACTTCCGGGAAAGGAGGTGCGCGAAGGAGGAAATCGTATGTCATCAATTGAATCATGGGGTTTTCCCTCCTCTTGCTATAACTGTTGTTGTATTTACAAATAGAAATTGAGGTCTATTACCATAGAGGAATGAAGGAAACGTGCATAAACAGTAAATTAAAGGAACTTAAAATTAAAGGAATTAGTGGAACACCATTGATAACTCAAAAAGTGTTCCACTTTGGGTGTTCTAACCCCGGTTCTAACACAGGGTTATTTCACCTAATATTTAGGACAAATAAAAAAAATCATGCTATTCATTTACTAAGAGCAACTGTAGTACAATTTATTACAAATAAATCTATTTTATGTTTTCACTGTAAATTACATGTTTTCTTCTGTTTCGTCACCAATAAAGGATCTGTCATTATAAGTATTTAAAAGTGCCCCCAGAGCTTTCATAACCAATATGACATAACATTGTATTAAGTAAGGAGTTCATTATGACATAGTGTTCAGGTACATCCTGTGTTACTTTAATTAATCCAGTTTATGCATGTACACATACCCCATTCTCATATATGTCGTAACACCGGAAGTTACCGGAAGTTTAAGACGTTATACCCAGTATTTTCGGCGGGAGATTTGTAAGATCTTATTTATTTCGACGTTTTCACAGAATATGGTCCCTAATCTCCCGCCGAAAATACTTGTATAACGTCGTAAACTTCTGTTGTTACGACGTATAAGAGAACGGGGTGTGATACAGCACTAGTATAGTCAACATCAAAAATGGCTGCCCTAATTATGTGCTATATTTTTTGTTCAACCTCACTGGTACAGTGGTGCTGCTGGCCCTGCCCTTGCATTTATTTCATCTCCAAACTTTGACTAATCACACTACTATACCTAACACTTAGAAATGCATAAGATACTTTGTTTGTCTAATTGAATTGTTTAATATATTTTTGAAAGTGCCTTACTAGCATCTAATTTTCAACCGATAAACCATTCATAAGGAACAGACAAATAAAAACAAATACATAATCATTACTAATAAGCCAAATGGGTTGCTCATGAACACCAAATGCAAGGTATAGTAGTGTGTAATGTTTCTATTGAAGATTAAATGAGTGGGTGAGGTCTGTGGAAGCAATGAACCTTTTGAACATATAGGCCACCTCAATACATCAGATCGGGTAACTGAAAAACAACTACAGTGCTCACCATAAATAAATGACACCTGGATTTGGTAAAGTGAGGATTTCCCATGTTAAAAAGAACAGAATTTTCAAGAGGCTATACATCAGTGGATGAGAGTATACAAAATGTAAAATATACAAAACTTAAGCGATGTGTATCTATACATTATAATTGGAAAGTATGAAGTCTCAAATCACCATGGTCTCGAAATGGTGATAGAAAATCTAGGTGTCATTTATTTATGGTGAGCACTTTAGCATGGTATAGGGAAGCAGGTCACATTTGATTGCATCCGACCAATAAAGCATTAGCTTGTATTCGCGAATGCAAACTAACGGCTACCGGATTAACCTATTAATTTGCATGAATTAAGCCGTCAGTTTGAAGTTGTAATTTACGAACAGCTCGTTTGTCAACTAACAGTGATCCCGTGACTTTTTATGCCATCACAATCCGAACACCTCGATACTCGGTGTTTGGTTAGTTTTAATAGCCAGATTAAATCGTTATTTAGGCCAGCTATTGCTATCGGGGCGAGAGCTGGCAACTAACGGGACATCTAATTGCAATCAATCCGATAGCCGCTAAATGCATTTGCGAATACAAACTAAAAAGCTAGAAAATGTATGTAACCTTTTACCGAGAAGTGGGTCACTCTGGGAATCGCCTGAAAACATATTCTTGAGTTTATTTTCAGTCAGTCTCATCCTAGCTACTGCATTTCAATCTACAGATTCTGAACTAACGTCTTTGTCTATGCAAATCAGTCCGAAATACTAAAGTAAAATATTCCTCGTAAATATGAAGTTTTGCTTACAATAGATAATATATGAAGTTCGAAATCAAAAGTTGATGATTAAAGATTATAAATCGATAAAAGTTATACACTATTAAAATGAATATTTCTCAAAGGATGTTAAAATGCCTCTTAGTCTAATGCCCAACCTCGGCATAGTTTATAATATATAAAATGTAGCGATCAGTCTTGTGGTCTAGCCACAAGCCCGTGTGACCCCCCCCCCCCACTACAATAAGTGTGAGAAGGTGTTAAGTCAAGTAGAAGGGGGGTCACAGAGGACAGAGGCTCGAAGTAAGACTCTATTTTGCATCTTTTAGCCGAACATGATCATGATGAACATTTTTCGGTAGCGATCGAAAATCCAATTTATATCGCGGTGCACTATTCTGCTTGGTTCCCCCCTGTAGCTTACATCGGAACCAGCTATCTTTACAACAGCAACACTACATGCATCCGTAGTAGCAATTTCATTGTATAAGTCTCTTGCCCCCTGTCCATATAACAGGATATCATTAGTAACAAACCTACGACGATTCAAACTTGTTCTCGCTTTTTGAAAGTCCATTGTCCCAGCGTCGCGGTCCTTACTTGCAACTACGATGTTTCGTCCATTTTCTTGAAATAATTTATGCCCACCGCATACACCAACAGTATGCTCCTTCCAACCAGCTATCGGTTCATAAATGACGACAAACCAAACGTGCCAATCGTACTTTTCATTTAACATTTCGTACAGTCCTGCACTGAAATCTGAGTTACTCATGCCATTGTTGTTGATAGCGTATTTTTTAATGTCAACAAGAGATTGATCATGGTATCTCTCCATCACTGCCGTGTCGATTTGTTCAAAATTTGATTTAACCGTTTGAATCTTGGTTTTCCATTCTTGTTTTCTCTGTTCGGCAATCTGTTCAAACCCTTTCTCTTTATAATATAATATGCAAGTTCTACTTCAGCTGCTTGGAGCAGGAGTCGCATTATACCAAGAAGAAAATCCCGCGTCTTCTTATGATCATTTTTAGTGTAGCGCATTACAGATTCTCCGAGATTTTCCTGAAATGTACCTTGGACGATTGCATTGTACAATTTTAACCCGCTAAGCTGATAATCACTTTCGAAGTGTGTTACGAATACACTTTTCCTATTCGCTGCTGGTGCCCCGCCGGTATAAAGCTGTCTGAATTCTACATCCATTGCCAAGATCTTTTGTTCGATTTGTCCAAAGTTCACCGCCACCTTAGTCCAATCAATCATGCGTTTAATTTCATCAAAGCGCGAGTCCAGTCGGTCGAATCTGTTATCGATGTGTTTCATCATCGCTTTTAGGTATGTGAGTTCTGCCGAATCAACTCCTGGTATTAACGCTAGGATAAGACTGAGAAAAGGACCGAATACACCCAAGAACGGGGCGATACTTTTGCCTATTTCAGTTAATGCGTCTCTAAAATTCCTCTCTGTAATAAGGTCAAGAATTGCTTTCCCAGCCTCGAAGCCCTTTTCGATTTTTGCCTTGTCATCGTCACTTATTTCGCTTCTATTTTGTTCTATCGAGGCTAGAATTACAACGATTAGCAACCATGGGAAATGTCCACCTGAAATGAAAAATGAGAACGATAATGTCGTATAGTGAAGTACAAAATGGATACACACTGTTCTGTTTGATGACGTGGAGTTATTTACCGATGAGAGGTTCTTCACTCATTTGAAAGTTTTTAGTGACATTACGGGTTGTTTACTATTAAGCCCGGTATACACCAATGGGGCAAAATCCCACTTGCCCCATCGAGTCCCATCTTGCCCCATCGAATCCCAATTTGCTCCATCGAATCCAACGAAGTCCCGTGGGACCTTGATGACTTTGCCCCATCGTACCCTATGGAGTCCCATCAAATCCCACCGTGCCCCATTGGTGTATGTTGGGCTTCACACAACAAGTCATGATTGAAAATCCCACGATGCCCCATGGCAAGAATGAACATGTTCAATCTCGATGGGACCCCATGGGACTCCGTGGGATTTTGCCCCATCGAGTCCCCCCGAGTCCCACATGGGATTTCATGGGAGTATGGGACCTCGTGGGACTCGATCGCGTCCAGGCTCATCGTACGCCACCGAACGGACCTTAATTTTAGTTTCAAAGTCACCACCCTTTTCATGGAGTTTTTTTCAGCGTCTTAGATAACTAATGTACAAATGTAAAGACACCTTCGCATATCTATTTAAAAAATTGATTTTAGTGTTTTTTTTAGTTTTTACTAAAATTACACGGCCTGTCGTTTTTAGTGTAGAGCTATATATTTACTTTATAGAAAAAGTATGAATTAAAAATACCTCCGAATATCCTTTTGAATGGATCCATGTCACATTCTCCAGGTCGTGATCCAGACGTTGTAAGATTCGATCCCGGGGATTCGATCTATGGAAGGCTGTTGTCGGTAACTGGTGTAATATCCGACATTCATCATTTAAATAACTTATCCTCAATTTCCCCCAAATTGATGGAATTAAACGCATTTTTCATCATTATAAAAGTCAGTCTCAATAACTAAGTCAACACCCGAAATTAAAAATTTAAAAAGCCTATCCTCAAATTTCCCCCAAATTGGTTCCGTTTTTTCAATCTCCTTTTAAATTATTACAACTCAAAGTATCAAAGAATTGCAATAGGTCATTATACAATTAAGAATAACAGTATGGACCAAAGTTACAAAAAAATGTTTACAATTAGGTTTTTATTTCTAGTAATTTTTGAAACAGAAAAGTTATGTTTGAATTTTTCTTCAGTAATTATTTTGATAAGTGTACAACGAAACAAATAAAATGTCATTTGTATTTGGGATTAGACGAATATCTGTCCGACACATAAAATAAAAATTGCAAATGCTAATATAGAAAGAGTATTGGATGGGATTTTCGGAGTTATCAAAGACTCAAAATTACCTTGAGCACATCACATAAATGGAAAAATAATAGAAAGGTTTCCAATAATTAAAGTCAATTGCACCCCATGTTTAGTTACAGACACCCTTGTCCCTTGCTGAAATCCATATTCCCTAAGAAATACTCAAGTTGATCGAGTCTCAACAAGTAGATTCACGTGGGAGAGTATTGGTAGAATTATTAAACAAGACATCGGGCTTGCTTTTTAGAACATTTTGTTGACTACGCGGGCAGTTAAAAAATGCAGTCAAGGTATGTGAAAACCGCCCATTAAACATGGTCCAAAAGAGCAGGTCACATTTGATTGATTCCTCTCAATATAAAGGACTGGTTGCCTTCTAGCTATAATGAATGTACAACTCTATGTGAGTATGTGGATTTCAGACCTACTGGTGAAATATGGACATTACCATAGTTTTTGATAGAGATAATGTACACTGTACAGGGTGGCCGGTGGCCACGGATATAGATGAAATTCTGGAAATCTGTAACTTGAGAAAACACATTGAAGTATAATGAATCTTTTTGTGATCATAAATTTAGTGTTGCATGTGGAACGAATTCACTGTAAATGAATAAACTAATTCAATGCCGATTGAGGACACTCGGGAGTTATATTATGCATAACCCCAGGGGAACCCTCAGCTGACAGTCTTCAGTCTTCCATCGCAATTATCACGTTTGAAGGCAAGCTTATGTGTATTTAAATGAACTAACAATAATTACAGACTGTTTTTTTGAACTTCAGTTCACCTTTAAGTTACCAGAGTTTATCGCAAATAAGCCCTACGCTGGTTACCGAAACGGTTTACAAAATATTGGAACGTCGAAGTACGATTTCTCTTTTTTTCTTATGTCATATGTTGTAGGCAGAATTCCCACGACATTTTTTATCACAGATGTGTGTCAGTATCATATGAAAATGTACATGTTTGCGAACGAATAGTTCAGAAGTTAATTCCTCACTTAAGTTACGTAAACGGAACTTCAAAAACCAGTTAAGATCTGCACTTTTAACCCGTCGTTAAAAATGTCATGGGAGTTCTGCCGACAACGAGTGAAATAAGGAAAAAAGAAAAATCCATACAATTGACGTTCCGACATTTTGTTACCGCAACCAGCCGAAACGAACCGTTTCGGTAACCAGCGTAATCGAGCGGATCACCATAGTACCAAGCATGAACCCTTTAGGTAAAATATATGTCATGGTTTAGGGACAAAAAATTATGTCATTTTAAAGTAAAGTTTTTATTTTTACGATCGATGCAGTTAGAATCTCTAAGAGAGGCATATTTGAACGCCTCACTTATAACATCCGTTTATGAAATTTTAAGGCATGCACTCTCAAACAGCCCCAAACAACCATCAAGACTTGGTCGAATTCATGAATAATTGAAAAAAATCGTTATCATTATCTTCCTAAAATTTGATTATATCCAGCGGTAAGGTCAAAGAAGAAACAGCGGTAAGGTCAAAGAAGAAACAACCATCAGAAAACTTGATGGTATCCAGCAGTAACGTCGAGGAAGAATTGTAAGGCGTTCGATTGCATGTGACTCGTGACTCTAATTGATTATTAGACATGCCCTTGAAATATATGAACATTCCAATACCTCTGTAACATTTAATTAGATATAAATCTTACTTATTTGTTATTATATTATGTTTTTTACAAAACATGAACATAATTTGTTATTTGACCCCTTGCGATTATATGGAAAATCTGGTAATAAAATGTTTTAAATGGTAAGAAAACGAATATGTTCCCAATCATAAATTACCTTAATATTCCACACAATTTTGTTGAATTTGCTTGGCTCATATTTGAAAAATCAAACAAAATCTGAAAAATACACTTGCGTAATTACACTAATTAAACACCGACATCTACAATAAAATTATAGTATATTTTTACATTATGATAATCTGTTTTTTGTTCGTATGCTTAGGATAACTGTCTGTGTCTTATAAAATGTATAAAAGTTCGAATCAAAATATTTACGTTTTTTTACCCCTTGTGATGAAAGACATTTTCGACCCGAAAACCGAAAGTTTTTTCAGCAAATGGTATTTTAAAAGAATCAAGACGTATGCACCTCCATAAATATTGCTTCAAATGTTGCAGCGCTATAGTGTGCTACGGATCCTTCATATTCGGAAGTAATAACATGGACTAGTATGTGAGTATGTGGATTTCAGACCTACTGGTCAAATAGAGACATTACCATAGTTTTTGATAGAGATTATGTACAGGGTGGCCACGGATTTAGAGAAAAATTCTGGAAATCTGTAATTTGAGAAAAGCATTGAAGTATAATACGTATATTGAATCTTTTTGTGCGCATGAATTAAATGTATGTGTGGAACGAATTCACTGTAAATGAATAAACTAATTGTATGCCGATTGAGGACACTCGTTCGCCAAAGGGAGTTATATATAGTAGCCCGGACAGAATTGTTCAATGGTCACTTTTTCTTTAATAACTTCTTTAATTTTCAGTATTATCAGAGTCTGATCACATATTTGAAAACTAGTGTAAAATTCTGACATACTAAAAAATATTTAAGGAACATCTCCTAATTAATTGATATTATAGGCATTCATAGAATGACTGATGAAATACATAATTCATCATTTTGCCTCATATTTGTTCAAAATGGCGGCATATTTTGGGAATTTGAATGTTCAGTTGAAAGTTAATATTTAAAGATTGTCATAGGACTATAGGGCCATGCTGCCACCGTTACAATCCTTATGTAATGCAGCAACTGACCAGTCATCAAATACAAGAAGTCAAATCCCTCCAAGGGTATATGAAATCAACTCTATTGAAATGTTTGGGGTTGTGTTCAAGAGGATGTGAAAAGGTGGCGCCCTAATGCGCGGGATGTGATGAGAGTAGGTCCTTAATCTTTTCAAGAGCTCCAAGCTTAACAGCCATCTCAGAGGCCATTGAAAAGCTGAAGAACAATTCACATGCATGCCAAGGATGGGTAAAGAGGCGTGTGACTGGGAAAGATATTACTAATGCCTGGGTCACATAGCCGCCGGGCGCCGGCCGATGAGTAGTCATCGGCCGATTTATAAATCGACCGGGCGCCGGTGACTTTTGACCGATGTCTTGATCTAATCGTGAGTATGGTCACATTAGTACAGGCATCGTACGGCGCCCGCAATCAATTGAATCTGAAAGACATCGCACGGGTATCGCAAGGCTATCGACCGATGGCCGTACGGGACCCGCCAGGACATCGGTCGATTTACAGGCCTCTAGATTTATACTAAATCCCTGTATGACCTAGTATGACTGTTCCACATGGCGTGAATGCAACATTTGAAAACGAAATACTTTGATAAACAGGACTTCCAGGATAATAATGTTTTCATGCAATAAAAATCAGAAAAAGAAGATCCTCTTTTGAGTAAATAGGTTCAATATTTAGAAAAAATGTTGACATGGGGTCCCTATTCATCATTTTTCGAATTGTTTGATTGATATTTTTATCATCATGGGTACTTCAATTGAAAGAAAACATATTGTTTTAATAAAAACACTCTATTTGTGCCCAGAAGGTACTCATGGTGAAAGATATGACCGTCTAAAATCACTTGCCATACTGGACGTGGTCTTTTCATCAAAGTGCACCCTGATCTTAATTCATTTTTAGATCTTTCATATAAAAAATACTATGTCTACCTGTCCATCCGATGCTATTAGCAAAATTCCCTATTTCTCCATCTTTCTTTCGTCTGTTCTTGTAAAGAGAATTAGTTTGGTCATAAAAATATGGCTTCAAAGAAATTGGCATATTTCTTCTGTTTCAAGTGGAGTACCCGCTTCCCTATAGACACATCTAAATCTTCATCATCCACCAGCTCAGTAGCATTGTTATTGTCTTTTTCCACCTGTCTTCCCAAGGCCTTCCTCATATATGGCCCATTGGCCTCATCCCCTCTATCCTTAGCCTTTGGCATATTACGTTGTAATTGAGACGTAATTAATCGTAGTAAAATTGTGACCCTTGAAATTACTGTACTCACAAAAACATTCCAAAGGTTTTTAAAATGAATGATTTGTAATGGTATATGCATGAGTGAATATACGCATAAAAATGTAACACTCTATTCAATGTGTATGACAGACATACACGATTAACGTCAATATAAGAACGACTAGATCAACCCACCCACACAGCCATTCAAATGTGTGTCATTGTTTTACAGTAAGCTTAATCGTTCCATTTATGTTTTATAAAAATCTCTGACAGTGTGTAGTAATTATAATTCCTTATCTCATTATTTTTAAAACCTTTATATCACTTTATAAGTAATCATTATTAAGATTTATCCAACAAATCAGCACGCAAAATCCAAAGATGACCGTGCGATGCCACCGGGCGCCGTAAGATAATCGTACGATGATCGGGCGGGACACGGTCGGGTAGGTACCGATGAGTTTGGTTGAGAAAAAATCGCTAATTAAATAGCAGTTTATATTGTATGTAGTATTAAAAAACATCAATAATTAGATATAAATTATGGTTATGACGTCACAGTTGATATGCAAATAAGCTAATTTGCATAATTTTGAACCAATCATAAACTTTATTCCTTAAGCTTTCATTTGGCGTTAATATCATCAAAATCGGATAAAAAATGACAGAGATATCTCTAATAATAGAAATAGTCCTCATTAACAGTGGTGAAATTCACTTGCCATGGAAACGGGCGTCTAAAACATCATTGTCCCTCATTATGATTTAAAATATATATTTTTTCACTGAAGGCATATATAAACGAAGAGATTAAGGTATGACACGTCCTTATATACTCTGAACTATTAATCTCCTTTAAATTGCACAATTGAGAATTTCACTCCTCACCTATAAGACATCGGCAACTTTTATCTCCGCGATAAAACTCTGCCGGCGCCCGTACGATGTCTAAAAATCGGCCGATGAGTGGCGATCATCGCCCGGCGCCCGTACGATGCCCGGGCTCGCCGGCCGATTTTGAACAAAATACTCATCGGCCGGGCGCCGCAGTGAAAATCGGAGCCTATGTGACCAAGGCATAACTGTGGCAGTATGACCCTATAGTTACATGGGTTCAACTAGGGTTGCTAATCCACTGCGAGTTACAATGGAATGGCCAAAAAACTTTAAGTGCTGCGACCGTACCAATATACTGTTATGTACAAACCTTTTTATGTACTGGTATACATACAAGTCAATTTAAAAAAAGGTTATAAATGCAGTCATTACCTCATACCAAGGCAGCGGTCTACATGATTTTGTAGGCCTATGACTTTTCTTAAATATTAACTTTAATTTTAACTGAACGTTCAAACCACAAAACATGCCGCCGTTTTTTCACAAATATGAGACAAAATGGTGAATTATGTATTTGCGTCACTCATACTGTGAACGCCTATAATATCAATAAATTAAGAGATGTTCCTTAAATATTTTTTTTGTATGTCAGAATTTTACTCTAGTTTTTAAATAATATGTAATCAGATTTTGATAATACTGAAGATTAAAAAAGTTATTGAAGAAAAAGTGACCATTGAACAATTCTGTCCGGGCTACTATGTATGTTTACCATGTAACTGTATTGTAATTGTTTTTTTGCAAACACGTTTTTTCTTAAAGAGTTATATCATGCATGACCCTAGGGGAACCCTTTGGCAGTATCTTCCATCTTTCGCAATTATCATATTTGAAGGTATTTGTATTTAATGAACACATAATAATTACAGACTGTTTTCTATGAATTTCAGCTGACCTTATCAGAGTTTATCGCAAATACGCCTACCACACTGGTGATCCGCTCGATCAGCCAACGCTGGTTACTGAAACGGTAACAAAATGTTGGAACGTCGAAGACTGTACGATTTCTCTTTTTTGCTTATTTCATATGTTGTAGGCAGAATTCCCACCACAGTGTGTATCAGTATTCAGTATCATATGAATAAGAAAATGTACACGTTTGCGAACAAATAGTTCAGAAGACAACAGAATCGTCGATTTAATTCCTCACTTAAGTTACGTAAACGGAACTCCAATAACCAGTTAAGATCTGCACTTTTAACCCGTCGTTAAAAATGTCATTGGAATACTGCCTACAACGAGTGGTTTAAAGAAAAAAGAAAATCCATACAATCGACGTTCCGACATTTTGTTACCGCAACCAGCCGAAACGAACCGTTTCGGTAACCAGCGTAATCGAGCGGATCACCATAGTACCAAGCATGAACCCTTTAGGTAAAATATATGTCATGGTTTAGGGACAAAAAATTATGTCATTTTAAAGTAAAGTTTTTATTTTTACGATCGATGCAGTTAGACTCTCTAGGAGAGGCATATTTGAACGCCTCACTTTAACATCCGTTTGCAGACTTGCCAACCTCCCGTTTTTTTACGGGAATCTCCCGTAAATTTTTTGTTTTTCCGTAAAAAATACCAAACTCCCGTACCGTTTTCTCCCGTAAAAACTCCCGTACCGTATTTCTACTAAAATCTCCCGTAATTTTTTTAAAAAAATATGGCCGTAAAATCTCCCGTATTTTTGCTGAAATCTCCCGTAAAATCTCCCGTATTCTAGTATAACTCCCGTAAAATCTCCCGTATTCTTGGTATAACTCCCGTAAAATCTCCCGTTTTCTGGTATAACTCCCGTAAAATCTCCTGTATTTTACTCCAAGGATTGGCTCCCATGGTTCACTATCGATGCTTTTATAAATAACTTAAAAGTACTTCATTCCCATGATTCAAATTGCTTTTCTGCGATCAGTTCGGTATAAGTTTGCACACCAAATGTCCACAAACGGTGGCCAATTCATATTCTGTCATACTTCTGTCGGGAGAATACATTTTGTTTTTATATGGCGCTAAACAAAATATTCCCGCAATATAAGGCGCATTATGGGGAGGGACTGCTGTGAAATAATGAACGTAAGTGACATCTATCTTAGATTATAAGTTCTTAATTAATTTATTAACTGAGCATGCGTCATAATAATTTCAACCAATTAAATTGCTGGATTTAATGCTCATGCGCGAAAAACCGAACCTAAGAATGGAACCTCACGCAGATTGTAAAAGTAAAAGTAAATTAAAAACTCCCGTTTTTTCAAAATCTACCGTAAAAACTCCGTTTTTTCAGAAATCTACCGTAGAAACTCACATTTTTTTTCAAAATCTACCGTAAAAACACCCGTTTTTCAAAATCTACCGTAAAAACACCCGTTTTTTCAGAAACCTACCGTAAGAACTCCCGTTTTTCCGAAATCTACCGTTAAAACTCCCGTTCTTTCAAAATCTACCGTAAAAACTCCCGTTTTTTCAAAATCTAAAGTAAAATCTCCAGTTTTTTCAGAAATCTACCGTAAAAACTCCCGTTTTTTCAAAATCTACCGTAAAAACTCCCGTTTTTTCAGAAATCTACCGTAAAAACTCCCGTTTTTTTAAATCTACCGCAAAAACTCCCGTTTTTTCAAAACCTACCGTAAAAACTCCCGTTTTTTCTGAAATCTTCCGTAAAAAGGTCACGTTTTTTTTAATTAACCGCGAAAAATACCTTTTTTAAAAAATCTCCCGTAAAAACTCCCGTTTTTTCAAAATCTACCGTAAAAACTCCCGTTTTTTTCAAAATTTACCGCAAAAACTCCCGTTTTTTTAAATCTCCCGTAAAAACTACAGTTTTTTCAAAAATCTCCCGTAAAAACTCCCGCTTTTTTCCAAAAAACTCCAGCAAAAACTCCCGGATTTTGAAAAAAACTCCCGTAAAAGTACCGCAATTTTTTTAAATCTCCCGAAAATTTTTCATTTTAGGTTGGCAAGTCTGGTTTGTGAAATTTTAAGGCATGCACTCTCAAACAGCCCCACATTGGCCAATTTCCTTACATTTGTCATGATACGTCCAATAAGTGCACACTCTGTAGCTCTGTTGGACTTATTGGATTATAAGGGCTCTGATTCACCTTTACTCCAGAGCTTCACCCTATTTAAGAAAATTGTCATCGCAAAATAGATCTACCTTTGCCAATCTTATCTTATCGTTATTTTCAAAGGGTTTCAAAGAAACGCCTGTGTGAAATAAAAGCTCAGTGGGCGAATGTTGCAAAAACTCTGGTAATGTCCCGGGAGTAAGGTGAATAACTAGAAAACCATTTTTAGATTTATTCTATTGCAGCCTTCAAATGTGATAATTGCAAAAATGATAGACATTTTATATTTGTGCAAATTAGTGTTAATTTCTGCAAGAGGGTTCCTCGAGGGTCATACACGCACCAACCTCAGGTTAACAAACTGCAAACGACATGTAGTTATTAGTTGACTCATCTATATATAATATCACATACTCCGAGTCGTGCATATCTACATATGTATAGTTGTGTAATTCGGATAAAGCTGATGCTGATTTCCGATATACAATGTAAGGTTAGAGCTATGAAATATCACTATTTGGCTAGCACCTTTGTGATTGTTTTACCAAGTGTCCGTTGAAGAGACTTCTTTTATTATCAAACACTACTACAATATTCAATGTCTTTGTCGTGATGTAACATTTTGGAGAAAAGACCAAATCGTTCATTCTCATGATCATGCATCATAAAAGTGAAGTTGAAAAGTGGGTCGGCATAGTATGCGAAGACAACGTTTTGTGTAGAATGTAAACGTTTTAAACAAACAATATAGGATTTGGACTGGTGGGATGGAAGCAGTAGTAGGTCTTCTAGGATTTTTTGAACCAATACGTTTCTATTGCAGAAGGCGCAACGCCACCAACGTGCACAAGTCAATGTTTTTGCTATAAATGAAGCAACAATGGTCCACACGACCTGAAATAATATTTGTACGTGACCTTATCGTTATTAAATTTATGTCATTACTGACTATAAAATAAGTTTCCATATCTTTTATTTAAAATAATCGAAATTAATTAAAATGGGGCGGAGGGGGATGCGATGGACAATGATGGAAGGGGCTGTGATATGAAACAAATGACCATGTAATGTTTCGCGAACAATTTGGACAGTTTTATGTTTGACTAGGAGTATTGTTAGACCACACATTTCTCGTTTTACATAAGAGCAATATGTTATCTTCAACTTAGTACAAAAAAACTGGAAATTTTTTATTTGATTTTACCGATAGATAGTGGATTAGTAGCCCCTCTCCCAAAAAATCCTCATTTGAAAAATATCTCATTTTAACCATGTGAAAAGTTTATCTTGCATTGTGTAATTAACCACTGAAAAGGGTAATTGTATAGCAAGACTAATCCTGATTTTGATATAAATTATGTGATATAAACCAAAACAGCCCAATAAGGTGTGTTTTAATGATTAACTTTCTTGTTATCTCAAAATCTGCTTGGAACTATACCATTAGATTACTGCGGGAAATTCTTCAAAGAGAAAATTCTAGGGATTAAGGAATGGGTACAATTTACACAATTTGAGAAATTTTAAAAGAGCATTTATATTATATAAACACATTCGTAATCAATGATTCTCAGCCCTCTGAAGTTTGAAAAATAAAAATAGCTGGGTGTTAATCCATAGATAATCCTTCAAAATGAAAAATATTTTTCGGGATTATATGGTGCAATCTTATAGACGATAAAATGTTTTAAAGTGTGGAATGATGTTTTTTAGATGAAAACCCTAAGCGAAATGCATGAAAAACTCCCTCGATTCATTCTACAAACAACTCGCGGTCCTTTGGGGGTACAGGACATAAAGTTGAGTAACAAATCCTATCATGTCTTATTGACATCCTACTCCCCTCCATCCTCCCTCCGCCCCATTTTAATCATTTTTGAATATGTTTTACATAACGTACGGGAACATATTCTATAAAGTCAGTAATGGCATTTATTCTATGATGATAACGTCACTTACTCGTACAAGTATTAATTACAGGTCATGTATACCATTGTTACTTTATTTATAGCAAAAATTGGAGTGTGCACGTTGATGGCGTTGCGCTTTTAAAATTAATAGATCTCATAACTTAGAGAAGCGTATCGGCTCCAAAAAATTGAAGGAGACCTAACATATTCTATCAAACCATGCGCCTTCTTTCAGAAATTCAATAGTAAGCCTTCTTTTGAAAAAAATAGTTTTCCAGATTTGTTGAATTTTCTAGCATAAATGGCCTGCCCCTCCATCCCATTTCCCGATCACCATGCGTGATATTGATCGCTCTAATACACGAAAGGTTCACTGCTGGTGCCGATGAGTAACGCGTTATTCTGAATTTCTTTAATTTGATTTTTGTCTATATTTGATCTGAAATTGGTAGTGAATCATTAAGTGTGATTGAGATGATGTCATTCTAGCAGAGTCATCGTTAGAGTCATTGCACGCCGAGCCATTGCTCGTAAACGTTCCATCATAATTCTAAATTGCACGTGAATTAACTCGAAAATTAGTTCGAATTAGTTCGAAACTCACAGCTACGTGTACCTGACTGCCGGTGGTAATTAAGTTTCACTCTTATGCCTGGGTCACATTTTCGGCGATTCATCGGCTGGCGCCCGGACGATTGAGTATTTTGTTCAAAATTGAATACATTTCTGAACAAAAGTACTCAATCGGCCGGGCGCCATAGTGAAAATCGGGGCAAATGTGACCAAGGCATTAATGCCTTGGAAAACTCGTTTTATATTTAGTAATTGGGCAATGGACCAATTCTCAAAAAACGTGTACCTAGTGATTTTATTCGTACCCTCTTAATCACTAGATAGAAGCTCTCTTTTGAAAAGCATAGTCGAACGAATACAAAGGGTAACGACCCCCCTTGGCTACGGACAAGCCCCCATCCCAGAAAACAGTACCCCTCCCTGGGAGTTTCTCTCTTTAGAATACCATAATTTATTTTAGAGACGAAACTTAATAATTAGCAGGAAGTGTGTTATTTGTAATTCGTTTTTATACAATTTTGGATACAATTTATTTGATAGGCAATGTTTGGTATTGTATTGTGTTGTATTGCATTATTTTGTATTGTATTGTATTGCATTATTTTGTATTGTATTGTATTGCATTGTATTTTTATATTTTTCCTCCTTTATGTAAAGAATGGAACTAGTTATTCTGAAAGGGGGGCATGGAGCCCATGGGAAAAATGTTAGGGTCCCAAAAAAGGTTTGGGCCCAAACATTGTTCAGGGCCTAGAAAATCGGCCTTTTGTGCATAACCTGGACTTTTGGGCCTTTTAGGCCAAAATATCAAAAGGGCCTTAAATTTTGAAAACTTTTTTTTCCTGACTTGAAATTTGCCCCCTCCCTCCCCTATTAGCTTCTGCATCCGCCAGTGAAACCCATCATCAAAATTGTTTAGCTAAGTAAGAGCGGGCTAGTGTCAAATATAACAAAATTACTATTCTTACTTTTGATCTAATGATATGTCCATTATCTCTATCATATGATGTCACATGTAGTTGTATTACAGACAATTGAACTATAAAAAACACTTGATGATAATGTTATCTCTTTATTCTAAGAATATTGTTTGTAAGATAGCATTGCTTACAAAATGTATAACAATATGTAATTATTTTGACTATATTTGACTACAATAAATAATGAGGATGTACAGCGTCCTGCAGTTTCTTCTGCTTTATTGTTACATGGTGAGTATCATGCCTCCTAGACTTCTATCAACGCGAACATCAGTTCTGACGTCGCAAACCTCGTTCCTTGCACTCGAACCCCGATTCTCATATCGCTAACGTAAAATCTTGTACATGGTGGTTCGCGAGCACGGATCTCGGTGCATGAGTTGAGAAATATGTTCGGGAGCGAGGAAATAGTGGTGCGCGACTAAAGATTTTACGTTTAAACATTTTACGTATAAAAGAATCATTTTGATAGCACAACAATGGCGAAGCCAGAATCAAAATTTGGCAAGGCAAATGTGAATAGACGAGGCAACTTGAGGTCAATGTAGATAGGCCTCGGGTAGTGCCTCTCTAGTCTTGCTCAAAGGCTGTATCCACCCCCCTCACCTTCACTCTCTTAGAGAGAAGTATAAGGGGGGGGGGAGTACAGGGTACAGGGATATTTTTCTGTCAAAGTTTGGCAAGACAATCAATGGACTCCAAAAGGTCACAATCTCACGCTAAATGTCAAATGAACACGTTCGCAGTTTTACTATCCTGGTCATATTACCCTGACAATTGTAACAAAACGATACTGAGCCAAATAACGTGATAATTGAGTAGCTATAGCTCAACACACCCATTATATAAAAATCAATTGTAATCCGTCAGTGTAAAGTCGCTGCTATATGTCACCAGAATTTAAAAAAAATCCGAACACTTACTTCTAAGCACTTAACCTGTTAACAGCTTAACTAGTAGTCTTGACTCTTGAAGAAGGCTCTGTCCTTGGCCTGATTCTGAAATTTATAGATTAATGGGAAACTAGTATGCTATAGTTAAAAGCAGAACAAAAAAGTGTTGGATTCATTGATGCCGTTAGTCTAGATATCGTTTATAAATTGATAAAATGTAAAACATTAGAAATGTAAAACATTAGATTAGAACAAATTGGTTTTAATCATTTATGCCAAGAAAGTATTCATGGTGAAAGATATGACTGTCTAAAATCACTTGCCATACTGCACGTAGACCTGTTATGACCTTCGATACCAAGTCGCTACTACAGTCTCAGCTGTAGTGGCTATAGCCCTTATGGCTCAGGGGTATAGCGTCTGACTCGAGGAAAGTCCTGGGTTCGATTCCCCTACGGGCGTTGAATTTAGCACACTCTCTTTCGAGTCTAGTATCTGGCTCGGTACACTACAGCTCCCCGACGGACGTGCCCAAGGGTCGTTCCAGACTTTGCCACTTGCCCTTCCTGATGAAAGATATTGTTTACACATCAAAGATATTATTTACACATTTTTGTTTACTTATCATATTGATTTTCAAAATGCGCGGATAATATGTCCAAAATGGGGTCATCCACTTGTTTCCCCCAGCCCCCCCCCCCCCCCGTTTTCCCCACTCCTATTTTTGGAAATAAATAAAGATCATTTACCACCCATTGTGGTAGATCCTGTAACAATCACAATAAACTAATTATTTGTTGTCATTAATAGGGCCGAAGCTTCAGTGCCGGGTCTGATACAACAGATAACACAGCCTGTCCACCAAATTACTATGGAGATGATTGTCAAGTATACTGCCTTGCAGACCATAGCAACCGCTTCCATTGTGACGTAAAAACAGGTGTCAAACGATGTAATTCTGGTTGGGAAGAACCATCATTGGGCTGTAGTGTCAAACAGAGTGGCCCTTGTCCTCCAAACTTCTATGATCCGGGGTGCAGTGTGTTCTGTAAAGCAGAAGATAGTTGCGAAGGAGGTCACTATACGTGTGACCCAAATACTGGTGCCAAGATATGTATAGATGGATGGGATCTTCCAGAATTGAATTGTACGCTCAAAATTACTCCAAAGCCTATTGATGAAGATTGTCCGGATACAGAAAAACTTTGTGTGGGTGGTCAATGCCACAACAAATCATGCTGCTGTTTTGACGACTGGACTGGACCATATTGTGACGTACCGATAGACCATTGTTCCAGTAACCCATGTGGTAATACTTCAACCTGCGAAAAAATTCCTGATGGATATCAATGTCTCTGCGGACCTCACCTCTACGGTGTCAATTGTGAAACGTACTGTAAAATGGCTGATGACTGTGAAAATGGTCATTTTACGTGTAACGGTAAAACTGGTGCAAAGGAATGCATTGAAGGCTGGGAGAGTCCAGAAATCAACTGTACACTGAGAATCATTCCTCCACCCCTGGATATCGAATGCCCGGATGAAGGATTCTGTGCCAATGGGCAATGCCACAAAAAATCATGTTGTTGTCTAAGCAACAGATGGACAGGACAATTCTGCGAGACACGCATAGATGACTGCTTGAGTGAACCATGCCAAAATGAGGGCACGTGTCAAGCTAATCCGGATGGAACTGGATACGACTGTTTGTGTTCTCCAAACTACCATGGCAACCACTGTGAAATTCTATGTAAAGATGCAGATGATTGTATATATGGTCACTATGTGTGTAACACATCCACTGGTGAGAAGATATGTCTCGATGGTTGGGCTATGCCAGAGGTAAACTGTACATTAAGGATCATTCCTCCAGTAATAGACCCCGAATGTCCTGAAAATGGTGTTTGTGTAGGTGGACAGTGCCATAAAAATCAATGTTGTTGCTTTGATGAATGGACTGGGGATTTATGTGAAATAAAAATATCTGGTTGTAGAAGCAATCCGTGTTTAAACCAAGGGACGTGTAGGCCTACAGATGAAGGCTATGCCTGTATTTGCCATCCTTGGTATACAGGGACACACTGTGAAACATATTATCCGCAATGTCCCCCAAATTACTATAATCCACCAGCTTGCAATGTGTACTGTCTTGCCGCAGATGATTGTGACAGAGGGCATTATACTTGTGATCCCAACACAGGGGCGAAGGTTTGTCTACCTGGATATGTGATGCCTGAAAATGATTGTAAAGTAAAAACACTCCCTCCACCAAATGATCCAGATTGCCCAACTGATACTCCTTGTGTTTATGGAAGGTGCTACAGAGGAGCGTGTTGCTGTAATGAACATTACACTGGACGTCGATGTGAAACGTTTATTGATTATTGCGCAAGTCAGCCATGTCGAAATGGTGGTACATGTACACAAAGTATTGGAGGTTATACGTGTAGCTGTTGTCAGAACTTTGAAGGAACGAACTGCGAGAGTTTTGTACAAAGATGTCCACCTAATTACTATGGTCAACGTTGCGAAGGTTATTGTCTTCCTCAGAATGATTGTGATGGTCACTTCACATGTGATTGTCAGACAGGCAATAGGGTGTGCCTTGATGGCTGGATGAGACCAGAAGCTAACTGCACAGTAAAGGAGACCCCGCCTAGTTCTGATAGAGAATGCCCTGACAGAGGTGCATGTCTCAACGGAGGAGCATGCTTTCAGAAAATATGTTGCTGTCCTAGAAACTTTAGAGGAGAATTATGTGAGATACAAAATATGCCTTGTGAAAGAAATAGGTGTATGAATGGAGGGACGTGTTTCAACCTCTCTCCAGGATTTGATGGAGATTTCCAATGCATATGTCCTCCTCAGTGGACTGGGTTATTATGCGATACAACCTGGAACGGATGTCCACCAAATTATTTCAACCCACCTGCATGTAACGTTTTCTGTTGGGAAGCTGATAGCTGTAGTGAAGGCCACTACACTTGTGGTCCAGATGGCAGTAAGATCTGTAGAGAACACTGGGAATGCGTGGCAAGTGACTGTAGAACAAGATACAGGCCGAAATGGAACGATACAGAATGCCCACCAATTGGCCCAAATGGAGAAATGTGTCGCTATGGGGAATGTCATAGACAGACATGCTGTTGTCATTATGGGTGGACTGGACCATATTGTGATATATTTAATCCTGCAACACCATTGCCACCTCGTTATTCAAATGATGCCAACGTTAATGAAACAACAACAAATGAAACTGACAGAATAGAACGTAACATTGAGAGAGGTTCTTTTAAAGTTGAAACACAAGATTCATGTAGCCTTAAAGATAACTGCGCTGAAGGTCACTATGTATGTAATGGCGGGACTAAAATCTGTCGAGATGGCTGGGCTGACGTAAGCACCAACTGTACAGTTCGAGCCGTTTCACCTGCTGTCGACTCAGAATGTCCAGATTCCGGTCAGTGCGATATGGGTTCGTGTTTTAAGAAGTCTTGTTGCTGTATTCTAGGATATACAGGAGATCTTTGTCAGGAACAGATTAACCCATGTGGCAGTAGCCCATGTGCCAATGGAGGGACATGTAGGCGGGATGGTCCTTTCAATTACAAATGCGATTGCACATCATTTTACACTGGGAACAATTGTGAAACTAGGATGCGTTGTGAAAGGCATAAATATGGTCCAAACTGTGATGTCCATTGTAAACCAGAGAACTCTTGTGCTGGTCATTATAGATGTGATCAAAACACGGGGGCTAAGATTTGTCTTGATGGTTATAGAAATTCAAATCAGAATTGCATTGACAAAATCAATGAGGATTTTGTAGACTGTCCAGCAGGCGGTTGCGATACGCGAAATGCTCATTGTTTTAAGAAGCAGTGCTGTTGTAAGCCAGGTTTCAAAGGAGCAAGATGTAACATTGTCAAACTTCCATGCGAAGACGTGAAATGTGACAACATAACAGAAGGTGCTTACTGTCGAAATGAAGACGGAAAAGGACTGTGTTGCCGCAATGCTAATAATAGTCGGGATTGCATTGATCCATCGAGCAACATGACGACTACAGTACCCACAACATCAACTGTCACTACATCACAATCAAGTAGAATAACCAGTCCTTCTACGGCGAGAACAACAACCAGGTTAGTTTGCCAAGATGGGTATTATGGTCCAACCTGTTCTGTGAGATGTAAAGCAGATGAGAGTAGTTGCGAACACGGGCACTACACCTGCCATCCTACAACTGGAGAGAAGTTGTGTGAACAGAATTGGGGACCTCCAAATAACTGTACAGTAAAATCACCAAACATTGCAAACGACCCTGAATGTCCAGATGCTGGGAATTGTAGAAATGATGGAATATGTTTCAAGAAGACATGTTGCTGTCGTAAAAACTATAGAGGTGATCTGTGTGAAACGTATGTTCTCCCATGTGACAGACCAAACGCTGTCGTCTGTCAGAACGGGGGGACGTGTAGGAACGATGATGATACCTCTAGTTGTGTTTGTCCTGATGGTTTCACTGGAAGATTATGTGAAAACAGAATTATCCCGGGTTCAAGTACGGCGCTTCCAACAACAACTAGGACACCTACTGAAGCAAGTAGAATAACCAGTCATTCTACGGCGAGAACAACAACCAGGTTAGTTTGCCAAGATGGGTATTATGGTCCAACCTGTTCTGTGAGATGTAAAGCAGATGAGAGTAGTTGCGAACGCGGGCACTACACCTGCCATCCTACAACTGGAGAGAAGTTGTGTGAACAGAATTGGGGACCTCCAAATAACTGCACAGTAAAATCACCAAACATTGCAAACGACCCTGAATGTCCAGATGCTGGGAATTGTAGAAATGATGGAATATGTTTCAAGAAGACATGTTGCTGTCCTAAAAACTACAGAGGTGATCTGTGTGAAACGTATGTTCTCCCGTGTGACAGACCAAACGAGGTTGCCTGTCAGAATGGAGGGACGTGTGTCAACTTGTCTTTTAGATTTGATGGAGATTTCCGATGCATATGTCCTCCTCAGTGGACTGGTAGATATTGCGATACAACCTGGAATGGATGCCCACCAAATTATTTCAACTCACCTGCATGTAATGTTTTCTGTAGGGAAGCTGATAGCTGTAGTGAGGGCCACTACACTTGTGGTCGAGATGGCAGTAAGATCTGTAGAGAACACTGGGAATGCGAGGCAAATGGTTGTAGAACAAGATACAGGCCGAAATGGAACGATTTAGAATGTCCCCCAATTGGCCCGAATGGAGAAATGTGTCGCTATGGAGAATGTCATAAACAAACATGCTGTTGTCATTATGGGTGGACTGGACCATATTGTGATATATTCAACCCTGCAACACCACTGCCTCCTCGGAACTGCAACTAGGTAATAACAAATGGCAATATGTCCATGTAGGAGAGTATGTCGAGTGTCAGGCAAAATTGCTAGATATCATTTTCAGAATAACCACCATAACTGACCAAAAGTTAATTTGTCATCCTTGCTTGTATATGAAATACAAAAAACAACAACTTACATTAATTCACTGGGTTAAAACAAAAATGTAATGTCTCCAGTGTGGAATATTCTAAAATAAAAACTTTCGACCTGCACATTTGACCCGACTTACTGCTTACTGGGTGTCCAGAAGCTACCGATAGTTTTACACTTACTCGTATACTTAAAGATTTCTCAACTAGGCCTACCTATAGCATGTATATTATTCCCGCATAACTTATGAATCTTTTGATTAATTTCACACTTATGAACGGATAGAGCTGTGCGATAAATGATGACGTAATCAAATGCTTCATAGTTTTATACAGGAATAAAAAACATGCTATAAATTGGTTGCGAAATCTCTAATATGGCTCATTTATTTATTTCAAGTTTAAGATTTAAAAGAGAATGAGAAAATACATTACAGATAATACTTGAAGTTTTTCAGTGAACACTATTGTAAACATGTAAAAGCATAATCTTTGCCATGTCTCATTTATTTATTTCAAGTTTAAGATAAAAAGAGAATGAGAAAATACATTACAGATAATACTTAGTTTTTCACTGAACACTATTGTAAACAGGTAAAAGCATAATCTTTGTCATGTCTCATTTATTTATTTCAAGTTTAAGATTTAAAGAATGAGAAAATACATTACAGATAATACTTAGTTTTTCAGTGAGCACTATTGTAAACATGTAAAATCATAATCTTTGTCATATCTCATTTATTTATTTTCCCAAAGTTATAGGGAGATATGTTGATTGGTTTGGGAGAAAATATAATTTATCGAAATAAAAAGCATAGTTTCGTTATCTTTTTATTTTCACCAATCTTATTTTTGCAGCTTCAGAGAAATAATAGTCAGTAATAGTGCTCCAAGTAGTAATCAAAAATCATTTCCAGGCTATGGGTGACATTGTAATATAAGGGATGTAATGATTGAGTTCTATTTTGTATTTTTAATATGGATTTATTTACCCCTACCCCTTACCCCTTTTTAGTCTTACCGATTTTATTGTTGCAGCTTCAGAGAAATAATAGGCAGTTATAGTGCTCCAAGTAGTATTCAAAAATAATTTCCAAGCTATGTGTGACATTGTAATGTAAGTAATGTAATGATAAAGTACTCTTTTGTATTTTTAATATGGCTTTGTTGACCCCTACTCCTTAGAAATAATACAAGAACGCGGAGGTGGCACAATTGGATCAGAAATTCTATGATGACTACTTATGTCCTGCCTTGTATATTATTTTCTTCATGAATATGTTTCTCAAATGTCATAAAACACAAATTTCTTAGGTCAAAAACCTGTTTCAATGTTTATATATAGACTTAGAGGATGGGAATTTATGGGCTGAAAGATATGGGCCGAAAGAAAATAATGTATATGCTAAGAATGCCTATTAATATTGAGTGCAGGATGTAAAGTTTGACATAATTAGAATTTTCCTAGTGAACATGAACATTATACATTCTCAAATATTATGCACCATTCCTGAGAGTAGAGACTTTCAAAAGTATATTGTTAATAATAGGAATTTTCACTATATTTGACTCTCTATTATTGCTTCCAGGGTGGGGAAGTTGACTCAATAGGTTACTCCCGTGATTTGAGTTTGACAGCTCAATCTTTGTTTTGTCAAAACCTCCACCACTTCCCATGTGGGGGTCTCACGCAAACCTTTGAATTATGCTCAACTGAACATGGGTAAAGGGGATATTTGAAGAAATAATTTTGGAATATGTGAGAAAAGTCCAGTCCTTCTCCCTTATTAATTGAATGAAATGGGGGGAGGGGGAGTCATTCGGAGTTTCTTCAGAGTCAGAGGTACAGTAAAACCTGTCCGATGGAATACCTCTCTGAAGGGAAAACCTATGAACAAGGAATGCTTTTCAAAAGAACCAAATATTTTTCCATTGACTTACATGTTAACAGACCCTCTCTGTAGGGAAAACCTGTGAACAGGGAACAAGGAACACTATTTTGGTGCAAATTAAGAAAATTCACCTGTGAACAAGGAATATGGAATATTGGTGACACTGTATATTCCATTATTTTTCAGAGGTGTGAAAGTCTTAAGCCAATATCTGATTCTAAAAAGCTTGGATTAATATGATTGAGATCAAGATAAGCCAATTGTTTACACGATGAAGCATCCCACCCACTGTTAATTACCCTGATATATTTTAAAACTAATACTAATCTGTTTCTTACTAATTATCATGACACTAATTCTTCCTTTCAACAAACATACTTATGATGAGTAATTACATCAAATCAGTTATGATAATCTTGGGATTGACACAATTGTTTTATGGAGATAACCGATAAGTACATGTGTCATGTTGAGCCAAATCTATCAACAATTACAACAACTAGACATCATACGCCAGCAGCAGCGGCTAAAATCAACATTGGGAGAATGCTCCTTACCCTCAGCTAAAGAAGGGAGGTGTGAGATGTTCATACATCTTCCAAGATGTCACAACAAGGTCTAGCAACCAAGTATGGAGTCGGCATTGGTAAAATCAATTAATACCCAAATATATACAAAAAATGCTTATTCGGCAATTTGGAGTTTGCTGAAAGTGCGGCCCCTCTCTGTAGGGAAAACCTCTGAACAAGGAAACTTTCCTCCAGTCCGAAGAGCATTCCCTGTTCGCAGGTTTTAAAGGGGATGGTGTTAGAGGGTTGGCAGTTGGCGGTCAATGGTCGACATCTGTAGCAAATGGCAGGTGGAGACATTTTACATCTCCTTTTGTTAATGAATGAGGTGAGGGAGAGGTTAAGGTAGATTAAAATTCTCCTTGGGAGCACCATCAGCCATCATGTCCATCAGCCATCCTCTATCGATGAATTGGGGAGGGATAAGTCATAAGAATTTTCCTCCTTTGTTAATGGATGGGGTGAGGGGAGGTTAAGGTACAACTGTAGATTAAAATTCTCCTTGGGAGCACAAACCACAAACATTATGCAGTTTCTTAACCCTCAGAGAAATGGGTGAAATGTATCGACTATAGAATCTTGCCATGGCTTTATGAACAACTTTTGGAGTAAGTGAGTATATGCTCATGAACGGAGTGGGACAGGGGGGTAAACAAATAAAATATATAGTCCCTTCATGAATAAATCATATAAGAATTTTCCTCGGAAGCACAAACAGCTTGCAGCTCTACAACCCATCCTCAAAGATGCAGCTGAACTTCCCGAGTGAGAATTCTTTCATGTCTAAAGGTGTAGTTTAGAGTCACATGTGAATTTAATCAACTGTAGGATTCCTTCAGTGGTAAACAGTGCATTTAGGAGTGCTATGTGAATAAGTATGTAACGTCAATTGTCCCTATTGAATGACTATAGGGGGGGGGGGGTATAGAAGATGCTGATATGGCTACTCCCTATTAAACTATATTTATTAGTTATAAGATTGACAGCATAGACTCAATTACCTGTTCCCCCTGGAAGGAATCCCTTAGCTGATAAAATGCACATGTGCCTGCCTGGGTAAGCTATGCTGGACTAGACAGAGCTCATGCTTCAAGGCATCATTGTGATGTAAATTATTTTTATAAAGAGAAATTCTTGATAAAATTTTAGAAAAGGAAAAATATAAAAACAAGAATTTAACATGAAGAAATGACCCTTTAGACTAACAAAGGATCATTACAAAATTATAACATTATTCCATAATAGCATGTTTTCCCTGGGAAATAAACAGGGAATAGAATTGATATTCAAAAGATCCCATATTATAGCTAGATTCCTATATCAGATCCCGTATTGGATCCTGTATCAGCCTAAATCACATATCAGATCCTATATCAGAACCATTCCCGGGGATTTCTCTTGATTTTTATGCTTCAGAAAAAAAAACAATTTAATAAATAGGTTATTGATGGTGTTGGTGGAATATGAATTTTATTTATTTTATTCGCCTCGAGAACTATCATATTAACACTCGGGCTATTGCCCTTAGTCAATATGATGTTTTTCTTGGCCAATATCATATTTTCCCTCAGAATAAAATTCATATTCCATCCCTCCCATTAAATTACCCCTATATATCACACATACATTTTTAAAATGCTACTTGGAGAAGTATTAGTACTCATTATAGAATTTCTGATCTAATTGTGCCACCTTCACTTTCTCATATTTCTAAGGGGTAGGGGTCAACAAAGCCATATTTAAAATTCCAAATAGTATTGTATCATTACATTCTTTATATTACAATTCCCCACATAGATTGGAAATAATTTTAGATTACTTCTTAAAGCAGTATTGGTGCCAATTATTTCTCTGAAGCTGCAACAATAAAGTTGGCGAGACTAAAAAACGAATGAAAATATGCTTATTTATTACTATAAATTGTGTTTTTGTCAAAACCGATCAACATATCTCCCTATAACTTTGGGAAACACTTGACTACAGTGCTAGCAACATAATATGTATAAATCAGTGCTATAGTTAATGCATAACTGATTTTATAGAATGATAATATAGTACCCCCCTGAAATATTATTCTAGGGGGGTAAAACTGCTCAGAATCCTTCGTCCACAAACTAAAAAGACCCAGACATATATGAATTGATGCTAAATGAAGTCATCTTTCAGAAACATTATGTCTATCAAATGGCCCTTGAACTTCCCAAAACCCATGCTATATCCTGGCCTAAAAGGTAATACTTAGTTTTTCTGTGAAAACTATTGTAAACATGTAAAAGCATAATCGTTGTCATGTCTAATTTATTTATTTCAACTTCAAGATTAAAATAGAATGAGAAAATGCATTAAAGGTAATATTTAGTTTTTCAGTGAACACTATTGTAAACATGTAAATGCATAATCTTTTTCATGTCTCATTTATTTATTTCAAGTTGAGATAAAAGAGAATGAGAAAATACATTACAGAAAATACTTAGTTTTCCAGTGAACACTATTGTAAACAGGTAAAAGCATAATCTTTGTCACTTTTCATTGATTTATTTCAAGTTTAAGATAAAAGAGAATGAGAAAATACATTACAGATAATACATAGTTTTTCAGTGAACACTATTGTAAACATGTAAAAGCATAATCTTTGTCATATCTCATTTATTTATTTCAAGTAAGATAAAAGAGAATGAGAAAATACATAACAGATAATACTTCAAGGTCATCACTATACAGAAACAATTACGGATAATTCTTGAACTTTTACTGTGAACATGTCTGTGAAAGCATATAATATTCTATTTATTCATCATATCTCATTTAATCATTTCATGTTCAAAATTAAGAGAATGAGAAAATACATAAGATACAAATTGTAATACTCCAAAATTTACAATATACATTAACATAAAAATAGATTTTTACACACAAGTGCATAATAAAATAAATTCTATCCTTTAATTTTGGGGAATGGTGTCCAAAGGTTGACAATTAGGAAAAACAAGTTACTTTGCTCAATGAAATTGAAGTTGAAAAGGTTTAATGTATTTGCCCTTCACTTGAACTTCAACATTTTTTGGAATCTTCATAACCCTCCATATAATGAAATTATCTTTGTTCTTCCGCAACCTTTGACAATGGACACCACCCCTGATATAGTACTTTTTAATAATACTTGAAGTCCAAATAATTTCCTAAGTAGTACAGTACATATCAATCAATATATAGCAATATTGCACAATTTTTTACATTTTAATACATGTATAGTGTAGAGATCATAATTACATGGAATTGTACAGTTGTATGTAAAGTAATCATATATACAGGTTGCCATCTTTTAATTGTTTTTACACATTTTAGACTCTTCTACAATTAAATAACAAGCCAATTATATGCAAAATATCACCACCTGTCATTTACTACAGACACCTACCACCAAATACTAACTGCCGAACACCGTCCACAAAAAGGTTGGTGACTATAACAATATGTTACCACTTCGGGTGGTGAGATACAGTAACAATATTAAGCTGACTTAGGGACCGTGAAAAAGATCAACGTAGGATGGTTTTTATATATCAATAGTTAAGTGAGTACAATGAATAGAGACAAGTGAATTTAGAAATAATTTATATTGGAAATGTTTTGACATCTGCATCATTGCATTTTTGGAACATGGTGATGATGCGCCTTTTTAATAGATCTCATATCTTAGAAACGTTTCAGTCCAAAAAAATACGAGAAGAATTAGAACATATTTTGCCATATACTGCACCTATTCATTTAGCATTTCAGTTGTAAACTTTCCCTTGAAAAAATAAATCGTCCAGTTTTGTTGGATTTTCTTGCAGAGGTCGCCTACTTCCCCTCCGTTCATTTTGTCCGATCACCGGGCGACACGGTATGTGACATTAAAGGGTAGAATTCAAGACTAATGTGGCTCATTTGACAATGTGTGTCAATGTTGAATTAAACAGATTTCAATTAGCATATCAAGTTCATAATTTATCAATCCTCATTAAAAAGTTCAACTTAATGGGACATTTACATTTTACACCTCCCCAAAATTACTTGAGTAAAATATGTTTGGCCATCCTACCTTGACTTTTTGCATGGTCCTTGAGGTGGTATGCAATTATGAATATTTGTAGAGGAATGATTTAATTTTGTTGGGGAAATGACGACCTTATTAGTATGAGTACATGTATATATCAAAATGGGGCAGGGATACAGTGTAAATAGGGATACGAATATCGCCAGATCTTTGATGGAGTGGTTCAGGTGCCCAGGCAAACTAGTTTTTAGAATCAGCCTTAAATCTGGTCTTATTTTCAAAATAGGCCTTATTCTCAAACACAGATGAGTTATATTTTATGAAATAAAATTTCGAGATTCATTTATAAGTATGGACAATTCTTTAAAGGGACTTTCAAACGGTATTTTTGAACCCCTGATATATATGACCGAAGTCTTACATCATATATACAATTATATTCTTGAATACAATTATTTTAGCAGCATAATACAGTTCGTACAAATCAAATTCTGCTATTTTGATGTGCTCCGTTTCCGAAATAAAAATGTTGATTTAGGTTTAACAGTAGAATGTTTCAATTCAGAGTCTTTTTTGCAATCTTGTGTTATTCGTTCATGGACGATCTGGTTGTCCAGGAGAAGCTGCATGTCCATCTAGTTGCCAAGGAACAAAAATGAACAAATCAAAAACAATACAACTCACAAAAATTAAATATGCATTTCTGAAAATTGATCAAACTAAAAATTTGAATGCCATAAAAGTCATGCAATTTCTCTAAGGATATTAATATACTGTCGTTTTAATATATTAACATATATTATATTTTAACTTTTTTATTTTCTAACAGATGCTTTATTTTGAAGATAAAATAGTAAACAAGAAAAAGGTTAAATAAGGCATGAATAAATTTAAATTAAACAACCCGCTACCTCAAAGAGTACCAATCCCAAATGTGAATTAAAGACAAAATCCTCAAAGAATGAGCTTTGATCCAAAGTGCAATGCAACCATGTCTTGCGCTGGGTGCATAGACTCACTTGTAGGGATTTTATTAATAAATCTGGTATAGAAGATAACCCTGTAGTCTCTGATGTAAGTCAAACAGCCCACAGTCCAACTCATCAGTCGAGGCAGTCCCATCTGGTCTTTGTCTCACAAAACATTTTATGTTACATAAAAAACGTTTGTCGCTTTTATTGATCTTCCCTTAATGGGACAGAACACAATACACATTTGTATTGGTAATAATATCAAATCACAATTGACCAAAACATAATACTTTGGCAAAAAAGGAGACGTTACCACTAAGAATATATTAATAATAAAATATTAAAAGTGTCTTACTTTCTTATTACTGTTAATTACTCTATTACGCCATGTCCAAACTCAATATATTCAAGGTTATATTTTGATTTATCTCATAGTTACGTTCTAAATGTCCTCAATATATGTATTACAGAATATAAAAAAGTGTCCTACATTACTGTTTTTAATTACTCTATTACGTCATTCCGTGGGCTTTGTTCCAAATCAATACATTAGCAAGGTTATATTTTGATTGTCATAGTTACGTTCAATATTTGTTTTGCCTTGTACAAGAGTCATCAAAATATATCCATCAGGGACGTAGTCAGCGTTCAGTCAGGGGTTTGTGTAATCGCCCAAAACTTTCGGTTTTCAGTCAAGGGGTGGGTGCGATTTATTTTGAATTGTACAAAAAGTGATGCAACTTCCTTCATAATTGAGCTAGAAGCTTGAAATAAAAATAATTTTAAAGCTATATTCTTCTTTTACTTAGTGTTCCTCCCCTGGCTACGCCTATGTATACGTCTTACAAAATATATAATTAAAGTGTCTTACTTTATTGTAATTGTTAATAATTGTTTTGCGTCATACTGATGTCTGTGTACTCAATATGCTAGGAAGGTTTTTATGTATTTTGATTACCATAGTTACATTCAATATTATTGTCGTCTTGCTCTGTGTTTGGTACAAGAAAGTCATTATTCTACGTCACGCTGAGATCTTTTTTCTCACTAAGAACAGCTTTTGATATCAGATATTTTAATATGATTTAAAGTACACTTTTTATATTCCCATATTTTACTCACATCTCACCAAATCATTGTTATTTGTAACATAGACAATCTTGTTCATGTTCAGAAAAAAACTGTGAAAACATTGTGATTTTTTCATACTGTAATAGAAATTAATGTTTATGTTTAATTGGCATCTAGAGACTAGGATATATAGGATTTACTGTATCATTATATTACACACATACATGTATTAAACCTTTTGCAACATTTTTACAAGATAATACTTAATTGTAGTATTTTCAAATACTGACATCTTTATGTACAATATCACATAATAAGTATGTTGCCAAGGTGATCAGCTGTAAAATGTAAAAGACGAGGACTGTTCAATAAATATTAAATATATATGCTCTAATTTTCATGTTTTTGAACAACCCTCATCTGGTACAAGAGTTGTTGGTAAAAGTGTTTTAAAAATACTGTAAATGGCTTAACAGCTTAATTATAGTGATTCACAAATTCTCTAAAAGATCAAGGGTATAAATTCTTGTAAAAAATCATTTCCCACATAATCCTTTGGTATTCTTCATTTAATCTATGGTATTTTTTATATAATCCATGGTATTTTTACATAATCTATGGTATTTTAACATAATCTCTGAAAAATCAGTCAAATCAAAAGTCATCAATGATTTGTAAATGCCTAATGGCAAATTAAAAATCAGAGAATTCAATAATTCATCATTCAGATCAGCAGAGTAAAATAAAATACAATACGTTCATGCAATTTGTGCGCAAATGTGATGTGCAGTACTAAACAATTGCAGCAATGTCATGTCCAACATCTGAGATAATATATTTAATACACTGACCTCTTGAATGCCCTACCTGATGGATAGACAGGCTACAGAATACAGATTTCACTAAAATTGCTCTAACATTGTCAAATTTTGTTCAATTTAGACAAATCCAACTACAAGTTTTTGAAAATTAGGAAATCATCGGATGTTATTCAAAGCACAACTGAAAGTATTGTAGTTTTAGTTAGATTTGTTTCTTAGTTTGTACATCGACTAATGTGTCATGCTTGGACACGTTTGTCAACTAGACAACAGCAACGCCAAAGCGTAGCAAATCCCATTGAACAGCCATGTCTGGCATTTTTACAAACAAGGGTATAGCAAAATTCGTAAAACAACATGGCCGCCATTTTCAAAACATCAACAAAATAGCACACACATTCATGTAAATGGCGGCAAATTTTCAAAATGGCTGCCTGCTAGCCAAAGTATTATAAGATTTGCCATGCTTAAGAGTATTCACATATCAAATATGAACAAAATCACTTTATTATTTTTTGAGTTATAGTACAAAATGTAAAATAACACTCGGAAAAATGGTGTCCATTTCTCAAAATGGCTGTTTACTACCCAAAGTGTCATAAGACAGTTTACCATGCTCACAGTATTCACATTTCAAATATGAACAAAATCACTCCACTACTTTTCGGTATATGTTTACAAAATATGAACAAAATCGGGCCAAAGGTATGTGAGTTATAGCACGGACAGACGTACATACGTACAGAGGGATGTACAGACAGACAGAGGCGTTTCCTATATCCCTTCAAACTTCGTTCAATGGGATAATAAAAGAAATATTTAATCAGATGAAATAAGTGGAGGAGGATGATGATATTTCTGCTGGAAAATTCAAAAATCTGCAATATTCATTTTTTTCTTAAGAACATTTACTAAAAACTGTCCAATTTTTGTTTTTTTGTCCAATTTACATAAGCGTTAAATACCATTTCTGCTCTGAAATTTTAAGAATGACATCATAATCGATTGATTACATGACTGAGTCTCTTCTGCATTTTTGGGACTGTGACTTCGTTTGGTCCATCCTCGCACTTCAATTCTACACATAATTAACTCCACTGTGAGATGAGTTCACTTTTTATCCAAAAGGTCATGCTTCCATAAGTTGTCAACTGAGTTAATAAAGGTGGGTGCGTAGTGATCTAACAGTACTGGATGTGTAAAATCTAGTGAGAATTTTTTGAGATGACCATTTGTGTCCTAGAGTGTTGTGTCATAGAAATGTGTTTAAAGTCTAACTTATTCCAGAAAATACAGAACCAAGACACCAGTGGATATCTATTCGTTCAACAAGGGTTCCATTTCTATCTAATCCTCCAGTGAAACCAAAGTAATCCAGGAGTGAATAAAGGCCCCTTAGCATCTACACCACCATTATACCTGCCATTGTTCTAACTGTTGAGATAACTCTATTTTCTGTTGTATTGCCTCCATCAGCTGTTCATCCATAGACATCAGGTCCAACTTTGCCTGTGCTAGCTCCATCTCCATTTGGTTTCTCCTGGAAAATGCATTAATAATGTGTCTTAATTGCTCCAGTGGCGGATCCAGGGGGGGGGGGGGGGCATGGGGCCCAGCCCCCCTTGAGTTGACCCAGAAAAAAAATTGGGCCCAAAAATTTTGTGCCAAAAAAGGTCTTATGGACCCAAAAATTGGGCTTTTTGGTTATTACTGGGCCTTATTTTTTAATTTCAGGCCTAATTTTGAAGAAAATGGGCCTCAAAATTTTTTCTGAAGTTTTTTTCGCTGATCTGAAATATGGGCCCCCCCCTTGTTGGTTCCCAGATCCGCCCCTGTGCTCATCCGAAACAGGCCATAAAGTGCTCTTATTCATTGGTGCATTAACTTATGCATTCAAATTCGCCATTCAATTTCAAATTTTATGATCATCAATTTCAAGTATTATGATCATCTCAATATAATATATAGAAAAGAAATTAATAAGGAAAACATTACTTGTCGAGTGCCTCATCTCTTTCACGTTTTGCCTGTTCAACTACACAATCCCGATTCAAGGATGACACCCCACTGGCTGTCATCAGATCATGCTCTTCCTTCAGCTGAACACACTCCCTCTGTTGTAAGGACAACTAAAAATAAATCATATAAAGTGTATCTATATACTCATGGGCTTATTTTGACATCAGTCTGTACATATGGGCCTATCATGACATCAGTATGTACATTTGAAGGGGGTTCAAATAGATTTTCAGGTGGGTGCAAGCCTTTTTTCAAAATCTCAGGTGGGTGCTGCGCCCACTTGCTTTAATGCTGGGGAGAATGCTGTATGGATCTATCATGACATCAGTTTGAATAAAAGTAAAGTGTCACTGTGATTACTAGAAAAGTCTAGCTGAATGACTTATTCTACTCTTTAATTTCATCTTTCTGAAAGGTCATTTCACCCAATTTGAAGTTGATGATCAACGTCATCATTACACTGTACGTGATCATCAACTTCAGTTAGAGTCATTCTAAGTGAAGCCATTTTCTTTAAAATTCTCGCAGTTGTTTGAGCATTTATTTGTGGTGATTTACCACCGCATAGCTTTATTAATTTACATGGCGAAACATTTGGAATCCAGATTCAACTTAGTTTAGCTGAATTTGGAGGTTTGTCGAAAACGAAAGTATTTCGGCAACCATCTTGAATGAAGCTAACTGCAGTTAGAGTCATCCAGCTGTGGAACAGTGAATTTTGGGAGGAATCTTGCCTGAGACTTCCTCCTGTTAATTAATGCCTTTGAGTACAGTCAATATATGGGATAAAACTTTTCTTTGTTTGAATTTCTGAGTATAAATATTACTTCAAGTTAGAGCAATTGTATATGAATTTTCTAACATGTAAAATACATTATAATGGTAGAAATACATGTTGAAGAAACAGTACATGTAGAAGAACTTGAAAAGGTTCATTTACTGTATAAAGAGAAATCAAATATCCAGAGGAAACAGAGCCTTCACCCTCAATTAGTAATGAAGTTACAACCATTCAATACCATTCAATACCACATTATCTTCTCTCCCTATGCAGGGGTTTCATTAGCAGCAGGCAACAGGAGATTCTCACCAGTTGTTTTCACCAAACAGCCTGTTGTTTTCAGGGACTTTTCAACTTTTCCATGTTAAGTTTATGAGTTCCATTAATTTTGCCTGTTGTTTTCATTTGTTTAGCCTGTTGTGAGAAATTCTAGTGAAACCCCTGCTTATGCCATTGCTTATGCCATTCTAATTATGGACAAATATATGATATCATAGGTTGGAAGTGGTAGTATCTGAAAAAGACAAGGGAATCAGCCTATCAGGCCCTTAGCCAGGAGGGGGCAGCGGTTTAGGAAGGGCACAGCCGCACACTCAACTCCCCCTGGCTACGGGCCTTAGAATATACAGTATAAAACTTGTCTAATCTTAACGCCACTGGAACCATGTACCTATGACATCACAAATCTGCCAAATAAAACCTGGTTCCGTTCTGAGTAAAGCAATATATGGTAGGTAGGTTTATTGGAAAGTTACACTCCCCTCCATGAGTTTGGCAACTGGAAATTTTCATTGAATAGCATATCAAGGCCTGTCAATCTTTGAATCTTATGAATTTTTTTCTTAATTATAAAACATGTAGTCTGGAAATTTTTGATAAATTTGATGAATGTCTTCAAATGGCCAAACATAAACAAACTTTGATAATTGTGATCCAAAAGGAACTTGAGGTTGTCAAACTTATGGAGGGGAGTGTATACCAACACAGATTAGTTCATTACTTTACCTGTTGTGAGTTAACCTGAGAAGGAAAAAATAACAGGAAATTGAGTCTTATGCACTGAATGATAAATCTCTATAGAAACATTTTACTCTGATGTAGAAGTATGTTATTAGTCTACACTTTCTTAGAGGAGGAAATACCCCAGAGTCCATAGTAGTTGTTCATCTATCTCTATGTAAAGATGTATATGTTTAGACGTATATGGAGAGGTTCATCTATGAACTCTGGGTTATTCCCCCTCTTCCATTTTCTTAATTGACTATTGAGCCATTAGACATTATACTATGGGATGGAATCATAAATGAATGGCAATAAAGGTATTTTAAATGCTTATCAACATTTCCAATTTAAACTAGAACGGCAAATCCACAAAAAACAATACCTCAGAAGAAATATTTCATCATATTCCCTCATTTCGAGGCAAATTACATTGTCAGACAACCCTAATTATCAGGCAAAGGCTTAAGCCAACTACCAGCAAGAGTTTATTATCACATAAAGCTTATTGTGAGGCAGAGCTTATTCTCAGGCAACACTTATTATCACAAAAAAGCTTATCATCAGACAAAGCTTATTTAGCTAGGCAAAGTTTATCATTTGACTTATCGGGTTATCAGACAAGGCTTATTATCAAGCAAAGCTTATTATATGGCAAAGCTTATAATCAGACAAAGCTTATAATCAGAAAAGGCTTATAACTACCTTCTGTGTAAGATCTGACAATTCTTGTGTCTTGAGTTTCAAAGCCTCGTCTTTAGCAACAATTTCATGTTTCATTTCTTCGTACTTTTGACGAAGTTCAGCTTCAGCGTTTCCATGAGATATTGCATTCTGGGAATGTTGAGATTCCTGGGTTGAAGATTCTTGCTGTGCATTTTCCTGGAATAAAGTAGAAGTCATTAGACCATTTCACATGTAATTTAAATATACGTCCTGCTCTTTAAAAATAATATGTAGTTTGGACATAGAAACTCAGTCGTTAGTTGGTTCACTTATGTTAAAACTAAATGAGCTTGCATAGTTCCATAGTTGTTTTATTCATCAATTATATCAATGTTCAGTGCTTAAAATTACAGACCTTAAGTTGCAAAGCTATATGCATTTAATCAGGCCCATAGCTAGGTGAGGTTTGGGGGTAGCCAGCTTTTGCCAAGGGGGCGGGGGTCAGCTCTTAGAAATTCAAGGAGGTGGGTCAAATTTGCCAACTTTATTTTGGCCCAAAATACAAATTTTGGAAAAAAAGAAAAATTGCCTGTCGCCCATTGAATCTACACGCTTTAACATACCTCTTCAAGCTTCTGTCTTGCAATCGACTCCAGTAGCCCCCTGAGGTCAGATATAGCTCCTTGAATACTGTCGGCTCTGACGTCATACAACTGTGCATCTTCCAGAGTAGGCTCCCCCTGACTTTTGCCTCTCAAGTCCCGTAGTAATCGCTTAAGCTGCTTGTATATGACAACATAGTCCTGTTTTACCTGAAAACAGAGTCTTATGTAGTGGGGAGGGGGTTATAAACATAAATAAAATAGCCTTAATCTTGTCTTGTAATTGATCAACAACCCCAAAGCGAGATGCATAGATATCATGGTCTCTCTATTTATTTTCCCTGTAAAAACCTTCTGATTTTATTGGACACTAGATAAACAAGTAAAGTAATAAGCAGGGGGTCATTAACAGAAACTTCGTAAAGAATTCGTAAAATCAATTGTTCTCTAACTGTGATGTCATTATATCTATGGTTGCGACAATTGATTTACGAATTTGTAACTTTCCGAAGTTTCAGTTATGACCCCCGGCCCAATATGCAATTATTATACCTCATCAGGGCTTTGCAGTAGTTGCATCAGCTGCCTCTCTCCCAGACTATCAGGAGTCATTGAACTCTCATGTGACCTTGACCTTGCTGGCATTAGACTGTCAGGGGTCATCGCCATGGCAACCATTTCTCCATTGTCTGCCATATATGTAGATTGCCCAGCAGCAAGTGTGATGTCATCATCGTCACATTCTATGTCATCCTCAAACAACATTGGAGATGCGACAAAGTTTACGCCAGATGCAAGAAGTGTGTTTGGGCGATCTCCACCTCTTCCCTGAAATTAAGCAAATATTTTTTTTTTCTAATTTTTATGACACAAGAACTGGTGTCCACTTCTATTTCTATTTATTTAAGATGCAACAGTCATAGTGGGTTTTACATGCTTGGCCGATGCATCTTATTCTTAATAAATAGAAATAGAGATACAAACCACTCCAAGTTATAGTTATTATTTCTTAAGACTGGCCTTCAGCGCTGATGACATTTTCTGTGTATGTCACATATTTGTTTGAAAATTTTGCTATTGCACTTCATCGCTGGATTACTTTGTTCTATGACAAAAACTTAGCGGAAATTTTGCAAAAGTAAACTTTCCATTTTCCATTCTAATACATGTAGATTTGGATATTTTTGCATCATATTTTGGCCATATTTCTATATTTTGATAAAATAAAATTAGAACAGTAGGCAATACATGTGGCACCCTTTAAATTTCCTCTAATATTAAAGTATAAAGTGTACCAAAGATTCTTCCTCTTGAAAAGATGGTTCCATCATTTCTCCATAGAGGGAGCTGCAGCTTGCCTGTCCTAGTTCTTCAAATAACGAGCTGCCACCGCTCTGCGCGCAGGGTTCATTTTGTGACTGTAGAGACAGCTCTTCCAACTTTTCGTGGAGGGTGGCATTTATGTTGTGGAGTTGGGTGATTTCAGATTGTTGAGATTCAACCTAAAAATAATGATGTCAACATTATATCATTTATTTGTTTGTGTGTGCCTGGAATATATTAGACATACTTTTTTATATTGAAAATGTCAAAAATGACTCCAAATAAGATATAAGGTTATTGTTGTATAAACACTTAGAAAATTTTAATTTAATGACAGTATTCTCTAATCAAACATTTTTGCATTTCCCAGTGACTACATACCTCCTGATCTTTTTGGTTGCAATGCACCTCGAGAGACTGGATTCTCTCCTGTGCTCCTTCCATTCTACAGGCGAGATTTTCTCGTTCTTCTCGCAGAACTTGCAGACGTCTCTCCAACTCATGGTTTCTCGATGTTAGTAAGTTAATCTACAGATAGATGGGGTTACTCAGCACTGAGCAAGTTATTTTTAGAATCTTAAATGCCAGGATATTAGATTGTGATGTCATAGAAGATTAAAACTAAACTGAGCTAGTAGCAAATCCACATTTTATAGAAAGATCTCTTATATGTGTTCAGTGATCTCCCCAGAATTAAGGCAAGTGGGTTAGTGGGTGCAGCACCCACCTGAAAATTTATTTGCACCCACTTGAAAATGAAAAATCATGAAAAATGGGCATATTTTGACCAATTTCAGGGCAAATTGTGAAAATGAGAATTTTGCACCCACTTCAGAAAAAAATCCTGGGGAGATCACTGGTGTTATATTATTACACATACATACTGCCATGCAGCATTAACGAGGCAGGCATTAAGATCAATGAATCCAGACATGTGACGATATACCTTTAAGCAATTTGTTAAAATGTTATACTAGTATTGTTATGTACATGTATGCCTCTGGAAAGCAAACATTGTTAATAGATTCAGGAGATGTAATATATGTTAATGTTAGCTAAAAGCAGTAAAGTTGAAAAATCCATATAGCAGTATGTATGGAGGTGTTTTCTGAAAATAAAAACAACGTATAGAGTTCGTAGGCTGTCTTGCATACAATTCAGAATCAAAAAAAAACTTTTTAGATACACTGGATGATGTGCCTATCATTAAATGCAATAATAAATAAAAATATAACATCATATTAACATTTATCTCATTTTACTCTACATCTTCGATAAGTCACATGGTTCTCTGACTAACAAAAATGGTTTCACAGATTTGATACCGATAAGGTATTTCTAGTGTCCAGAGTTCAGCTTTTATGGGAGCTAGGTGAATGTTAGCTATGAGCAGAAAAAGAAAGAGCTGCAATTTTTCAACAGTACAATCTGTACAACAAAAATTGAATTTCGGCTATTTCAAGGAGTTATCTTTAATCTTAAGAGTGATGCCAGAGTCAATGTCTTGTGAAGGGTAAAGGGTATAGTCATACCTCATCTTTTAGGCTTTCGAGTTGGATAACATGCTCCTTCATAGATGCCCTCCGTGCATTCACCTGCCCGCTCAGTGTCTCCACCTGTTGGCGGAACTGAGTGCCCTCGGTAGCAACCATACGGAGCTGTTCATTTAACCTGTCATTTTGCTGCTGAAGTTGCTGCACAATTTGGATTTTCTCTCTCTCGCTGATTTTACTGAAAGACAAATTTGTCAAGAATCAAAATATGTGAAGAATCAGGTTGAGGTGTTGCTTTCAATATAAAATCAATAGAGACATGGGCTTGTACTCCCATAATGCATTTGTGTTTAAAATATGAACAATAACTTGCCAATTATAGTCAAATTTTCCTAATACAGAGAGATGGGCAAAGGCAATTTCTATATCCCACAAAACTTGATGGGAAATTTACTACTTGCCTCATAGGGTCTTTTGTTAATATTCTTATATTTATATGATGGTATTATGAATCTTCAGGCATGTTCTAAAAAGTGGACAGGGCTTGATTGGGCCATCTTTTAGACATTACCGATGCCAATCCACCTTTTAGAACATGCCAAATTTTTATATTCATGTACATGTACCATATTTTTATGCACACACAAACCAAACATGTCTCAGTGGAATAGGTTGCAAACAGGATACCCAATGCTACCCAGTACCATGTACTCATTCATAAAATATTCCATATTCCATAAATGAGTGCCATATTAAAGTGGACAGAGGTAAGGGCTAGGTGTGGGGCTAGCATCAATCGAAATCTAAGGTTCAATGATTATAGACATGATATCAACTTCTTTAAATGGGCAATTAAACCAGACACGTAGTCAAATCATATCTGACAGGCAGGCAAAGAGGTGGGAGGGGGGTAATGGCTCAGCTAAGTTCCCCGGGCCAAGTTCTGAAACTCACACAGATATTATATTCTCTAAACATAGCCAATGCTGCAGCAAGGACTAAGAAATACTACTGGACCAATTAAAAATAATCTCAAACCCAAAGCATTTGACACAATAATCAGAAAACTGCCAGTATCATATAATTTCAAATAGCCAATAATAGTCAGATATTTTATAAACTTTTATGGTGTGAAAACTCAGAACAAATCACAGCCACCTAATTCCAACATCTGGAGTTAATGCAACAGCTGCCACTAGATGGCCTGGTAAAAGTGTTAAAATGAATATTGGACTCAAGCTTATTGGAGATTAGCGTATTGATTTGCATACACCAGGTTGATCAATAAGTTCTGAGAAAAATACTCTTGAAATAAGAGTTTTGGAACTTTGAGACTACGTTATATTTTCACTGAAAATAATGGCATGGATTGGATCGAATTTATGTCTTCTCTATCTTTCTGAAAAGTATGGTTACTATGGATACTCATTCTTGTTACATTATAAGGATGTGATGCCAGAAATGTGTTAACACCAAGCATTGTTATTATAAGAGTACATAATGAGATTTTCCATTTTCCATCAGAAGGATTTATGATACAGTGATCCTCATGCACTGAAACAATAAAGTGCTAATCAGATATCATACACACATATATACATGTATTGATTTGCAATCTGTAACAAATAAAAATGTGGCTATCCTTAATGAAGAACAGGCCCGAAGAGAGGTTCATCTTTGAATTCTGGGTTATTTCTCCCTTTTGGCCAAGGATGGTAGTTGATTATCAATACAAGAAAACTCCACAGAGAAGAAAATCCCACCGAACAAAACTTATTTTATCAAATTACGCATATTCATGATGAAGTGTATTCAGTGAGATAAAAATCTCAGATTCAAAACATTGGACCCAATATGATGGAAATCATCACCATTGTACAAATCAAGGACATCTATCTCTACAGACATCTGCACTGTCCACTCTACCCATAAATATGTACACACAAGTGCCAAAGGGAAAGGGCCAAAAGTTGTCACAGAACCCAGCAAGAGAAAGAAACAACAAAAAGGTGTACAGCAGTCATAAGAAAACAAACCCAACTATCTCAAACCATAATTCAATGTGAAAAGAAACAATGCTTAATAACGTACCCCCCTCCTACCGCACCATTCAAGTTCCATATCAAAATCCAGGACCATAACAAAATAATAAGTTTGTTAACTCAGGTCATTAATGAAGGGAGAGAATCTGGTAAAACTTACTTTTTGTCCAATCTAAATTAAAAAGATTAAAATTATTTCAAATGTGAAGATTGATCAAAAATAAATGTTAACTAAATATGTTAAATATATGTTAACATGAACCATAGGTAACATCAAAGGTGTAACCATTTCTACTCAGTATTCCATACTACTTGACTAATCATCCGGACACTCGATAATGTTTGGGAAACATCTTTCTAAAGTCTCACAAATATTTTTTTAATTTTTTTTTTTTTAATTTTTTTTATTTCAAAGAATAAGAATGTTAAAGCAATTGCAAAAAACAATTACAATACAGTTACATGGTAAACATACATTTTACACTTTCACAATACAGTATTTCACAAATATTGGTCTAGGAGTATTGAAATGGCAACATCTTTGACATTACTTCTGGATCACCAGGCCTGTAGCCAGGATTTGCCAAGGGGGGTTCACCTTTTGAAAAATTCCAGAGGGGTTAACTTTTGATAATGTTGGTCCAAAAATGGCCAAAATCACTTAAACAGTGCTCAGAATAGTAAAAAACTGCATGATTTTGTAAGAATTTCTGGCAAGGGGGGGGGGGGGTCGCTCGAACCCATCAAACCCCCCTGGCTACGGGCCTGATCACCCTGTAACAAGACCTACCTATGGTATTGTTGTTCCTCTAACTGTTGCTTCAGTATAGCTATATCATTCTGTAGTTCCCTCACTGTATTCTTGTATTCTCCCTCTGCACTTTCTAGCCTGATTTTCAACTCATATTTTTCTTGGGTGAGATTCTGCAACATAACGCACAATTTACATGTAATGTTATCAGAAATAAGATAACAGGGGGCTTTTCACGATTTTGAATTTTACTGAAATTTTCTAAGATTTTTTAATTTTATTAATTGAACAAAAGAAGACACGCAGTGATAAATAACATACTCTAAAGATCCGCCCCTTGTAATCATAACAAAGACCCCAAGACGCTTCAATCACCACAAGATTTCAGTGAATGACAGATCGACAGATAGACAAACAAGGCACAGGACGTGAACGAGATCACACCATCAAATAGGCAGACACTATGAACCAGGAAAACTGTTCTCCTATTATGTTTACAAATTTCAAGAACAAGAAACAAGATTTTTCAAAAAACCTTCAAAATGGCCACCAGAAAACAAGATGGCCGCCCAAAAGTTAATCAGCTCTAGTACTTGATATCCTCTATCATTTGTGTAAATTTGAAGGAAATCCGATGAGCGGTTTTCCTGAAATGGCGATGACAAGATTTTTTGAAAAACCTTCAAAATGGCCACCAGAAAACAAGATGGCTGCCCAAAAGTTAATCAGCTCTAGTACTTGATATCCTCTATCATGTGTGTAAATTTGAAGGAAATCCGATGAGCGGATTTTCTGAAATGGCGATGACAAGATTTTTCGAAAAATCTTCAAAATGGCTGCCAGAAAACAAGATGGCCGCCCAAAAGTTAATCAGCTCTAGTACTTGATATATCCTCTATCATTTGTGTAAATTTGAAGGAAATCCAATGAGCGGTTTTCCTGAAATGGCGATGACAAGATTTTTCGAAAAACCTTCAAAATGGCCGCCAGAAAACAAGATGGCCACCCAAAAGTTAATCAGCTCTAGTACTTCATATGCTCTATCATCTCTGCGAATTTGGAGAAAATCTGATGAGCAGTTTTCCTTAAACGGCGATGACAAAAAGCGGGACAATCACGATCACGACCACGATCACGACCAGTATGACGACTATATCCCACCGATGGTGTGATAAAAATTTAGTTGATGGAACAAATAGTAAATTGTCAAGGGGAAGAGGGATAACATGTCAAGATCTAAGATTTTTTATTCATGGGATCCCGGCATGGGATATAATTTTTCGGGAACTAAAATCCATTGGATACACGTTACAAAATCATATTTATCTTAAGAAATCGAATCAAAACAAAATTAATGACGTAATAGCCTGATAGATTCCAAGACTCTGCCAGTGGTATATTAATAATAGATCTCCCTGGGAGAAATATATGTTGCTCACTGGCTCTCACTAGCCCTTACAAAAAATCCATACACATACAATCAAAACATGTTACCCTATTGAATGATTTCAGTTAAATAGACCTCATATAGAAGTCCAATACATCAATCAAAAATATTTCACATGTCGTTGTTTCTGTAGAATCTAGTTTATGGAAATACACAGAATATATAAAAATCATCCGAAAGAGTAAGGGATTTCAGAGCTTCCAGAATTGACGTCTGCTTACTGTTTCGATGGATTACTGCATGGATATTGATTGGCATAATTCAAAGGGATAAAAATAAACGGAAATAATTTACACTTTAGCAGAGACCTACTGTTGTATAAATATATGAATGTCAACCGAGATTTCTTACATAAGAGCAAGTCATGGGGTTATACCTGTCCATGGGCATCTGAAAGGGGGGGGGGGTGCAATCGTACCTACCCCCCTTGGTGCTGAGGAGACTCGGAAAGGACAATATATTCTAGTCTGGCGAGAGAAGTAGAGAAACTAGGCTTGAAGATCAACCTATGATGATGAAGACTGCTTTTTTGGTATTTGTAGATGTAGACGCAACCCCCACCCCCTTGGAAACACCCCCCCCCCCGCTGTAACATAATATACATGTACTATTAAGTTTTCCTGTTTTATAATCCTTATATAGTGACTTAAATTGTTCAATATCCTGTTACTATAAACCACTTATTTCCTTGTCACTAATTTCTTTTGGTCCCTCAGGAAATATCATATTGGCCTTACATAGCTAGAAACCATATTCAAACCCATTTGAATAGGTTTTCAATGTAAATGTTATATATGTATAAGGGGTCTTCTTATTGAAAGCAGACTAAAAATGCGCTCTCCAAATTAATACTCAAATATCGTATATCCCGACATATTGGAGTGAATAAACTCAACAAGGAACTTTATACAAAGGATTTACTTACCTTAACGCAAGGATTGTATGAAGAACAAAACGCTAAAACAGGTTACGACAACAGTTTATATCACGTTTTGACATTTTAATTGTATTATCGGCGACTGCGGTCGATAGACCCCATATACTAACTCTAAAAACGTTGCTATTTGACTACGTTAAAAAGACAACGTTTCGTGCAGTGTAAAATTCGTTTCATACAGTGTAACGTTCAGTAATCATATTTAGTGAAATAACCGGGTAGCTACGATGTCTGATTTTAAAGTCTTTATGTCCAACAAGGAAGTTGTGAAACGTATTCAAACCATTGGTAGTCATTACAGGAAGCACGTTCCGAGTAAACTAAAGAAAGCAACCGGATCTAAATCTAAATTAGCAACGCTGGACTCTCTCAATGAACATTGCAGCTCAGATACATACTGTGTGTTCAGAACGAATCAAGATGGGTTGTTAAACTGGATAATAACATTACACCTATATTATGAAGACTATAACAACAAACAAATGGAAATCTGTGAGGATCTAAAGAAGATCAGTGTAGAAGCATCAGAGTATAAAGTAACAGTTTTCTTAACAACTGGAACCATTCAAATACAAGGAAATAACATCACTGAATTCAAATCCCAGGTGTTTCCAATCTTGAAAAGCACTACTTATCAGATCAAGCAATCAAACACAGAAAAAAAGGACAATACTCAAGATCAGTCAAATACACAGATAAAGAGCATAACATCTACAACCGATATTAACGATCATGAGATAAAAAGCACAGAAAATGATACCATAAACAATGATTATCACGACAACGAGGTCACAAATGTAAAACTAAGATGTACTCAACCAGACCATGAAAATGCACAGGACGAGAACGAGATAGAGGATTTGGAAGATAACAACGTTCACGAAAATAACATCATGAACCACAATAATCACGATAACGAAAATCCAGCTGTAAATAACGAGACTCTAACTGTAAATAACGAGACTCCAACTGTAAATAACGAGACTCCAACTGTAAAAAATAACGAGACTCCAATTGTAAATAACGAGACTCTAACTGTAAAAAATAAGGATGGCGACAAAAAAACAAAAGTAACTTCAACAGATAACGTGTCTGAAACCGAATCCAATAATACAAAGAGTTGTGAGACCAGCATCCTTCAGCAAGAACTGTCAAAAATAACTAGAAAGATGGAAAAATAAGAAAATACAGTTTGCGATCTAATAGACAAAGTGAGTGTGAACAACGTATCACAGAAAGAAACGCGATGCTCAGGAGAAGAATCGACTTGCGAGCATGATACAGAATTACGCAGAGTAAGAAAGATAAGAAAAGAACAAGCTGATTTTGTTACAGACCAAGCCAGAAAAATTAAGGCGTATCAAAGTGAAATTGATCACCAACAAACAATTATAAGTTCAAAAAACAGGGAAATCGAAGAACTAAATGAAAAGATTCAATCAAAGATGCAAGTAATATCCAAACAAGATGATGAACTTCACGATCTTAACACACTGAGGAAGAAAGTGGAGAAACAGGATTCAGTTATCAGATCAAATAAGAATGAAATGGAAGAGCTACAACAAAGAATAAAAAATAAAAAACAGTATTTAGAAGATAAGGAAGAGGAAAATTTTGAACTCAAACTCCAGTGCAAAAAATTAGCACACGAGAAGAAAGACGACACGCCTTACACAGTGGTAACCACGAAATCTAACAATCTAATAGAAATAACCAACGATGAGAATAGCGAGAAGGAACCAACTGTTAAACTAATCGGATCAAGCATTTTGTCCCATGTGGATGGCAAGAGGATGAGCGGACTTAACGTGTCAGTTGAACAGGCCTATACAATTCAACAAGCTAAAGATTACGTAAATGGTTCAACTTCAAAACCAGACATAACAGTGTTCCAGGTGTTAAGTAATGATGTCAAATAGTACAATCAGATGAAAGGATCATCAAATCGATGGAGGAACTGGTCAAACTCAACGAAACAAAGGCTCCGAACTCGAAGATTATAGTGTCCTTACCACCACCGAGAAAAGACAACCCAAAATGGAACCTCCGTCAGAAATCTATAGCTAGCCAATTGGAAGTACTATTCCACGATAACGACAACGTCACATGCTGCCCCAATGACAATCTAGGACTGAATGGCCAACCGAAACCCCATCTCTACAGAGATAACGTACATATTAACGAACAAGGAACTAGAATGCTCTGCGGGAATATACTTCGCACGGTTAGAAAGTTTTGTAATCTCTCCCAACCAGCACATCGTAACAACAATAACATGACCAGCAACAATAACTTTTATGGATCTCGGCCAAGATATAGGCAACAGTATCAAAGATACTAGATTCGGGGCCTGATGGTAATCTAAACTGATCATCAGTGACTACACTAGACGAATTAAACGTTATTTAGTTAAGATGTTTCATTATTTTGTAAAACTATGGTAATTAAGAATGTAATCACGAATTTTACTCATTCATTCCGTTTACGGTTTTAAGTCAAGACATACATGTAGGGCATAGTATCAAATATACTATCGATAAAGGAACTGTTGATCAAATATACTATCGATAAAGGAACTGTTGATACTCTAGACTGGTCAGCGAATTTACGACCATAAACGGATTGTTAACTTCTACTCACTCAAGACCAGCGATATTATTGTATTGTATTGTAGTATAATGTAGTATTGTATTGTGTTGTACTATATTGTATTGTAGTATAATGTAGTAGTAGTTTCCGATATGTATTCGATATGTAATCAATATACTCCAGATATGGTTTAAAGCCAGGATATACATGTAGGTCACAGTTTCAAAGACACTTCAGTCAGATAAAATGACTGTATAATTTAGACAGATCAGCGACTAAATAAGTTATATAAGACGTTTAATTATATTATAAATTCAAGTAAGAATGTATAATACTTCTACGCATTTAAGACGTTATCAGCAGAAGTACACTATATGCAATCATTACATTATATTTTCAGTATGTCGGGATGTAAGATGTAAGATGTTGAATGTTAATTAACATATTTACGTATTATAATGATATATAAAAATACGACCATTACCACACATTTAAATATCGCTTGCTGGAACGTTCAGGGAATTGAAAGCAAAGTAAGAAACAAATTGCACGATAATGATTTTATCAAAGAATTAATAACACATGATATAGTCTGTCTAACCGAAACACATGGTGATGAAAAAGACCCGATATGTTTTGATAGAGTTAAGGGCTTCACATAATTTTCGGTAAATAGAGCTAAATCTGGCAGGAAACGTCATGGCGGATTAGCTGTACTTATAAGAAATACATATATAGCAGGAACGACAATAATCAAAACGAAGACACCAGATATCCTGTGGGTTAAACTTTCAAAAAAGTTCTTTAATACAAGTAATGACATGTACTTATGTATAACGTATTTTTCACCTGCAAACTATAACCCAAAGGGTAAATTCAACTCAGGGGATGACCCATACGAGATTTTGACAAAAGAAATAAATAAATATTCTAATATAGGTGATGTTATGATTATGGGAGATCTTAATTCAAGAACAGGTGAAGTACGCGATTTTGAAAATAATCACGGTTATGATGATCATATCCCAAACATTCTGCTTTGTCCCAACGATGTCACCATCAATGAACGTTCCAGCATGGATTCAGTTGTTGATGCTTCGGGTAAGAAGCTACTAGACCTATGCAGGTCATCTAATTTACGAATTATAAATGGCAGAGTAATTGGGGACTCGCCCGGTAGATTCACCTGTCATAAATGGAATGGAAGCAGTGTAGTTGACTATTGTATTATTCATGAAAATATGCTTCCAGATATTATGTACTTCAAGGTTCATGATAACCTTTGTGTGCTCTCTGATCATTGCAAGATTTCTCTATTAATGCAAGTACGAATACCAAACGACCACGGTAACAATCGGACTAAAAACAATGGGCATACTATCAAAATGAAACCAATCAAATATAAATGGGACGCCCGTCGCGAGGTACAATTTAAAATGGACCTCTCCAATAATTTAAAAACACGAAATGATATAAATGAACTCAATTACGAGCTAAACGACACCTATAATATTGATGATTGTATTGACAAGCTCGAAAAAATTATAATTAACACAGCAAAAAGAACACTACGAAAAAAGTTACCCTGTAAAAAGAAAGGGGGCTCGATATCTCAAAAATGGTTTGATAATGATTGCAGTATACTGAAAAGAAAGGTTAAGTCAATTGGAGCAAAACTAATAAAATCACCAAATGATAATATGATTAGAGGTAATTACTTCAAGTTGCTAAAGGAATATAGGAAATGCTGTAAGATAAAACAGAGGAAATTCAAAACTAATATGATAAATAAATAAGAAGAACTTTATGACAATGACCCTAAAGAATATTGGTCCCTACTTGAGCAACTAAGGCAAAAAGACGGAAACAATAAGTCCGCGTATATAACACCAGAGAAATGGCATGAACATTTTTCCAAATTATTTGAAAAGGATAAAAATACCGAAAACAACAAAAAAGTCAACGAAATTGTTAAATCAATAGAAAACGACAATCATTTTGACGAACTTAGCTTCAGAATAACAGAAAACGAGGTTTACAAGGCAGTTAAGCAATTAAAGAACAACAAGAGTTCGGGTTTTAACGGCATTAGCTATGAAATGATTAAAGCGTCATACTCAGTTTTAAATAATGTTATCTGTAAAATGTTTAACATATTACTGAGCAAAACAGTTTTCCCTGAGAAATGGAATATTTCATCAATCGTTACGTTATTTAAGATAGGAACGACGAAAGACCCTGGAAATTACAGAGGTATTTTTATTTCTGATTGCTTTGGCAAATTATTTTCAATAATTTTGTATAATAGACTTTACGCCTTTGTACATGACAGAAAAATAATATCGGAAAATCAAGCCGGTTTCACAAAGAAAGCACGAACAACTGACCACATGTTCATAATACGAACCCTCGTGGATAAATATGTACTAAGTGAAAAAGGGAATATATATATGTGTTTTGTTGATTTGAGGAAAGCTTTCGATACGGTATGGCATGATGGATTATTTTTGAAACTTTTGCAATCGGGTGTAAACGGTTTATTCTATAAAATGATAAAACATATATATTCACAATCAAAAGCAAGAGTCAGACTAGATAATGAGGGTTTATTTACCAATGAATTTGACTGTAACAAGGGAATAAAACAGGGGGACCCCCTGAGTCCTCTTCTATTTAATATATATATAAATGACATTATTAAAACATTAGATCTCAAAACAGACCCATTATTAAATAATAAGCGAATTGGAAGCCTCCTTTTTGCTGATGACTTGGTAATTATCGCATCCTCAAAAGATGAAATGCAAACCAAATTGGACAAATTAGAAAAATACTGTGAAGAATGGCACTTAAATATCAACACTGATAAAACCAGAATTATGGTAATGAATAAAAATGGTAGACTTATTGATAATCACTTCTTTATAGGAAATTACAAAATAGAATCTGTTTCACGATACATTTACCTGGGAATGGAATTAAGCATAAGTGGGTCAATGAGACCTGCAGCCCAGCATATCAAAGACAAAGCTGAAAAGGCAAAATTTAAATTATTAAGTCTAATTTCTAATGGTAATATGAAACCATCATTATGCTTAAAACTATTTGATCAACTCATAAAGCCCATATGCCTCTATGGATCTGATATATGGGGTACGGGTATCTTAAACTCGAGTAAAATTAAAAAAGACCCACAATGGGCATTAGAAAAGGGATATGATGGAATAACATTTGAATCTCTTCATATATCATTTATGAAATCGATACTCGGTGTTAACAGAAAGGCCAGTAATGACGCTACACGAGGCGATTTAGGTAGGTTTCCACTATTTATTTCTTTGTTTTATCAACAAATGAAATATCTTAATCATATTAACAATAAAGGAACCGACTCGCTTCTACGTGAAGCCCTTGAGGTAAATAAACAACTGACAGATATGAATAAACAATCATGGCTCACGCACATCAATGATGTACTTAAATATATTTACAATGGTACTTCACCAAACTATTTAAACTTAAAACCAAGAGAAATTAAGAAATTACTGGAAAATAGATACATACAATTTTGGGAAACTAAAATAAAATCAAATAATGGTAAATTGAGGTTTTATAAGATAATAAAAGCAAAATGGAACAAGGAACCCTACTTGGATTTAATCAAAAATGAAATAGACAGAAATAACTTGACAAAGCTAAGAATTAGCGCACATAAATTAGAAATCGAAACAGGTCGTTACACAAAACCAATTACCCCTATTGAAGAAAGAAAATGTTTAATGTGTAACAAGAAAACCGGTTCAGAATGTCATTACCTATTAGAATGCAATAAGTTAAAAGATGTTCGGTCAAGTTACATGGATAAAATAAAAAAACACTGTCAAAATTTAGAAAACATGAATAACGTGGAACATTTATTAATGTTTCTATTTAATTCAGAGGGAATAATATTAAATATACTAGCAAAATATATATCTAATATTTTTATCCAGAGAGAAAAAAAACACGAAATGCATCCAATAAAATCTTGCAATGATCAAGCACCCTTTGATTAGTTAATATACTATATAGATAATTAGTTAAGCTTTTTCATTTTTTTTTCTGTTTAAGCTGTACACTTTGCCCAAATGTGGGATACAAGTATAATAAAGCTCATAATAATAATAATATATCTGTGCCTACCAGTTTAATCAAATGCTCTGACAATTCACAAGAGCTTGCTGCCAAATATGCAAAAGGGAGAGGGCGCCCCAAAGACAGGAGGGGCATTCAGAGGGGGGGGGGGGGAGTCCTCCATTGGCAAAAGCTGCCAGAGCTATCATCCAGTAATTAGGTTATTACATTCCTCCAGTGTTGACTCATGAAAGTATGATCATTCATTAGTTTAGAGATATATTTCTTATATTGAACAAGGCACTAACATGCAAAATGTCACCACCTGCCATTTGTTACAGACACCGAACACCACTTGTTACAGACCACTTCTGGTGATGACATAAAAACAGTATTTAAAAATAATGTCTATATTAGCAAAGACTAAGGTTCAAAGTCCATATTCCTAATAATGCAGAAAATGAAATCACATTTTTATGTTCCGTGAATACCGAGTAATTGAATACTCTAAGTACCAGTATATCTGTGGCAATTTGCTTCAGAGACTCTATGACTCAGTGATCATATAATTACATTAAGTGCATTCATTGACCGATGCAACGTTGAATTAAGCGGAGAATAACAAAACTAATGGGACGTCTCCCTTTTCGTTTCTAATGATTTTTTTATACCGACAACTCGAATGCTGATGTTCAATAATTTCTATATTTGATCAAAAATAAAATAAGGATTATACGGGGAACATGTCGATTGATTAGAATGTTTTTTCAATCTGACTAATTAAGATATCTTTGGACATTTGATATTCGAAATCCCTTCGAATTCCTAAAACTATACGAGGAGGAGATCTGGAATTTATTTAGTTTATCTTTCTCTCAAATAGTAATGTCAAAACAGATAATTGTGAGGTTTATCAAAGATAATTTTTCAATTTTCAAACAACTCGATATCAGTCACTGGATGACTCATTATTGGTCATCGCATGACCTTGAGTCGGGTGTTTGCTAAAATAAGTCAAGTAGAGTAAATTTTTTGATGAATTTTCAGATCTGTTGCTAACAAATAGTGTAGAACCAATCAAGTGGAACATTTCTGTTGGTGAAATACCTCTGTATGTGGAACGCCTTCCATTGACTTAAATTCAATTCAACCTCTATAAGTGGAACACCTCCAAAGTGGAACACTTTTAAGCGGAACAAAGGGTGTGCAGTTGTAGGTTTTACTGTATGTAACTGACTCACCATAAACAGTGTTTTTGGGCCCACTCGAGGTTATCATGCCAGATATTAACGTAATATTACTCAACGCATTTTTAGAAAATATTGAAACGGCCATTGAATGACGACACATGTCTGTAGATTTGACCAATTTGCGACAAGGTCTTCTGACGTTCTTAACGTCATCTCTGAACCCTGGGGTTTTACCACCTCTTTTACACTATTTAGATCACATGTATGTATACACAATTCAGTTACCTCAATTTTTTGTGTGTATTCCTTAGTGAGGTCTTCATTTTGACGTTGTAGTTCTTCGTTCTTCTCCAGTAAAGCCTTTCCTAATTCAGCAGCAAGCATCAAATCTTCCTCACGCTGTGCAAGTTGTGAGTAGACATCATTTTGTTCCCCTTCGACCTGGTCATCATAGCCATTGCGGTCCGAGCACTGTTGACCATATTCACCCATATTATCATCCATATCCTCCATATTTGGAGTTTTGTATATGAATTTTATATGATATCCTTTTGTTCTATTATTAGTTTATATGATGCCATTTCAACAATGGTCTACATACTGTATTTCATTTGCTTTTTGTTGAAAGTTGAGTCCCTAATTTTTTGGGAGAAAAAATATTGATTTGAAGATTTGTGATTGAAGTTGAAATTTCAACCAACCTAACCTTTTATCAGTTTTCAATGTGCATCAATATGGTTGAAAAATTATCATTAATCACGGTAACAAATATCTTATTACGTAATGTAGACAATTAAGTGTAATTTCGATGATTTACATGACACCTGGAACGTTTGTTTTCACATATTGATCTGTCCTAAATTTTGAAGAGCTCAGCAAGATGTTTGAGTGAACCGAAAGTAAAAATGACACAATTATATATTTCAAATACAATTGGAACTGATTTATTTGATTCAATTACTATCTTATTTTAATGAATGTCAAAAACATATTCATTTTTAATCGGTTTTTGATTTAAAAATCAACTTATATGACTCTGCGGATCTATTGATATTGGTATTTGTTGACACTTTAAGGTCACAACACTGGAAAATTAACCAATGAAAATTCAAAATTTATTCAGTCCGAAAAGCAGCGGTAAATTTCGAAAATGAAATAACAGAAAATCCATCACATTATATGGAATTATTGGCATAATCGGTGAGTATACTTGATTTTGTTTATGATAAGCAACATTTTGATATATTCCTGTATACATTGATGTATAGTTTATGCCTGATTTTGAAATAGTTGTGCTTCAAACAAGGCTTGAATTTTTGGGAAATTTTCAAAAAAGTATTCTGATTTTCTGTTTCAAACAATATTCAAATATGAAAACAAAAAGAAACCACATGAAAGTCCATGGTACAACAAATTACAGGAATCTAAAGTTATCTGACATAAATCATCTCTACTGTTCACCATATTTGTTTTCAGGAGTAAATACCCCCATTTTTACATTGGACATTGTCTAGTCAAGTGAACTCGACTTAATGTTGTTGTTTCACGTTTCTTTTTGACGATTTGGATATTTGTTTTTTATTTTTGTTTTCAACATTTGCGTCGAGGATATTAAGCCCTGTATATTGCGGTAAATGCTTTTCTGCCCTCTATGCTCAACAAAAGTTACACAGATACGATAATGGATCCAATGCTTCAACTAGAATGTATTAACTCTTACCTTAAACACAGGAAATACTTGATAATTGAAGAAATGTAATCATTTTCGTATATGTTTGAACCAATTTCCAATATGGTTCTCAAGGTCACTCAAGGTCACTGAATACTGTCTAAATGTGAAACCATCCAACCAAAACGAAATCGTAATTATTTATTACCAACATATCTGTTTTCGGTTTCTTCACCCTCCTTGGTGTCTGAGAAGGCGATTCAATTGTCATAAGACGATGATAAACTTTCGAGTTGAAATCTGGATCTCAATATGGCTGCTGTTATTTATTGTAATTTCGTTTTTCGCTTCACCTAGAGTTTTACTTTTACACAATCATTACCCAGAATGCATCTACACATGGGGAAAAAAATTGTTTCCAGAAAAATTCTTATACTTCTTCAATTATCAAGCGTTTGACGTGTGTAAGGTAGGATTAAATACATTATCGATGAAGAGCATATTCTAATACATAATTTGTGTGATTTTGGTTGCCTAAACAGGCCAGGAAAGCATTTCCCTCAATTTACAACCGGGAAGTGTGTACGACCCTAGTATGCAAGAAAATAACAAAAAATAAATATCCAAATTATCAAAAAATAATGACAAATAAAGCATACGATGGTCGGATTTATATGACTAGACATTGTCTGGCCCAGATTTACTTCCTGCGAAAGCTATTTGGAGTTTGATATACCGTATTCTCTGTAATTAGCGCCCAGGGCGTTTAGAAAATTGAAAATACATTATTTAGACCATTCTAATAAGCGCCCATGTATGAAAGAAATCAGAAATCCCGAGGAATTTCATGTATGGCAATTTTTCTTGACAAGAATGCATTTTCTTCAACATATTTTTATAATAATATGACAAGTGCTGTTATTGGAGAGAATACGGTAAAGATCGCTTAGACAATATTGACAGTGGTTGAAGACCCGTCTATGTCTAATTTATTTCCGGCACGCCCACTTTGTCATTATCGCCGATTACCTTCAATATTTCTACTAGAGACTGCTGGATATCGATCTAAAGTTATACATTATTTCTAATTTGATGAGAGATCATCATTATTCGTGCAAAAGTCGTGTAAAAGTCGAGAAACATTAAAAAGAAACCAGAAAGTTCACGACCTTGACATGTGCAGAACATCTGCGCAGTAGCTTTTGAAATTTCTGAATGCCGATAAAGAACAATTCCTTCATTCATTATGGACTATTTGGAGACAATATTAGCATGGTATGGTGTGGGAAGCACCCATCGATAGATATGTATCGAGAGGATGCATAGAATTACAAAACGCGTCGTGTTTACAGCAGTTTTAGGGTAAGTACTCTATTATCGCCCGCTCCTGGATTTTGAGAAATATTTTTTTCCTGATATATTCTTCAATTCTTGTTGATTCCTCGATGTTTCTTGAACTTTGTGAAGTGGGGTGGGCGCTTATTAGAGAGTGGGCGGTAATTACAGAGAATACGGTAATAGCTTTCCCACGGAGCATTTGGACAGCTGAAAGATTGTGACCTTTGAAAAGCGAATTAAGTCGATCCGTGGCTTATTTTTGGTCTCTAACTGTGTCTTACATCAGTATCTTTTTCGATCAAGACTTGTAATTGTTAGTCGAGTGAATCGTTTTACTGCCAAATTCCAATATGGCGGTTTCTGCTCGGACATTTTCGTAAATCTCCGGAGGTTGTCCGAACCTAAATTTTCACTCGACGAACAATTTAGAAGTCTTGATCGAAAAAGAAGTACTACGGCGCTCCAATACTTACAGGGATTGATGATACTGATGTAAGACACAGTTAGAGACCAAAAGTAAGCCGCGGATCGACTTAATTCGATTTCAAAGGTCACTATTGATTAGACGGTGAACACCGCCTCTAATGCGTTGGATTGTCGTAAGGACTTGCATTAGAGGCGGTGTTTATCTTTGTAAATTCATGCCAATCTAAGTTTTTCTTGATTATTTTTGACGGTTCACTTTATTTTAATCTCTGCGTCATTTACAGAGAAATATAAACAAAATGGATACATTGATGATTTATACAAAAAATTACCATAGCTTTGTGGTTGTAGAAGGTTGTATTGTGCTAATTTTGTAGCAAAATCGCAGTTTGTCGCTACTGTTCACAAAATCTTTATGGCGGCTTCTATTCTCATGAGATTTGACGAGAGTAGCCATTGAATATTGCTGCCATCTATTTAACAATACAGAGTTTATATCATTCATTCGACCATCATGTATTCGATGGAAGAAATCAATGATCTCTATTCGCATAACATAAAACCAAAGTTTGGATTTGATTTGAAGCCAGAACAGTTACAAGACGTGATAACAAACATATTGAATCAAGAATCCACTATAGCAGTTTTACCAACTGGTTATTGGAAAACATTACAACACGTGATCATCAAATTACATCACGTCACGTGATCATCACACTGATTTATGCAACGCATGCGCACTTGAAATTAGGTCAGCGAAAATGTCAAGAAGACCGGTCAGAAATGCAATTTCGTCTTATCTGCAACGATTACACATAATTATTACTGTAATAAAGCGAGGCATTTATGGGTTCATTTTGAAGATTTTTGGTCCCGCTATCCAGTGGTGAAAGAATTTTCAAGATTGAGGTAAGATCTTGGGAGAAAAGTCAAAAACATCAGATCCGGACTTTTCAGCATTTCTTAAATTTGATAAATTTACATTGCACGTTATGCCCCCCTGGGGCCAACACGATCCTCAGAGACCCAGAGGGTGCATGAATGCACCTACTATTGATCAGCTGTTCACTCCTCCGTTTGAGAGCCATAAGTTTCAAAATCTAACATGGCTCTCGAAGTGAGTAAGCCCAGATTTATTTCATTGCGAGTAGCCAAGATAACAGGGTCAGAATTACCATATTCCATGGCCACTGAATGTCTAAGTGTGGCCATAGAATATAAATAAGACAATATATGTTGTTTTGAATTTGCCTAAAATTGCCCCGCCGGGTTATTTTTATTGATCTAAACATATTAAAGTCACCTTCATTTATCTTTACACGCAGTCCTAGTTCATAGAATCATCGACCTCGCATGATATTTATTATTTTTTATAGTTAAATAAATTTTTTTCGATTTCTACCATTTTCCTGTCGACTTATTTCGTTAGTAAAACTTAAAAAATAAAAAGATCATTGTGTAATAATAAATGGAAAAATATATTCCTATTGTACATAAATTCTATTTGTATATCTTGGATTGCGTCTAGTTTGGCAAATAAAGTATGTGACATCTTATATTTTGAGGCTTCTCTGCCATAGTATTTTCAAAACGATTAACATGGCTGAAATTCTTTAGATTACTAGAGGGTATAGGCTTATTACACAAAAAAACTAAGTAATCTGAAATATACAAATGGCATTCATGTACAATTTGAATAAACTTTTCCATATATTATTGCACAATAGTCTCCTGATTTCTTATTTTTGGGGTTCTACTGACATAATAAACTAATGAAATGGACTCTAGTTAGAGTTCAATGGGAACTCCAGGAAATTCTGATATTTCACACATATTTCGCAGTGAAATGGGCTGTAGGCTGCCATCTATATGTAAGCTTGTTGAGAACATACAAAAACGGGAGGAATTTAAATGTTTAAATGAAAACGCTCAATATTTCATCAAGACAATCCGTTAGCACAAATCATGAAATATTAACATGACAGTTTTTAGAATATAACTTAAATTTTAAATTTTACGATAGTTCACGATATTCCAGATGGAATTACTTCTAGCCAATTCTAGAGTAAGGTCAGAAAGGTTTCATCGTTGAAATACCAGATTCGTTTAGTCAATCAAACCATTAATTAAGATTTGTGTTGTTATTGTTTTAAGAGTATGGATACTTCAAAGATGGATTCGATGGAGGGGTGTAATGAGCCGATACCCAGTCGAATTGCTAGACTGAACCAGATGGTTTGTGGGAAACCATCAGCAGTAGGGAGAAAGGCTTTAGCATCGAGAGAGGCTTTACTTGATGCCCTTTTTGTGCTGTTTGATGAGTGTCAACATACAGAACTCAGAAATAACACATACATCGCAAGCTTCATATCAAAATGTAAGTCAGAGTTTTTTGTTTTTAGTCTGGCCACTCTTAGAAATTTCAAAATTGAATAGAATTATAATTGAATAACACTGCCTCTAAATTTTCTTAAGATATAAAGCCTTGTTACATCAGTTCTCTGAAAGGTGCTTTTTATGTGAAAATTACAGAGGACCTTAATGCAAATTTCAATACGATATATTTCATTTGACAGATGAGAAAACTATAAACAATCTAAAGCAGCTTCGTATCAACCTGACTGACTTTGAGGCTAAAAAGGTGATTGGTCGAGGTCACTTTGGTGATGTTGAAGTGGTTCGAGAGAAACAGACGGGGGATATATATGCATTAAAGGTCCTACGTAAAATGGACACCCTTAACCAACATGACGTAAGCATCAATCTTTAAATATCGATGTCATGCTTCTTTCTGTAGGTTGCTATAGTGAATATATTTTAATGTGTCTTAAAGGTTTCTATGGTGAATATATTTTATGATGTGATTTTTAGGTTGCTATGGTGAATATGTTTAATGTTTTCTCTAGGTTGCTATGATGAATTCATGTATACTTAAATGTGTTCTACTGGTTGCTATGGTGATTGGTTAATTTATTATTTAATGGGTTGTTTAGGTTGCTCTGGTGAATAATGAATATTCTTTAATGTTTTTTGTAGGTTGCATTTTATGAAGAAGAGAGAGACATTATGGCAAAGGCCAACAGCCCTTGGTTGACTAAACTACAATATGCATTCCAAGATATTGACCATCTCTATCTTGTTATGGAGTTTCACCCTGGGGGTGATTTCCTTGCATTACTGGGCAGGTAAGAATGGCTGTTGGGGTGGGGGTATCAGCCCTTTTACTTGGATTGGGGGTAGGTGAGAAAAGAAGGTGGAAAATATATTTTTATGTATTTAATACACTGTCACCAATTCATACACATTTGTTCATCTCAAGGCAAAACGAAGGATTATTTTAAATCATATCCCTTGTCCTGTTTGTTTCCAGGTTCGATGATATTTTGGCAGAACCCATGGCCAGATTCTATATTGCAGAGATCACTCAAGCAATCCATAGTTTACACAATATGGGATATGTTCACAGGTTAGTATCCATAGTTTACACAATATTGGATATGTTCACAGGTTAGTATCCATAGTTTACACAATATGGGATATGTTCACAGGTTAGTATCCATAGTTTACACAATATGGGATATGTTCATGGGTTAGCATCCATAGTTTACACAATGTTGGATATGTTCACAGGTTAGTATCCATAGTTTGCACAATATGGAATATGTTCACAGGTTAGTATCCATAGTTTACACAATATGGGATATGTTCACAGGTTAATATCCATAGTTTACACAATATGGGATATGTTCACTGGTTAATATCCATAGTTTACACAATATGGGATATGTTCACAGGTTAATATCCATAGTTTACACAATATGGGATATGTTCACTGGTTAATATCCATAGTTTACACAATATGGGATATGTTCACAGGTTAATATCCATAGTTTACACAATATGGGATATGTTCACAGGTTAGTATCCGTAGTTTACACAATATGGGATATGTTCACAGGTTAGTATCCATAGTTTACACAATATTGAATATGTTCACAGGTTAGTATCCATAGTTTACACAATATGGGATATGTTCACAGGTTACTATCAATAGTTTACACAATATAGGATATGTTCACAGGTTAGTATCCATAGTTTACACAATATGGGATATGTTCACAGGTTAGTATCCATAGTTTACACAATATGGGATATGTTCACAGGTTAGTATCCATAGTTTACACAATATTGAATATGTTCACAGGTTAGTATCCATAGTTTACACAATATGGGATATGTTCACAGGTTACTATCAATAGTTTACACAATATAGGATATGTTCACAGGTTAGTATCCATAGTTTACACAATATGGGATATGTTCACAGGTTAGTATCCATAGTTTACACAATATTGAATATGTTCACAGGTTAGTATCCATAGTTTACACAATATGGGATATGTTCACAGGTTACTATCAATAGTTTACACAATATAGGATATGTTCACAGGTTAGTATCCATAGTTTACACAATATGGGATATGTTCACAGGTTACTATCAATAGTTTACACAATATAGGATATGTTCACAGGTTAGTATCAATAGTTATTAAATATATCATTCCAGCTCTTGTAGAAATCATGTTTTGATCCCATCTCTTCTCATTTGTCTGACTTATTTGCTAAAATCACTTTCCATGCAATGCCTGGCTCCCTGAAATCATCCTTTATAACTTTTACAGAGACATCAAACCAGAGAACATCCTTATTGACAGAACTGGACACATTCTACTCGCTGACTTTGGATCTGCTGCAAAACTCAACAAAGACAAAAAGGTATATTAGATTTTTATTGTGTGTATTTATACTTTATTTATATTTAAGGAAAAAATTAAGAATATTAAGCTGCAATGTTAGAGTCTTAAAGCTGGATAATAAAAAAGGTTATTTGAGTATATACTTGAGCTCACATTTTGGGACACCCTGTACATTGAATGCTCAGAGAGCACCCTGTTATTGATATGTCCATTTTAAATATGGTGGAGGTATTGAGAATTAATTAACATGTTATTCTCTTTCTATACAGATTCAGGTAAGATACGTGCATGGATTCATAGTTCATACTCTGGCATATATATAAGGGTTATGTACTGGGAAGTTTTGGATATGGAGTTTATCCAGAGGGAGATATGCATATCTACCTGAGGGACTGTAGGGACCGAAGGTAGATGTGCATATCTCACGAGTGATAAACCCCATATCCAAAGCGAATGTACATAACTGCTTTATCCTATACCCAGTGAAGTTTGGAATTTTAAAAAAAATTCTAATTTTTGTTTCAACATTTTTTTTCAACTTTTTTCAATTTATTTTCAAAGCGGGAAGATATGCCCTGAACCGGGAGATAATGGCTGTAGATATGGAGGTTCTTGATATGGAAACCTCAAAATCAGGATAAGGGATATTTCTTGCCAACTTTAATCTCCTTAAAACTCTACTTGGCATAGGTTAAAGATAATTACAGCATTGGGAAATTGATTTTTTTAAAAAGTTTAATTTGCTCCCCTCTCTCATGTAGAATTTTGTCTTTTGTCAGAGAGACTGAATCTTTTTTCAGAGGGACTCGATCCTTTTTTCAGCGACTCAGTCCTTTTTCAGAGGGACTGAATCCTTTTTTCAGATAGATTCAATCCTTTTTTTCAGAGAGACTGAATCCTTTTTTCTCTCCCTATCAAATGTCATGTAAAAATGACATATTTGGCCTGCCTTGTCCACGGCAGTCCCCTACCAAGTTGTTATCAGAAAATATTCACTTGTAGTCTTGCATGTTCTTTCTGTTAACTGCATCTTGAAATAGTTTCTTAACATTGAAGATTCCTTGTTTCAACTATCATGTATCTAATAAATTTGGAGATATAAAACGTCAATTTATTTTTTTATATCAATGAATTGCAATTCTCAATGATCTTTGTGATCTTAACTATATGTCTATATACTTATCTCCCCTTCCCTATGTATGTTATTTAAGAGCTTTTATCAAACATGTATGCATTTAAAATGCCACTCACTGTTGTATTACATATAATAGTATAGTGTTAAATATGCACACTAGTATATAGTTCACTGCACAAGAATGTTCCAAAAACATCTGCTTTCAATGTGTTATATTGGATGTATGTCAAAAACACAATGTTATGTTGTGGATTTCAATAGAATTTTACTGAAAAGGCAAACGTGTTTTACTGGAAATGGATCTTAACATTTCTAGGCAGTTGCAAGTACTGTATTGACCTTTTCGGGACAGGAGACAACTGTTGAAATTGCCTTATACCCCCCAGCTAATGCAATTTCTGAAAAATATTTATTCCTGAAATAGGAAAACATATTTTTTTAGTGTATGCAAATTGGATACATGTGGTACTGACCAATCAGACAACATTGATCAGATCATTGAAATCATTAAATTATTATGTAACAACCAAAAATAGTGAAATGTTAAAGTCTCAAACTATTTTGTAGCCAACATCGTTAGTCAGCATTTGTAACAATCGTTACACTTTTGTAACCAACTGGGTAGAAATGTAACATAATGTTTGTTATTCACTTGTTTTAGATCGATGCCAAAATGCCTGTTGGAACACCTGACTATATCAGCCCTGAGGTCTTGCTGAGTATGAACAGTAGCGGGGGAAGCAAGGCATATAGCCTTGAATGTGATTGGTGGTCGCTGGGGATCGTTATGTATGAAATGTTGTTTGGAATTACGCCATTCTCAGATGACTCCATGGTTAAGACTTACAGCAACATCATGAACTTTAAGGTAATATATCATGAACTTTAAGGTAAAAGCAATATCATGCACTTTAAGGTAATTTAAATATGAACTTTAAGGTCACATAAATGCAATATCATGAACTTTAAGGTAATTTAAATGCAATGTCATGAATTTTAAGGTAATATCAATATCATGAACTTTAAGGTAATAGCAATATCATGAACTTTAAGGATTTAGAATGCAATATCATGAACTTTAAGGTAATAGCAATATCATGAACTTTAAGGTAATAACAATATCATTAACTATAAGGTAATATAAATGCAATATCATGAACTTTAAGGTAATTTAAATGCAATATCATGAATTTTAAGGAAATAGCAATATCATGAATTTTAAGGTAATATCAATGCAATATCATGAACTTTAAGGTAATTTAAATGCAATATCTTGAACTTTAAGGTAATAGCAATATCATGAACTTTAAGGTAATATCAGTGCAATATCATGAACTTTAAGGTAATTTAAATGCAATATCATGAATTCTACATATTTGAACCTCAGCTATGTGAAAAAAAAAGTTGACCATGCCGTGACCAGGATTCGAACCTGGGTTGCCACGGCCACAACGTGGGGTCCTTACCACTAGACGATCACGGCTAGGCTAACAGGCCAACTTGAAATGATCAAAGCAATTTGAAAGTAATATACTTATTTGACTGGTTAGTTATTAAAAAAAGAATAAAAAAATGGTGACCATGCCTTGACCAGGATTCGAACCTGGGTTACCACGGCCACAACGTGGGGTCCTAACCACTAGACGATCACGGCTAGGTTAGCTGGCCAACTTGAAATGATCAAAGCAATTTGAAAGTAATAAACTTATTTGACCGGTTAGACATTAAAAAATATAAAATAAAAAAATGTTGACCTGATGCCGTGACCAGGATTCGAACCTGGGTTACCACGGCCACAACGTGGGGTCCTAACCACTAGACGATCACGGCTAGGCTAGCTGGTCAACTTGAAATGATCAGAGCAATTTAAAAGTAATATACTCATTTGATCGGTTAGTTATTAAAAAAATTGAATAAAAAAAATGTTGACCATGCCGTGATCAGGATTCGAACCTGGGTTACCACGGCCACAACGTGGGGTCCTAACCACTAGACGATCACGGCTAGGCTAGCTGGTCAACTTGAAATGATCAGAGCAATTTGAAAGTAATATACTCATTTGATCGGTTAGTTATTAAAAAAAATAGAATAAATAAAATGTTGACCATGCCGTGACCAGGATTCGAACCTGGGTTACCACGGCCACAACGTGGGGTCCTAACCACTAGACGATCACGGCTAGGCTAGCTGGTCAACTTGAAATGATCAAAGCAATTTGAAAGTAATATACTCATTTGATCGGTTAGTTATTGAAAAAATAGAATAAAAAAATGTTGACCATGCCGTGACCAGGATTCGAACCTGGGTTACCACGGCCACAACGTGGGGTCCTAACCACTAGACGATCACGGCTAGGCTAGCTGGTCAACTTGAAATGATCAAAGCAATTTGAAAGTAATATACTCATTTGATCGGTTAGTTATTGAAAAAATAGAATAAAAAAATGTTGACCATGCCGTGACCAGGATTCGAACCTGGGTTACCACGGCCACAACGTGAGGTCCTAACCACTAGATGATCACGGCTAGGCTAGCTGGCCAACTTGAAATGATCAAAGCAATTTGAAAGTAATATACTTATTTGACCAGTTAGTTATTAAAAAATAGAATAAAAAAATGTTGACCTGATGCCGTGACCAGGATTCGAACCTGGGTTACCACGGCCACAACGTGGGGTCCTAACCACTAGACGATCACGGCTAGGCTAGCAGGCCAACTTGAAATCAGTAATGCAATTTTAGTTCTATATTGCTTCAAAATGCCCAGGGCTAGATGTTTTGTTATGATTCAATAATTTTTACAATCAAAGTAATTAAAAACTAATTAATAAACATTGATCATTATAGGGGTCAGGTCAAAATAAAGAAGAATCATTTTTCAAATTTTGCTTTATAATCTCAGCCAAGCTTAAGTTGATTGATGCTCAACAAGTAGAAATATCTTTGCAATTTTTTTATTTCATAAAATACAATGCAGTAAGTGTCTGGATGATTAATTCGAATCCAAGTGGTTAGAAATGGAACTCTCGAACAGGACATTAGATTTGATTTTTGAGTTTTTATTTGGCAAAGTTCTAGGAGAAAATGCTTTTGAGGAGGGAGGTAACAGAGATTTTGCTATGTGAAATGTTTTTCCAAGTACAATGCACCGATTGAACAAAAAATATTTACATTCAGATTTCACTTTAGAAAACAATTTTTACAACTGTCTTATTTGGACATAATCCCTTATTCATAAAATGTATCATAAACATATAGCTTTATATCAGATTGAATGTACATACATATAAATTATAATAAACATTTACAATTTGTTTTCAGAAGAACCTGACTTTTCCCAAGGGTGAAAATGTATCAAAATCAGCGAGAGATTTGATAAAGAGGCTCTTATGCAAGGCAGAGGATAGATTCACATATAAACAGATCTGCACTCATGATTTATTTGATGATATTGATATTACAAATATCAGACAAAGTGAGTTTTCTGCATTTTTATAAAAATGGATGTTACTTGTAACTGACTCATATCTGCAAGTTTTATTTTACATAAATACTAAAGATAAAATAAAAAATATCAAATTTAAGCTTGCTCTGAATTTATTTACTTTTTGGTGTTTTTTGAAAAATGTCTTAAAATGTCTTTTGAAGCAAAAGATAGAATTCCTAATTTTGATTTAATTACAAAAATATATTTTTGACTTTGCATGGGACCTTTAGCAATGTATGTTCATTTATGTACCGCTTATTTGATTGTTTGGATTTGTTTTTTTACCAATGAGTGAAATTCCATTCAATCCCTTTGCTTGGTAAAAGTTTAAAATTGTGACACACTCCCAAAGAATATAATTCCAACTTCCTCAATCTGTTTGTTAAAAACTGTTTTGTATTTTGATTATGATTTGACACTTTTGTCCTGCAGCTAAGCCGCCATACATTCCAACTGTAACGGGTCAAGATGACACCTCCAATTTTGAAGAGTTTGACAAAGAGCGGGAACATCCATCCTTCCTCGATGATAACTCTAGGAAGATTTTCTCGGGTCGCGATCTTCCATTTGTCGGATTCACCTTCACAAAGCCGTTAGAAGGGGAAAGGTGAGTAGAAATAATGATTTAAAAAAAAATTCAGAAAAAAGTACTGAAATGGTTTCTGGTGAACTGGAAAAGTGAAAGAATGGCAGAATTTACCAAAAATGCCTGAAAATAATCAGTAGGAATTTTTTGAATTTTGATAATCTAAATATATATATAATTTCCCCTGTTACTTTCATATTTTGCTAATGGTCAGAAATGTTTATAAACCTCCTGCATTTATGCACTTTTATTTCAGAAGTCTAAAATCACAGGAGAGTTTCTCCAGCCCAAGAGTGAGTACAAAACTGGAACATAAGTTGACCATCAGATCCAAGGAACTTATGACTATGAGGGAGAAATATAGCAAGTTGGAAGAAGAGGTATGTAAATAGAGATTATCCTATATGATGTTCAGGATATTGGGATGATCCCAATCATAGGATGATCTGTTTATCCCATACTAATCACATTGATCAATTGTTGCAACCAATCGTGGAATTATTTTAAAATATTCATGTCCAGTTTTTTATTCTTGTCCGTAGCCGGATTTTCCTGTCACAAATATTTGATAATTAACGGGGCATACTGCTCCTTCCCTTCTCTAAAGCATCAAACAGATCGCGATTGTTTGCGTTTTTCTCCATTGTCGTTTACAGTATGCGAACGTTACAAAAAAGAACCAATACGGGAACAGCGATTATGATGTAGCGGGTAGATATACTATATCTGCCCGCTCAGAGCGGGACGTAAAGCTATATCTGCCCACTGATGAAAATATAAGTTTTTACAAACCGGCTTTATGTACCCGTAACACGTCCAAGTATGGGATAAATATAAAATATCTGTCTGTTTATGCGTATATCACTAGAATTTGAATGAAGCATCTGATTTTCTTGCATTTCTTTATAACTTAGAGTGTTGGTTACATGTCTGTTTTAGGTTCTAGTGCAAAAATGATGGATGGTGTTGGTAGGTGGTGTTGGTGTACCAGTAAATACAATGTTGAATTTTCCAGGGGCCCATTACAAAAATGTTAGGTGGTGTTGGTGTACCAGTAAATACAATGTTGAATTTTCCAGGGGTCCAGTGCAAAAATGATGAAAGAGAAGGTCAGTGGCCTCGAGGATGAACTATTAAAAGTTAGAACAGAAAGAGATGTCTTTGAGAAAGACCTTGCAACGTACATCACAGAAATCAGTGTAAGTAAATAAAAGGAAAAGAAGTGTAGATAAGAGGTACTTTTACATGCAGATATAGAAAATTATCTGAAAAAAGATCTTATTCATAGAACATCAGATTATGCCTTAAATTTAAACACATGCAGGCATTACAACAGGTGACATTGATTAAATTACAATGTAAAAACTAATTGTTAAATGGATGTATTTTTGCAGAGTTTGAAAAGGTTGCTAGATTTAGAGAAACAAGAGAGACTGACCACTGATAACAGAGCTATGCAACTACTAGATGAGATAAGGGAACAAATGGAGGTTGCTGAAAAGCTGAGAACTGAAAACAACCAGTAAGTTACATACAGGGGTATTTTAAGCAGGCAACAGGCAATTTATATCGCACTTTGAAAAAGTGCTATATTTGTGCTAATTAGCGTTAAGTGCCACCTATATTTAAGTTCAATTTGAAATGATCATAGATGCAAGAGCAGACTAGCGTCAAGATTTGATTACGTATAAGTGACATGATGGCCATTATGAATTTTTCAATAAAATAGTGCAATATTTATCACTGTGTGTGTTATTCTGTTGGGAGGAATTTTGCACATGTTTTGATGTTAAAATCATAATAATCTTCTATGAATGTTCATCTCTCTGGTAGTAATGTACTATTAACAAAGTTGTTGGTTTTCTTTCTCAGAGATATTTATTTTTCTTTTGACGTTTCGTAGGATGTCCATCCTACTTCTGAAGAGGATGGACATCCTACGAAACGTCCTACGAAACGTCAAAAGAAAAATAAATATCTATAATAATCTTGTTTTTATTTGTAATGCAGGGTTGAGTTGGAAGAACACAAAGAGATTATAGCTGGCCTGGAAGATGAAGCTCTAGAAATGAGGTGTAAGATAGAGAAACTGGAGAAAGAGCTGCTACGTAGGAAACAAGAAGGCACCAAGGCCCAGTCAACTATATCTGAACTCCAATCAAAACTAGCCAAGGTAAAATAATATTTTCTGAATTTCTAGATAGGTTGCTTTCATGTCTAAGAGCAGGTTTCTGCAATTCCAATCCTGTACAGTACTGTATTGAATAGCCCTGTACAGTACTGTATTTAACAGTACTGTACAGTACAGAACAGCCCTGTACAGAACTATTTCTTAAGCAGTACTGTACAGAACGTTTTGAGATTGGCAGTGTGAGACTTTGATATCAACATTCTGGTCTGTGAATTTCAAAGCCATTTTCATATAGTTTAACAATTCTGTATGTCTAATTCAGGCCAAGACTGAGAAGAGGAAGAGCAGCTTTGGGATGAATGTGTTACTAGAGAAACAGAAGGAGACATACTTGGCACAAGAGAAAGAGCTTCAGAGTAAGCTGGAGAAAGCCATCAAAGACAGCTATGACACTCAGAATATGTTGAAAGAACTCAGAGATGCCAAGGAATGTCTAGAACTAGAGGTATAATATGCAGTTGTGCAATATTTTTTTACTTAATACTTAACTTTCATTATTTGTAAATTCATTTATGTTACTTTAGTATTGTAACTCTCTGTTAATAAGAGGTAGAATAAATATACAGCAAAACCCTCCTGAACACCATTACATTTCAAGGATTCGTAATATCTGAATCAGTGAAAGATAATGAAGTGTTCCCATTAAACGTTGCTTGTATTTAAGATGTGTTCAGACATACAGGTCTTCCTGTACACTACATCATTTAGGTCACTTGCAATTTAATGTCGCATCTTGTCATTAAATATGACCTCATTACTTAAAGTTATTTCTTGTTGCTAGGTGACAGAACTGAGGGAGCAGACAATGTCCCAGAGTATGATGGTCGATCAGCTACAAGAGAGTGAGGTATGAAGACAGGGGGAAAGAGGGGGTAAAGGAATAGAGCAGAGGGGGGTAGGGAGCGAGGGAATGAGTTGTAATGCCAGAGTTCACTTTTTCACAGAGTATCAAGAGGGAAGAAAGAGGAAGACTCACACATGTATTATTATAGTTATCACACTCTCGTCCTAAAATTAGGCAATGAGAAGTCCCATATTGGACCACATGCTATTGATTGGAAATTTTAACAGATTTCTTGAATATGTGATAAATTTCAAACATATTGTAATTGAAGAACTACATGCACATCAGATGAAACATAAAGAGGCTGTAAACCAATATCAATTATAAACTTCCTTTTACAAAACTTGCATTTTCTTCTTAAATTACACTTTTAATTATATTTTAAGGTAGGTTAAGATAATCAAAAATAAGCAGAAAACATATTATCTTTTAAATTTTTAGCATAAACGCAGATCATTGGAAATCCAGATGACAAGTTTTGTTGCTTTTGAATCTCGTGAAAATAGGCTGAAAGAAGAAATTGAGGCTAAACAAGAGGAGATACTGGAATTGAAAGAGGAGATACAGGTACAGTATGGAAATTCATTTGGATTTTGTCAAGCTTGTAACTGAGCTATCTTATAAATAAGCTCAAATCTGAGCAGTCTTTCCAGTTTGTATGCAGTACTAGGTCGATTTTGATCATTTTTCATGAGCATGATTTATAGTGTATATAAAAATTAATTTGAACAATTTATACTCAAAATGGGACATGAATTGGAGATATCCCAAGTTGTGCTCTGAAATTTCAGTGGTCTCATTAGTAGCAAGCAACAAGTAAAAAATGCCTGTTTAGCTGAATCGTTAAGGATATTTGCAATTTTGGGGTTGGGGGTTCCAGAAATATGTGCCTTTGGCAGTCACCAGGACCAAAGCATAACATATCTGGTGATATAACTGTGAAAACCTATTACTTTCAGAACATGGAAGAGAGTTTCCAAAGCAAGGAGAGCAGCTACAAACAGGTGGAGACAGTTCTTAGACAGAAGGAGAGGCAACTTCAACTGAAAATAAATGTGAGCCTTTGAAAATAAAATTATTTGCATATTATAGATATAATTATATTTGAAGGTCACATAGCATTTGTCTTAAGATTTATTTCAGATTCTGTAATATGTATTTTCTAATATTGAATTCCATTTCAGAATCTTGAGGGACAGATTCGAGAGATGAAGGGAGAGAAGCGCCTCCTAGAGGAATCCAACATCACTATATTTGATGAAAATGAAACCATGCAGAATACTGTAACTGACCAGGAAAATGTAAGACAAAAAAGTTTTCATAGTTTATTATACTTCAATTATTATACATGTACAGAATTATTATTTTCACATGGAAATGACTCTATAAGTGCATTTGATTGTTCCTAATTCCATCGACCCCTGTGACATTCTTCCTCTGTTATATTCTGCCCATGTGATAATCCCCTATGGTATTTTCACTTTTGATATTCTTACTTATGATATTCTTCCTTGTGATATTTTCACTTATGATATTCTCCCTGTTATGATATTCTCACTTATGATATTCTCCCTTATGACATTCTCCTTTATGATATTCTCACTTATGATATTCTCCCTTATTATATTCTGTCTGTGATAATCAACTATGATATTGTCCCTTATGATATTCTGTCTGTGATAATCCCCTATGATATTCTCCCTCATGATATTTTGTCTTTGTAATATTCTGCTCTGTGTTGCCCCTGTGATAATCTTGTCCTTTGATGATCAACCCCTAAGATATTCTACCCCTGTGGTAACCTGCACTATTTCTGAGTTGACTATTGAAGTGTGTGTTTACTGTTTAGATTATTGCTGACCTGAAAGCCACTATAACAAGACTGGAGAAGGAGTCAACTTTACAACAGCATAGTAGACCTGGCTCCTTCACTGTAACATCAAAAATAAAGTTCCGCAATAATTCAGATGAAAATCAAACAATGAGCACGATTAGTGATATCGATAGCCAGTCAGGAAGCCAGTCTGACAGCCAATCGGAATGCTCCGTTGATGACGTTGAAGGTCCTATAGTACACAGGTCAAAGATCATGCAAGTTACTCTGCAATCGAGGTCAAGGTCACCTGAGCGACGTTCAAATTCAAAGCAAGCAACTACTATTAAATCCTGCACGTCTATGTCAACTTCTCCTGAGAAACGAACTAGTGTAGCTCAAAGGATTAAGATTCACGAAGGTACTTACGATTTTGAATTTCACATTAAATTTTATTATGTCACCACCAGAAGTCGTGACATTTTGTTATAGTTTTTAGCATTCGGTCTGCAACAAATTGCAGGTGGTGACATTTTTCTTGTTAATGCCTTGTTCATTCTTAGTAAGATATTAACTTATATTTTGAACTATCAGTTTTAATTCTGGATAGGAATGAATGCGAGTGTATTTTGAAGTTTAATTCTTATGTTTCTAATACTATTTTATAGGAACCCTACTTATTTATGTATAAATGATACTTATAGAAAGTTCATCAGGTCGAAGGTCAAACAGTACACAGGCGACCCCTAAAAGCAGCAGCTTAAACTTCAAGGAGGTTCGAAGTTACCAGTCATCAGTTTCGGCAGGAACAGGCACCGACCCAACCAATACTACAGAGACATCTATTCAGACGAGGTAATCCTTTTTAAAGCAATATCGGGACAAATGATCATACTTGAAAAAGTTACAATATTTTCGTCTGGTGGCGTTCAAGGCTTTGATCTATTATTCACTGGTCAGAATATCCATATGTGGGGTAACCCTCAGGAAAATATCAATATTTTCCTATGAACGCTTCACTACTCTGTTATTAATATCTTTCTAGGCTTTTAAAATTTATTTTTCTAGTCCAATGCACATTAAGCAAGAGCCAACATTGTCTCAACTACGAGAAGAGAAAGTCCTTTATGAGGCCAGAATAGAAGAACTGGAGGCAAAATTGGAGAATGTGCAGAAGGTTGCAGACGAGGGTCGCCTACGTGGTGTGGAGGCAAGATTTACACTAAGAGAGGTAAATAGAAGTTCAACCCTTAGCTGAAGAATTCTTAATCAAACTGCTTCTTTTCTATTCTTTACTTTATTTACTGACATTGATGAAATTTTGGTAATATTGTTTTCAAATACAAAATTTAACACGAATTGTTTTTGAATACAAAATGTAATTCCATGTTGTTTTCAAATACAAAATTCAACACCATATTATTGTTTTTAAATACAAAATGTAAAGCCATATTGTTTTCAAATACAAAATTTAACACCATATTGTTTTAAATACAAAATGTAACCACCACCTAATGTGAAGCCCCTCACAAAATATAATTTGTTCATTCCTACAGAAAACTAAGGAGTATAATGAAAAATTAGAGAAGTACGAAACAGAACTAGATGAAGTGAAAGAAAAACTAAGTGCTACTGAACTTAACCTTACAAGCTCCAAAGAACGAATAAAAGCTCTGGAAGAAAAAGAGAGCTCTCTAAAAAAGAAGGTAGATGAATTAGCATGGGATGTGCGAAAGACGACGCGTGAAGCGAAAGAGAAGCTTGATGACCTTCAGGCGGAACGAACTAAGTTTGAACAGAAATGTAAAATATTAGAAGAGAAAAATAAGGTATATTATTGAAACATCGAATAATTTACTGTATTTAATTTTTTTATTTAAAATTAATTACTAAATTGAAATACTTTTACATCATGTATTGTACAGTGGTTACGAGAATAAAGTGGGGCACTGTTAATCAGCTCATAATTGGAAAATTGGACTACAAGAAGTACAAACGCGTTTTTGCTAAAATTAATGAAATTACGAGTAGTAGAAAAAATTCAATTTTTTCAACATTGATTAATGATATACATTTTTTTTTTCATTATAGTCCATAATTTTAATTTGAAAATGAAATATAGCAATCCTTTTCGTCATAGACTTATGAAAATATATGTTTCATTTTAGTCCCTTCAAGATGTTGATGCGAAGCTACAGGAGAAAACACGAGAGTGTTCTACATTGAAGCAGAACAACAAAGAGATAGAGCTACAGATCCAACTGCTCCAGAAACAGAAGATCAAACTAGAAGGAGAGTTAGGGAGAGTAAAGGATGAAGCACTTGAAGAGTCAAGGAAGATTGGATCATCTGATCAGGTAACTGAACATCTAAGCTTCATTTCTGATCGTAGACTTGAGTAACATGTATATGTGATTCATTGTGTTTATTTTGTGTGAGGATATAAAGCATGTAAAAGTTTTATGGTGTGTATACCTTACATTCTTCTTATCCCACAGAGGGATAAAGAGAAGCTGTTGATTCATCCATCCATTCATTTAACTCGCAATAGACAGATTGGGCTCAAATTTTATGGGCTTGTGTCTTATAGGGATAGGATGTTTTCGTATGGTGGAATTTGCTACTCAGAGGGGAGTTTTTTTTTTTTTCGTTTTTTTTTCTGAAAATATAATAGAAATCTCTGAAACTGACCCTCAGCCTAAATTCTTCATTATTGCTTTCTTTAATAATAAACTCTTTTGCATATATTTCAGCAAATTGCAAGTTTGAAGTCAATCTGCATGGAGCTGGAGTCTCAAATCACAGATCTTGAGAGAATGAATGGAGAACTAGAGGAAAGGATTGCCAAGAGTCTCCGAGAGCAAACTGAACATAAACAACTCTGGACCCATGAAAAGTAAGGAATATTATCTCATTGAGAATTCTTATTTGAGTTTTTTGATTATATACTGTAACATTTTAAATTGCCACTACCAGTGTGATATCACATGGTATCACCAAAAGCAACCAACTATCCAACCAACCAACCAATAATAAACAAACTGATCAACCAACCGATAATGGGGATCAAAGTTCCTATTTGAGGCTATTTCCATGTAAATATGCTTCTCTAGTCTTGCTCAAGCCAAGTTGTTAAAGTAGATAGTCCAGAGTCTTGAAGCAAAACTAATGAATCGCTAGAGGTTTATTTTTCATTTATTTATGAATTCTGGATATTTCGTCCTCTTAACCCTCATTGTGTGTTTTATGAACTCTGGGTATTTCCTCCTCTTAACCCTCATTGTGTGTTTTATGAACTCTGGGTATTTCCTCCTCTTAACCCTTATTGTGTGTTTTATGAACTCTGGGTATTTCCTCCTCTTAACCCTCATTGTGTGTTTTATGAACTCTGGGTATTTCCTCCTCTTAACCCTTATTGTGTGATTTATGAACTCTGGGTATATCCTCCTCTTAACCCTCATTGTGTGTTTTATGAACTCTGGGTATTTCCTCCTCTTAACCCTTATTGTGTGATTTATGGACTCTGAGTATATCCTCCTCTTAACCCTCATTGTGTGTTTTATGAACTCTGGGTATTTCCTCCTCTTAACCCTCATTGTGTGTTTTAGGTGCAGTTTTGAAAGTAGCATTGAGGAAAAGAGCAGCAAGATTGGACGTCTTGAAATACAAGTTAACTCTGAGAAACAAGCAAAGTGAGAATCTTTCCTTATATGAATCAATTCTTCATTCCTTTATTCATTTCATTTTACCAAAATTGAGCATAAGCCACAAAGCTCATTTACAAAATTTCTTTTTTTTCAATTTTACCTGATTTGAGGTATTTAATTAATTGGCTATGAAACATTTACAGTGTTTGGAAAAAGGTCAACGGTCGATCACATTATATATTTGGGGTTCACATGTTGCAGGCAAGGGGCAGAGAAGAAGCATGTAGAACTGAAGCAGTTATATGACACAGCCCAAGAGAAACACACAAAGGAGGTTGAGGGTCTAACATATTATATATTTGGGGTTTACATGTTGCAGGCAAGAGGCAGAGAAGAAGCATGTAGAACTGAAATGGTTATATGACACAGCCCAAGAGAAACACACAAAGGAGGTTGAGGGTCTAACATATTATATATTTGGGGTTTACATGTTGCAGGCAAGGGGCAGAGAAGAAGCACGTAGAACCGAAGCAGTTATATGACACAGCCCAGGAGAAACACACAAAGGAGGTTGAGGGTCTAACATATTATATATTTGGGGTTTACATGTTGCAGGCAAGGGGCAGAGAAGAAGCATGTAGAACTGAAGCAGTTATATGACACAGCCCAGGAGAAACACACAAAGGAGGTTGAGGGTCTAACATATTATATATTTGGGGTTTACATGTTGCAGGCAAGGGGCAGAGAAGAAGCATGTAGAACTGAAGCAGTTATATGACACAGCCCAGGAGAAACACACAAAGGAGGTTGAGGGTCTAACATATTATATATTTGGGGTTTACATGTTGCAGGCAAGGGGCAGAGAAGAAGCATGTAGAACTGAAGCAGTTATATGACACAACCCAAGAGAAACACACAAAGGAGGTTGAGCGTCTAACATATTATATATTTGGGGTTTACATATTGCAGGCAAGGGGCAGAGAAGAAGCATGTAGAACTGAAGCAGTTATATGACACAGCCCAGGAGAAACACACAAAGGAGGTTGAGGGTCTAACAAAGCAGCTTCACGATCAAAGTGACAGGGCCAGAGAGTTAAGCCAACAGGTACTCATAGAAACAACAGTAAAGCATGTTTATTCGAACACCTCTCTTATCCATAATCCTCTCAACGTGAACACTTTCGTTTCCAATTTTGTTATTTAAAGTGACAGGGCTCGAGAGTTAAGTTAACAGATACTCATAGAAACTACAGTTAAGCATGTTTATTTGAACACCTCTCTTATCCATAATCCTCTCAACGTGAACACTTTCGTTTCCAATTTTGTTCTTTAAAGTGACAGAGCAAGAGAAATAAATAAGCAGGTACTCATAGAAACTACAGTAAAGCCTGTTCATTCGAACACCTCTCTTATCCATAATCCTCTCAACGTGAACACTTTCGTTTCCAATTTTTTTATTTAAAGTGACATGGCCAGAGAGTTAAGCAAGCAGGTACTCATAGAAACAACAGTAAAGCCTGCTTATTCGAACACCTCTCTTATCCTTAAACCTCTCAATGTGCTCACTTTCTCAGCCAAAATTTTGTAATGCTCTACTGACTCTTGTATTAAAAAACCTTGTTTCCTTTTTAGCTGAATGAGCTTGAGAGGAAACACAATCTATTGGAAGTGAACTACAAGGCTGCCAAGCGGAACCTTGAAGCATTCCAGACTGAGAATATAGGACTCAAAGAAGAGGTAAGTGTTTCTCTTGTACATGGTGTAGGGAGATCCATCTACAATTTATATGTCTCATTTATCTATTATAAATAGGTACAGGGTAACCCAAAAAATGCAATTATCTATTTGTTATCTTATTGCTGGCCAAAGCTATTTTTGGAGGTTCTCTTCTGGTGACTTTTTGATGGAAAATTGCATGTTTTCACATTAGCATAAAATAGACTGTATCAACACCCTATGCGCTAAGTTACATGGCATTTGTGAAGCCAATGACAAAATACTTCAATTGCAACCTACCAGGTTCCCCAAGTGACCACTACAATATTTGGTAGGATAACTGGTACAGATTATGTGACAATTACTGGACAGCACCCTGAGATATCTCGAGATTGGTCAACAATGAGTTATTGTGCACATAGGCAGAGTGTTCAAGAATAAACAGTGTCAGTGTAAAGTGTGTAACACTTGTTTTGAATGATTGAGAAAATCATTCTAAAATTGGAAGTTTGGATTCTTTTGGTCACCCTGTATAATTTCCTTCTCTTCCGTCTTAGAAGATAAACCGGTAGATTTTACTGATTGGAAATTAATATTCCAGGCATCCAAGCTGATCACGCAGACCAAGGAGCTAAAGGGAACAAATATGAAGTTAGCTAATGGTTTAGAAGAAGCCTTGGACAAGTGTGAGATATATAAGGATGAGAATGAAGAGATGCAGCACCAAATAGATAGCCTCATGGTAAGAAATGATTGGCTGGGTCTATGGTAGAAAACACATTAGATATATAAGATGCAACATCAAATAATGGTATACAACTACAGTATATAGATGAATACACTATTTTTATGAGAAACAGACATTTCAAATGAAGTTGAATCATCAAGGATTCAATTAAACATTCATTCAACGGTTTAAAATGTATAGAAATACAGAAAATTAAACGTGCCGAGTCACCACCTTAAGTTGATGGCATTCGGTGTCTCCAGCATGGTGTCTGTAACAAATGGCAGGTGGTGACATTTTGCATGTCAATGCCTTGTAATTAGATACAATATTTTTCACTGTGCCTTGTTTGTTGTAGAACCACCATAGGAATGATAAATACAAACTTGAGAGTACAATGGGACAACAGACTAAGCTGATCAGCTACTTGCAGGACAAATGTGATCAGCCGCAAACCAAGAAAAAGAAGAAGGTATGATAGGGAAAAATAAGAGGCAAAACTAAGTTGGTTGGGTCAGAATGTTAATTTGTATGTAGGTTATCCATATAAGTATAGCCGATAATAAATATTTTGCTTGCTCATTTATAACTCACTTATATTCTTCATACACATGTACTTATCATGTATTGATTTTAATATTAATTGTTTTATATTTTGTTGAATTTTAAGACTGACCACTATAAATAAATAAATAAACTAAACTAAAACTAAACTAAACTATCAGGCATAATGGTACCGTGAGATTACTTGGTGCTACATGGAACTACATGTATTATAGAGTTGGATCAGGTTTCGGTTCAGGTCTCTGGTTTGGCCTTTTGAGTATGGTCAGGTCTGGTAACAGGTCATATACTTATAATGGTGGGTCTCATAGATTGATGGCAATATATCAAGTTCTTTTGTTTTTTATTATTAACTATTGCTAGGGGAAATCTGACTCAGGTCATGGTGATATGACGGATTGACACGAACTGTGAGGAAAACAAGCACGGTTAACCGACCTGGCCCAGACCTGACCCTTCTCAAATGTATCTAGCACTGGGTATTATGGTCCGCTCAGTGTAGAGCCAAGACATGTACATGTATATTTGAATTATTTTGTTTTTCAGCTGAGACTTTTTGGTGATAAAGAACGTGAAAGCCATCTGCAGGAATGGCAGGAGCTCCAGAAAACAGTAGAGGTCGATCATAGCAAGCTGCCTCAGAGTAAGAATCCAAAAGTTATCATTATCAAAAGATACCACAACATATAACACCTCCCTCAATTTTTAGTTGATCAAATACTGACATGTTGGCCTATGTGTATATTGATTATGGATTTGGATCTTGAAGAATACCTTCATGTAACGTCTTAACAATGATAGAATTAAACAAATATTCCATTTTTATGTTACCACATATTGTTCTAATTATTATGCTTTTTGTGGATGATGGTTGATGTTCAGCATCTGTAACAAATGGCAGGTGGTGTCATTTTGCATGTTAATGCCTTGTATGGTCATGCACCCATTGTTGCCCTCTATAGAATGAAATATTTTTTGTTTATTTCAGTATTTAAAAGTATAATATATGAACCAAAATCTTTGTTTTAAAATAAGAATCGTGCTAAAACCAAGATTCACGAATGTAATGTAAATGAGTGCTGATATGTAATAACCACTAAAACCAAAACTCAATGAAATGTGCATGAGCTTGTATGAATTATTACTGAAATTCAGTTTGAGAGTATGGGCATGTGTTTGAGCTTATCAGATCTTACTAAAAGCATGTTTTGTATTACAGCACCAAGCATGCGTCGTAGAGCTGAACCAGTAGCGACCTCTAGTGTCCAAGAACAATCCCAGACTCCCATTGCACGCAAAGACATCACCCTAAAAAATTCAGAATCTCTGAAGACCCCCAAGCAACCTACCAGGAAGTGTGAAACCCTGAAAACGCATGGTTGTTGCGAGAATATGCCAGAACCTAACCCTGTAAGGAATGTGAATGTTAAAGTTAAAACCCTGCAAACGCTGCGTGCTGAATCCATGATTCAAAAAGATCCACATGATAAGTTTAAAATGCCGATTAAAGCAGGTACAAAAGGGAGAGGACGGTTGGGGACACTCACGAAAAAAGAGAGAATGCATCATAATATCCCACATATGTTCACAACTGGATTAAACACCAGGGCACGCCGCTGTGCAGCGTGTCTAGGCACAGTCCATTTTGTGAAGAACGGCTCGAAATGTACAGGTATGTAAAACAAGTTTGGATTTGTATGCGAGCATTTTAGAAGTCTTGAGAGAAATTCTTAAAAACTATGCAGATCAATAACTTGTACAAAATATGTTTTAATCACACTTTGAAAAAGTGCTATATATCATTGTCTTCTTTTATTTGGTTCAAATAATTTCAAAAATAGTAAACCACTAGGGGAATAACATTATGTTTCGTATGTCTCTCTTCTTGTAGCATGTGGTGTAATTTGCCATCCTAAATGTGCATCCTCTATGCCTGCAACCTGTGGTCTTCCAACGGAATACATGGAACATTTTGAATTGCTCATGGGGCAAGTGGACCGTAAGGGAAGTGGTATTGGAGTTGACGTTGCCATGGTGCAGCAAGGTTGGATCAAAGTGCCAAAGTAAGTACAATAAAGATAGTGAAACACCTGTAAGTTTAACACCTTTAAGTAAAACACCTATTATAAGTTAAACACCTGTAAGTAAAACACCTATTTTTAAGTTAAACACCTAAAAATCTGCTTTTCTACTTAATATGTTTTACTGTTTTACATCTCAGACCAGGATTTGATTGTATGTAACCCTTAATTTTAGGTGTCACAGTGTTTGCACCTTTTGACATATTTATTATAATTTTCAAGGGCTGGAAACCATGGTTGGGAGAAGAAATGGGCTGTTCTTGAAGACAGTGAACTTTGTATATATCAGAATGACAACACAAGTCAACCTGAAGAGAGGTAAGGAGGATTTGATGAACAGTTATGGAGATCATAAGTATGTGCACACAATCACTGCCTGGTGCTAGAAAATGTTATTGTTTGGTATTTTTTCCAAATACCAAACAATAGAGTGATAGTTTTTGCCAATATGGAAGAAAAGTGTCACAATATGGTAAAATTGATTGGAGAACCAGTCCAAATAAATCTTTGTCCAGTGTATGATAATGCTAAATATAGGATGCTGTCCAATGTTGGTTTATCTTTCACTTGAATATTCCAAAAATCAACAATCCTCGCTACACTCCTCCCGATCTGCCATTTGTGTTAAATTGAATTGAATTTTGTTAGGTTTGAGTTGGATCCAGACAATGGTGAAGTGACAGTTCACAGTGGAGTTCCAGCAGCTGAACTGACTAGTACTGCAAGCACTGATCTGCCATTTGTGTTGAGATTGGAATTTAAGCCAGTCACTACCTGCTGGCCTGAAAGGTAACCATTCACGTTATGGCAACAAAGACTCAATATATTAACATTAAGACAAACCAAACCACATACTACCAATTGAATAGGCAGATCAGATGATGCCTCCATTGTTTATATGTACCATTGTATTAATATGTTCCATTGTATGTATGCACCATTGTATTTATATGCACCATTGTAGGAGCATGTACTTGATGGCCCTTGACTTTGCTGATAAACAGAAATGGGTGGCAACCCTAGAAGCAGTTGTGGCACAGAACAGATCAGATGATGCCTCCAAAAATGCAGTGAGTCAATTTTCTTGGTCAATTTTCTTACATTTGGCTATTGTATTGTGTTGTAATTTATATATTATTAATTGTTAGTAATGAAAGTGAATCTGGCTTTATTTTTATTGTAGAAGATCTGACTTTATTTTTATTGTACAAGATCCGACTTTTATTATTGTAGAAGATACATGGCAACATGTTGTTGTCAATGGATGAAGAGATAGGAGACAGGAAATTGGACATTAACTGCACATTGCTGTTAGATCAAAAGGTAGGTGTGGTTCTTAAAGCCCAATAGATACCCAAAGAGGTTTGGCTCCCAGAGTGCAACATCGATATTCTATCCGATATATGGGGATGTTGTGATACAAAATTTGAATTCAAACCACCGCCATTTTGTTCACTTCAACATTTGAATCGTGAATTTTGGTCATATTTCTCAACAAAAATTCCGAAACTCACAAGAAATGATCGAGCTATTGTATTGTATTGTATTTTGTTTACCACCAATGAAGGTGAGCAATACCTCTTGGGTATGTCCCGTATATATACGGTCGTAATTTACGTAATTAACATGGAAGATAGACCCAGAAACCCCTCCTTGAAGGAGCCCTGTGTTCTTTTATGTGCACTTATACATAGACATACAAGTACACACCACAGCCTTTTGTACGAGTTGCGGACCACTCAGTCAAACACCCTGAAGTACTTCACGCAAACAAGTAAATTTAGTCTTGCCTGAACCGGGGATCGAATCCGGGACCTATTGCGCAAGAGGTACCTGCGCTACCACTGAGCTACACGGGTGGTATGAAGCTTCTGAACTGTTTATTTTGAATTTATAGTCGGTTATAATTTCAGAAAATAATGACATTTCAACAGTTTCATTGTTGGAAAATATTGATGGTCGATCCTGGGAGCCAATTATCCTTGATAGATACCAGAATGGAGCAATTAGTGAGCCTCCATAGCAGGGTTCAAAATTCACAGCTGCCTGTCTCCCAATACCAATCACTTTTCTCTAGGCATTCAACTTTGGAAACCAGTTGCCATAAGGTCAATGGACTAGATTGAATACCAATATGTTATATTGTGGCAATCATGTTTGAACTGTTTTTGTGGCTATAAAAGTCAATTGCCAAGTGTAGGAGTCCAGACCTGTGGTCCATAAGGGCTGGCATGGAACAAATAGATTTAAGAAGTTGTTAACATTCTGTAAAAGCTCTAATTGTCCTTTATGCCTAATCTCCATTTACCAATGGTGCGTTATCTTTTCCAGCATTTACTCCTGGGCTGTGAGGAGGGTTTGTTCTCGTTAGATCTGACAGATACAACGTCTCAGTCCTTGGTTGAGGTTGAGGGGATTGGAGCCGTGCATCAGCTGGCTCGTATCGACTCCCATGGTCTCATCTTGATGATATCAGCACGTCACGAAGTTCATCACTGTAAGTATTTGTTAAAGTAGCTGATGTGTAACATCTTTTTGTGTTATTGTTATATGAAACTCAAAGTGAAATTAAAAATAAGTCGTACTCCAGAATGCAACATAAGATAATGAAAAAAAAAACTGTATAAAAATGGACCATAAAAATCATTGCTAAAGATTGTATTTCCTGGTGATGGCACTCAGATTTTTTTGGAACAGAGGTTGAATTTACAACTGATGAAAGGGTTTTACAGAGAGTTAAATCATTATGTTGATTATTATCTTTATTACCTTTTTTGAATTCCAAAGAAATTTCCTTTTCTTAGTGGTTGATGTTTTAATTTTTATTTTTCATGAAAGTGACCAAGATGGCATATACCAAGTTCATAGACAGTTCTACATTATTCTTGGTACTAAAGAAAGAACCATTTGTTTGCATTTAATTAGTACTTTTTCAAATTACAATGTTATTAAAAACTTAGAAATTCAGAGAATGGAATATTGAGATATTTTAACCAAAACAGGTATATTAATGTGGATTAAGGACCCTGTTTTGAAAAATAAAAATAAAGAGATTACTGAACAGTGTATAATACAGTAAAGTGTGTGTATATGTGTATAGGTCCATGTACAACTCAGTTTCCTGCTTTGAAGAAATCGGCCAGTTGTAGCTCTCCCCTCAAGGCTTTATTTTCGAGCCCACGCAAGAGGAAGAAACAAGCCAGCACTGTTAGGCCTTTTGATATGGCAATGCAAAAATCTTACAAATCCTGCTTAGGTGATATAAAATGTAGACAAGAACACAAAGCACAATAATTCACTGTTAAAATGCAGTAAAACTATTTTGCTCTCCCCACCTTGGCAAAAGCTGGCTTGTAACAGACCTGATCTGAGAGCTCTTGATTGAATTACAGACCAGTTGCAATGTTATTTTCCTATATGTGCTGAAAACCAAGCTTGTACAGATCAAATATATCTCTAATCTGACATTGGGAGTCAATCATATCTTGATCAATTCTAAATTCTCATCAAGCCAGGGGAAGATCCAATTTATAGAACTGGCTTAAAGTGTTCACATTACAAGGTGTTATAATTACAAAGAAGACTGTTCTACAGATTTTACTGTATTGAAGTTGAATTCTAATGATTGGATGAACATTTAAAGATAGCATCTTTAAAAAATAACTACACGCTAACTGTAGCACTTAAAGTAATTAAGGAATCTTAGAATTTGCATGCATTCTATTTCATACCAAGATAACTTTAACATAATCTTCAAAAACCTTAATGGTCATATATCTGTAAAACCCTTTCATTCAATGTTCGATGCATGTTATTTGTGGCACTGTTAAATAATAGTTATTTCGAAACTTCATTACACATTTTCTGTTGTATATTAGAGCATGTATTTCAATTTTGTATTTGTAATGCCATTTACTAAATAACAGATCATTATGAATAAAACATTTTAGAACAATTTAGGCTCAGAATTACAAAAACAGAAAGTAATTCAGACTAGTGTAAAATTGATTGTTAGTTTGGTTAAAATAGGGTATTTTAAAACTGCAATATTTACACATAAACCAATGGGACAGATTTGAAGAACAAAAAACTAGAGACAATTAGTGAACTGCCATTATTCGGATAATAGTGATCACAAATTAGATTACATTAATAAATATAACAATACAGTTTATATAGATTTAGAAAGACTTTTTAAAAAAGAACATACATGAAGATCATGCTTTGATATTAATGTTCGATATAGGTCATGAGAGACGTCTCTATATGCTGAACATCCAATCTGTAAAATCGCGGGTCCAACAAGCAGGCACTGGACAACAGACATCACTGGAGATCCGCATGGTAGAAGATGTTCGAGGTTGCACGATCTTCAACTATAACATGTTGCATGATGGGTTATATTGTTGCGTCGCAGTGCCGGAGAAAGTAGTGATATTGAAGTATAACTCCACCTTGGCTAAGTTTGTGATACAGCAGGTGAGTGAAGAATTTCAATACCATTCAATTTTTTAATTATTAAATAATAAGTTCAATTACTCATGGGTAAAGAGAGTAGGACCCTATATAGCTTTAAGAGTAGTAAATGCATTTGATCAATTGAGTAATTAATTCAACTTTGCAACTGTTTTAGGGCCATGACTTGTCCTTATTTGAGTAATAAGACCTCATTATAAAGGCAATGTGTTTTAGACTTCATGAAAACAGTTTTTATGATTAACCACTTCATATATGCGAGGTGTTATCATCACTTTAGTTTGGAATAAGTTCCCTACTACAGTCCCACTATACCAATAAATGAACTGATACATCCTCTTAAGAGTATCTAGTTACAACCCGTTTAACAAATTAACTAATGTTAGACTCATAGGAAATGTATAAAGAAAATAGAATCTTATGTCTCGTCTAATTTTGTTAATCTAGAATGTGCCGACGAACCAACCAACAAGCTGCCTCCACTTCAGCCATCATTACATCATCATCGGATCGGACAAGTTCTACAAGCTCGATCTTCTAACGTACCAATTCTCTGAGTTCATTGACTCCAGTAGCGACCCCTCGTTGGCGTTTGCGGCATTCGGGGCTTCACAGTTTAATAGTTTCCCCGTGGCAATTGTTCAGCTTAGTCCAGAAGAGGATGATGAATTTCTATTGTGTTTCCATGGTGAGTGGATAGCTGGTTGCTATGGCAATTTTGATTTATTTTAATGGTGAAGTATTGCTTTGGCAGTTTTGTTAAGTTTTCATGGTGAGAAGGTTTTATTTGAAACTTTAACAGATAGAAATCAGACTAGCCACAATACATGATTGGATTTAGGGCATGTTCTGTTTTTCAGGTGAAATATTTTTCACTGTTTCTCCACTGCTACTGCTAGTATTGTCTCTTTTATGACTAGTAATATCACCACCACAAGTGGTAACATATTGTTATAGTCTCCTATTTTTGTGGATAATGTCCGGCTGTCAGTTTCTGTAACAAATGGTAGATGATGCCATTTTGCATGTTAATGCCTTGTTCATCGCATATACAGTTACAGCATACAATGCTTTATGTAATTTTGTGTCCCTTATTTCCAGAATTTGGTGTATTCGTTGACAGAGATGGTAAAAGGTCGCGGCAACATGATTTAAAGTGGAATGGACTGCCATTGGCTGTAGGTTACAATGACCCCTACTTATATGTGACCCACTTTAACAGGCTACAAGTGTTTGATATAGCAGATAACCCAGACGATATCAGGTTGGCATTGTAGTCTCCCCTCTTACCACTTGGGATATGTTATAAATTGAAGTTATTCAGGATTTTAAATCCAAAAATGGGGGAAAATGTTTAAATTCTCCCAAATGATAAAAATGGTAACCATAAAAATAGAACAATTTACATTATTGTAAAAATTTTGAAGTTTTCCTTGAATAAAATATACAGTTTGGGTATTTTTGGAAAATGGAGCCAAGAATATTTCAAAATTGAAATAATTTCTTGTTCAGCTTCCTCGCTAGATCTGATTCTCTCTTTAATCTTGCCTTTATGTTTTTTGATATACATTGTTCCAGCGAGCAGACAAACCTGGATCTGGTCTGCCCGAGATACGTTGGGAAAGCTAAGATAGATGGAGCTGTCTACATCACGAGTAGCAAGGGATGCAAGACACAACTCTACTGTTTCCTTGGTAACATGTTTGATGCAGTTAAAGAGAATATCCCAGTTAAGAAAGTAAAGAAAAGGTGAGGACAATGCTATGGATTATTAATTTGTTTTGATACATAGGATTTATAGGGGTTGCTTTCTCAAATATTAATTTTTGCTTTTTTATGATTGTTTCATGGTTGATTTCTTGAATGTAAATAAATGATAATTGCTTTATGAAATTTGATTTATTTATTAATGTTGTGGAAATCTCTGACCTACTTCTTAATTGTAAACAAACTTATTTTTTATCTTTATTCTCTTCATAAATCAAATGTCACCAATTTTTTTCAAATGAATATGTTTGGAAGATATCAAGTCAGCTTGTCGAATTAAGAGTTCAATATGAGTTTGGTTTTGAAAATAATTACAATATCTGCCCCAATAATCGACTCAATACCTGGAATAGAACTGGGAATCCAGTTTGACCCAGCCCTAAAAGAATTGATATTAGATATCTTTCATGAATTTCTTAATCGTACCCGACATTGTTTGCATTACTGCTATGCTTGGCTTTGTAGCGTGCAGTTTAGTATGAATAATAGTAGCTCTAAGGGAAGGTATGATATAAAATAGTACAGTTGCTTTGGAAAGAGGAGGTAATACCCAGAATGCATAGATGAAGATGAAACAAGACAAACCTCAAGAGGTTCTTCTATGAATTCTGGGTGATTTCTCTTTTTAGCCTTGGGGGTACTTCTTAAATTATGTGACTGTTGTAAAAACAAAGACATTTATTATAACATGATAAATGATAGGATAATAAAATCAGCTAATGGGTTTGTAATTGAGGTTTATAATGGAGTGCATTTTTATTCCAAAGGAATGGTATCAATATGATAAATGGCGGGATAATAAAAACAGCCAATGGGTCAGAGATTTATAATGGAGTGTGTATGTTTTTTCAAAAAATTGATTCCTGAAAATAGCTGTTTTTATGTCACCACCATTTCAGGATTTGACATCTGTAGCAATCATCACATTTTTGTATCTGTACACAGGTGGTTACATTTTATCATGATCATAATACTCATGTTTCTGTTTAGATTATCATATTAGGATTGAAACAAATACCTCGATTCTATGATTTATGGCACTTACATTTACAATTTGTATATCACATCCAATCTTGTTACAACCAAAATATGTTTGTCTCAGTCAATGTTGTATGCTGCGCTGTAAATCATAGAATCTTGGTATAACCTTATTGTTTTCAAAAATTGATTGTTTCTTTCATTATTTCTTTGCTTGACTTTGTAGCGTACATTTTAGTCCTAGTAATAGTACAAATAGTCCAGGTGTAATCTTGAAGCAAGGTATGATGTCACACAAGATGACAAGTCTTCTGCACAAAAAATAGATATTCTTTCACAAAACTTTGGTAGGGTTTAACCCAGGGGAAATATCTATATCTCCCCATTTGGGCTAATATGTTACTTTGACTATTTTTTTTAATATTCTCCGGTATCTTTTTCTTATCTCACTTCAAAACTTCTGGTTTAGGCTTTTGTATGTTTTGGGAATAATGGTATTAATGTCATCTAAAACCAAGTTCTTGAAAACTGAATTAATATGGCAACTGGGTATACTTTAGTAATCTTCAAATCTAATCAATTTGTAAATCAAGAGACATCGAGAGATTTTAAAAGGGAGCTTTTGACCACTGATTTCCTGTTAAACACTTGTACCAGAGGGTCTTATCAGTAGTTTTTTTTTAACTTAACTCGATTCAAAATATTGTTTTGAGCTTGACATGTGTTAATAGCTGTACAATAATAATACATTGGGTTTTCTTGGTTTATTTTAACTCCATTCAGCCACAACTTGTGACATAATGCTTTCACCAATCTTGTGAATATATTCTAGCTTCTTTGCTCTAGCAAAAGGTGACACTTGATTCATTAAAAATGTCTATTGGGCATCATCACTTACTGATTGTCTAGTTTAAATCCCAAGCTTATGAGCAGAAATAGTATGTACTTAAAATCTAAGTGAGTGTCCAGGGGTGCCATTAGAAGTGCTGAGAACAGGCAAAATAAATGAAAACAAAAGAAATCATTTTAACATGGAGACAGTTTTGGTTGCAAAATTCTTCTAAACAACAAAGATTTTGGTAAAGAACATCTGGGGAAAAGGAAAATTGCCTTTTGCTTGCCACTAATGAAACCCCTCCTGTGGCACATTTCTATGTTTTGGTTTATAATTAAGCAGTGATCTCCCCAGGATTTTTCCTCGGGTGGTTGCAAAATTCTCATTTTCACAATTCAGACCACCAAAATTGGTCAAAATATGCCATTTTTCATATTTTTCTCATTTTCAAGTGGGTGCAAATGGATTTTCAGGTGGGTGCAAGCTTATTATCAAAATTTCAGGTGGCTGATGTGCCCACTTGCTTTAATGCTGGGGAGATCACTGTTAAGCATTCTTGACCCAATCTGTATACTGTATAATAATGTACATACATTCACTTGCTACATTTTACTTTCAGTCCAACTAAACGGAAATCCAACGAAACCACCCAGGAGAAAGGATTCATTAGCCCCACAAAAAACCAACTCCACATCCGATCGTTGAGTGGGTCACCCAGTAAATCTAAGCTGAAAAAACAGACCCGTAATGTACCCGTAAAATCAAGCTTCAGTTCTGTGACATCCGATGACTCCTTGACATCATTCGCAAGCACAGACACGGACTCTTCGCAATATGTCATGAAACGTGCCGTGATTACTAACACTGTTACGGTTCATCGGAGTCCCATGAAGAAGAAAGCAAAATTCCTGGAATCTGACATATAAGGAATTGCATTTTCATTCTGAACGATTAATTATTAACTCTTAATAATTTGTGATCCTAAATAAGCTAGGTGTGTTTACTCATAAAATGTATTTACTAGGGATACTATTAAAATACACAACACTAGTGAAATGTACTTACTAGAAATGATTCACTGTACTAGAAATAATTTACTGGGGAAAAGTATTCACTCAGATGAGGTTTTCACAAAATATAGGTGTTCCCTAACTTATCTCTAGGCACTAGTGCTCCACTGATATTATGAGAATGTGAAATAATGTAGAAATTAGAATTACACAATGCAATCTACTATTAATGTATTCACTGTAAACACTAGGTGGATGGAAATATGGACAGATCACATCTCCAATCTATGTCCACTTAGTACCTATGGTTTTAAAATGGGAATGTGTTAAAACATTTTTAACTCGATCTTTGTGCTTAAATTTAGTGTCTAGTATAATGTCAATTGTTCTAAAATCCAAGACCTCATTATACTGTGGGTTTGCTAAATGAGACTGCTCAATGCAGGTCCTAAAATTCTCAGTGTGATGTGTTTTGGTTAGGACTCATGCTTATATGCTATTTGTGTTGTGTCTCTTAAGCTATAAAGGATTAGATTGACTTAATGTGTATTATTATGTGCATTTGGGCAGATTTACAACAGAATCAGTCCTTACTTAGATTTGCTCAGAAACATTAATGAATAACTATATTCCTTACTGTACCAGGTTGATCATAAGTTCCTAGAAAAATTAATTAATTGAAATGACTTTCTCAGAACTTATTGATCAACCTGTTATATATTATGTAGACTGCATAGATGAAATGATCTTACTGTTGCTTTCATATACTAGTATGTATATCTGTTTTTCTGTGTTTTGTGTATATAAATAATATTATATTAGATAGAGAATCGATTGGTTGGCTGTGATGCAATGACTAATGCTGTGGTCATATTTGCTCCGATCTTCAAGACTGGTGACTGACCAATGATTATTTTGTGCAAAACTGAATGCAATTTTGAACAAAATTCGGAGCAAATGTGACCATGGCATTAGATATGAATGTTTGTTGTAATAAATGACTACACATGCACCACACACACACAAGTACATTGTACTGTGCCCATAATTGTAGAGCTCACTTGTCAAAAATGAGTGCTCGCTTAAAGAAATAGGTGCTCACTTGATGAAAACTAGTGCTCACTTGATGAAAATAAGTGCTCACTTGATGAAAACTAGTGCTCACTTGATGAAAACTAGTGCTCACTTGATGAAAACAAGTGCTCACTTGATGAAAATAAGTGCTCACTTGATGAAACCTAGTGCTTACTTGGTGAAAACTAGTGCTTACTTGATGAAAACTAGTGCTCACTTGATAAAAATTAGTACAGTGCTCACTTGTTGTAAAATTGGAGCTCACTCGAAAATGTTGGTCCTAAATATTTTACTTAAAAGCATGGAGTAACCATTATATTGTTGAATCAGATATCGGAGAAAATGGATGAGTTTTCTGAAACTAATAATCATATGAAAATGTTATGATTAAAATGCCATATCTGTATATGCAGAGGATAAATATTTATTGAAATTGAATTGTAAATAATACAGCAGATGGCATGCTAAGTATGCTATCAATACCTAAATGAAGATATTGAATTGTGTGGTACATAACATCTTAGTCTATTCATTCTTGGTGTAAAAATGTTCAAAATATATGCAAATGCCTGTAAAGTGTGCTTAGGGAATGGAAATTGTTGTTTAAAATATGTACACATATCTAGACTGTCTATATTAATAAACTAAAATATAATATATAATACATATTCTGTTGAAATTATACTATGAACTTAAAAGGAAGTTATCTTAATGGATTCGACACAACATGCACGATGCAGCTCCAAGGTTGAGTCATCAAAATTCAATTGACTGTTCTAAAAAGCTTGTTTTTCAGTCAGCATTGAAAAAATTTAGAGTTTGACAAATGTCTCAGGCAATCATTTATATAATTTTGAATCAATAATATTTTTAATTGTTGTACTAATGGAATTGCAATTCACAGCGGGCGAATTGCTGTTCTGACGCATCAAATTGGTTCATGCTTTTCATTCCTGAGCTCACCGATAGATGTCTCGCGCTATAAATATATATTATATGACGTCAAATATATATTATATGACGTCATATATTATTATACTTATATGACGGGAATGACGTCATACTATATTTTCGTCCAGTGTATAATGAAATAGCGCACCTAGCGGATGGCGCGTAGTTTAAAATTCTCGCCCGCTGTGATTGTTCAACATGAAACAATAATTTTTCCAGAGACTATAACTATTCCTTAAGAAACTATAAACTGTTTCACATGAAACTACAATTTTTCCACATGAAACTACAATTGTTCCATATGAAAATACAATTGTTCCACATAAAACTACAATTGTTCCACATGAAACTATAATATTATTGCACATGAAACTGCAATTGTTCAACATGAAACTACAATTGTTCCACATCTACAGTTTCTGCACTTTCAGTTTCTTCAGCTATGTAAACACCATCCTCAGCTGACTCCTCTATATCTTCACTATTTACATAGGAATCATCATTTACATCTTCCAATGCATCGTCAACCTCATTTACAACATGTTTGTGTGTCTTGGCTTTAGCAGGGTTAAGCTTCCAGTAAATATCAACTTCTTTATTATACTGTTGCGGGGCCCAGATCTTCCATGTTTGGACAGGAAGCTGTGTATCGTCTAAAGTTCGAAATGGTTCATAACCACGGCTTGTGAAAAACTGTACAATGTTTTTTAAATCACATTTACCTTGGACTCGATTCCATTCAACATACCCCATCCATTCTCCTGGCCACTCCATGAATACATAGGCCAGGGAAACTGTATTGAACAACTCGGAAGCTTCCTCAAAAGCTTCACATTCGCAATTCTCAATATCAATCTTCATAACTCCCGCTTTAAAATCAACAACTTCCAAAAGATCGTCCACATATATAGTCTCAACTATTTCATGTTTTTTAATCTTTTCAGGGGAGATCTCATACTGGACTGTCTCTCTCACCTGGGTGCTCCCCATGTTGCTATTCTTATTTTCAATAAATGATATATTTGTGCGTTTGTCATATATTGCATTCAACAGAACCGTGACATAACCTTCTAAGTTATTCATTCGAACTGATTTATGAAGCCGCAGGACATTGTCGTAATATGGCTCCACGGCGATGACCTTTCGCTTTAGTGATGCAGCTGGGATAGTGTGTGTACCTAAATTAGCGCCAAGATCGATGAATCCATATTCTTTGTTAGACCGAAGGATATCCAGAATCTTAAAAATGACATGCTGTTCCCATATTCCACGTTTTGCGAGCCATGCCGATATGACATTGTCGCGATTCATTGTATAGACACAGATAGATGGCGACTCAGTGGTATTCATCAAGATACAAGGAAACCACTCGGAGCACTCGTTTGTGACATCATACACATTACAATGTCTGTGCCCCTTTATTTCCTCAGATGGGGCGTCATCACAATGATACCCCTGTAGCGCCCTCTGGTTTGAAGTTTTTGAAGGCACCTCGGATGTAATCATGACAATCGTGATAATGTTTGATAGAGAGCTTGCAACAAGTATTGCTCCAAGTGTTTTAAGGTGTCTTCTCTCAAACATGCTTTAAGTTTTCAATTATTTTGATATCATACAAGACTTCTTCTATGTAGTTTAAGCACTCTGAATTTCCCTTTTTTGCTCAATTCAAACTTTTTGTTTTTCAATTTTATTCTATTTTACAATGACTGTCATGTTTGATATCCAATCGAAATGCTTCTATTTGATATTCCTTTGTTTCGTAAAAAAAACTGTAATTTGGTTAAAATCCTCTCAAAATTGTATCCATTTCCCATTTACCAAACAAGTTAATTTCAATAATATAATCCTAATAATATAATTGACGAGCTATCAGTACAATAATCACTCCTAGATTTTAAATGAGTACAATAATGAATAAAACTTTTTAAATGATGTGGACATGAGGTACATTCATTACCCTTGCAAAAAATGACAGACTGGAGGTGCTTATTTTAAAGATTTCATGCTACATTTAAATGATTCATGATTTTTTCAAGTTCCATAATTATTGTATCCACTATCATGTCTGTTTACTTTATTCCACCTTGGTAATCTTATACTCATATTTCAAAATTTCCACTCTTAAAACATGAGATGACTTAAAACAAGGCAATATTTTATTCTTGGGAAAATGGTCTATTTTTTACATGTGGCAACTCATTAGGGTGAAAAATATTTAATTTTAAATCTTGACAAATAAACTTGATTAAATGGATTAGGTAGAAAGCTCATTTAAACCTACTACAAACAATTGAAAATGGTTGACTGATATACCCCACGCTCTATATCTTTAGATTAATTCAGACCTGTATTATTTTTGTGAAATGTGGCAGTTTGAAAGCATTTGAATAAATGAAATTCATAGTGTGATCTTGAAAAATTCTATGCCAAGCTGTACGTCCCAAATTGAGAGAAATTAGAAAAAACATATTTTTCAGAAATGAAATACTGAAATGAAATACTACTCCCAGTAATCTTTAGTGCATTAGTAAAAGCTCTCAAAATATCCATGGATTCAAATATTTAATTTTTTAGGTGGGTTACATGAACTGAATACTGTATTCACAATTTCAAAGGCAATTCAAAATTGTTAGCAAATGCCTTGATACATATAAATACTAATTGTATTGACTTTATCCACCTCTTATATAAGAGAGCTACAATTGTACATTGATTGGAAGTAAAACATAAGTTGGAATTTAAACTTATAAAAGTTCCATTCTTACATTGTCTTTATCATACAGTAAAACCTGTCTAAGTGGAACACCTTTGGTACCTCTAAAAGTGTTCCATTAACAGAGATGTTCCACTTATATAGGTTCATTTAACATAAAGTCACTTGGTCTTGGGACTTTGAAGTGTTCTACCAACAAAGGAGGTGTTCTAATTATAGAGGTTCATTTAACATAAAGTCAGTTGGTCCTGGGACTCTGAAAAGTGTTCCATTAACAGAGATGTTCCACTTATATAGGTTCATTTAACATAAAGTCAGTTGGTCTTGGGACTCTGAAGTGTTCCATTAACAGAGGTGTTCCACTTATATAGGTTCATTTAACATAAAGTCAGTTGGTCTTGGGACTCTGAAGTGTTCCATTAACAGAGGTGTTCCACTTATATAGGTTAATTTAACATAGAGTCAGTTGGTCTTGGGACTCTGAAGTGTTCTACCAACAGAGGTGTTCCACTTATATAGGTTCATTTAACATTAAGTCAGTTGGTCTTGGGACTCTGAAGTGTTCTACCAACAGAGGATGTGTTCTAATTATAGAGGTTTTACTGTACAAATGTCTTTTTTACATTTCTGTGGGAGTCAATGAGAAATTACAAAATTCAGATTAAGAGTGTTCAAAATGAGAAATGTTCAGAGTGGGAGTTGTTCATAGTGAGAGGTGTTCACATTGAGAGGTGTTCATAGTGAGAGGTGTTCACATTGAGAGGTGTTCACAGTGGGAGGTGTTCAAAGTGAGAGGTGTTCATAGTGAGAGGTGTTCACAGTGAGAGGTGTTTACAGTGGGAGGTGTTCACAGTGAGAGGTGTTCAGAGTGGGAGTTGTTCACAGTGAGAGGTGTTCACAGTGAGAGGTGTTCAGAGTGGGAGGTGTTCAGAGTGGGAGTTGTTCACAGTGAGAGGTGTTCAGAGTGGGAGTTGTTCACAGTGAGAGGTGTTCACAGTGAGAGGTGTTCACAGTGAGAGGTGTTCACAGTGAGAGGTGTTTACAGTGGGAGGTGTTCACAGTGAGAGGTGTTCACAGTGAGAGGTGTTCACAGTGAGAGGTGTTCACAGTGGGAGTTGTTCACAGTGAGAGGTGTTCACAGTGAGAGGTGTTCACAGTGGGAGGTGTTCAAAGTGAGAGGTGTTCACAGTGGGAGGTGTTCAAATTAGAGAATTGTACAGATATACAGGTTTTACTGTAATGGGGCCTAACATATTCAATTCCACCAAAAGATCACAGAAAAGAAGTTATATCATTATATGTTTTATTGAACAAGAGTTCATGTCCAGTGCAGGCCGATAACTTGGAGGGGGGTTGAAGGTTTAGAGTGAGACCCCTCTGACCTAAAATTCTTTCAAAATCATACAGTTTTTCACAATTTTTAGCACTTTTCAAGTGATTTTGGTCATTTCTGGGTCAAAGTTGTCAAAAGTGAACCACCCTGGAATTTTTCATGATGTGAACCCCCGTCCCGTCCCCTTGGTAACTGGCCTGCAGTGTCTGTTCATCATGAGTAAAATGCAGTGTTTATCATGGAAAATGCCTTTCTTGCTTATCTATAACATGATAATCTTGGATATATATCACTTAATCAAGGCACACTTATATCAATAATGAATATTCATTTATTTCATTATAAAAATTTTAAAGGATTCAATTTTTGTCAAACTTTTTTTGGAATAAATCACTTTTTCCAGAGTGTCCTATGCTCTAGCTTGCTTACGAAGGAAGTATCTCTGTCGGGCGGCCTCTATCTCCGCATCTGTGGTCTTCCTTGCATATTTCTCCCTCATGGTCATAGGCTTTTTGGGCTTGGGCTGAGTATTCTCCTTATTTTGGATGGATTCGATAACCTTAGGAGATTCATCACCATTGGAGTCACTGCCATGTTCACTTTTCGTAGTTGAGATTTTATTTTCATTGTTTTTATGTTTCTTTAATGATTTCGATTGTTTTCGGTGTTTTGATTTATCAGAGTCATCGTCACTATCAGATTCACTACTTGATGGTTTCCGTTTGTTTTTCCTTTTACGCACTCCATTTTTTATATTATGAGGGTCTTTATCATTGGTCTCTTCTTTGGCTTCATTGTCACTTTCGCTGTCATCCTTATCAAGGTCTTCCATTTCTTTTCTTGTGATGTCACCTTGATTTGTGTCATCGTCACTGTCACTCTGTTTGTCTCCAATACTGTTTGTGCTGCTATGACGACGGGATCTGTACTTGCGCTTTTCACCATCACGTTTGTCAAGTCTTCTATTAGAAAACATTGCATCTCTGGAACAGAAAAATGAATTAAACTTACATTTTCTAATTAGAAAAACTGCAACTCCACTAATAAAGGTTCTATGCCCATAAGACATTAGCCTATGCCCATAAGACATTAGCCTATGTCCATAAGACATAAGCCTATGCCCATAAGACATTAGCCTATGCCCATAAGACATTAGCCTATGCCCATAATACATTAGCCTATGCCCATAAGACATTAGCCTATGCCCATAAGACATTAGCCTATGCCCATAAGACATTAGCCTATGCCCATAAGACATTAGCCTATAAAATAAATTTGAACAAAATCTAACATAAGACATTTGAGTTATCATCATCAAATTTCATACAAAAAATGGCAGCCATTTTGAAATCATTTCCAAAGTTCACTGGAAATCATCACTATGACGTATGGACTATGGTGGAATATGATGTATGCTGTAAAAGGGTGTACATATAATTGTATTGTCTATCTTTGTTCATAGTCCATCAACAAAAATATTCCATTCAATTTTTTGAGAGTAGTGCAGCACATGGGAGCAAAACATCTTCAAAAACAATTCATTGTCTTAATACCTTTGTTTCTCTGGCTTCTCTACAGTTTCTGTTCCTTCATCTTCATTGTCATCTATTTTCTCCTTCTTAATAGGTGGGTCATCATCAATTTTCTCTTTCTTGATTGTTGGTTCGTCATCAGTGGTGGTACGATAGAGATTGTGATAAAAGGCATTCAGGTTTCCTTGCCTTGTCACATCGAGGATATCTGTCAATACGAGTAAAATATTAAACAGGATATCGAAATATAATTGAGTATAAAATGTGTGAGTGCAAAATAACCAAGCATTAACTGAGTAAGAAAATAGTTCAGTTTAACAAGATATTCCTAATTAAACAATATATAACAAGGCATTTACGTGCAAAATGTCACCACCTGCCATTTGTTACAGATGCTGAACACTGTAACACTATAACAATATCAGTCATGATCAGTGGTGACATAAAAATCAGTTTAAAAAGAGAGAGCAAAATGTAGAAGTCATTCTGAAGAATGAATCCATTTGGCCTTGGGATGAGAACACTAATATGTTAAATGTTCAGTGATTATGTCAATTATATCGAAAAAATGTTGATATTTGACACAATTGATTACCTTCCATCTGCGCCTCTTGTCGTTCTTTTTCCTCAGCCGCAGCTATCTCTTCCATTTTCTTCTTGTATGCTGATGTCACAAATGATTCTTTATCTGCAAATTTGTCACCCTCTTCCTCACGCTCCTTTTGCACGGTTCGTTCTACACGACGTTCATATTCTTTCTTACGTAACTCTGCAGATTTTAGGAGGTTGTGGATGTATTTTGGCTGAAATATTGAAAATATTGCTTGACGTTCCGTTTATTTTATGTCTTTTCATCCAGTGTAATAATGTGATCATGTGACTTGGTCACGACATTCTTTCTTACACAACTCTTTTAGGAGGATTTTAGGAGGTTGTGGATGTATTTTGGCTGGAATATTGAAAACGCATTGATTGTGTTCCATTTAGTTTATGATATGTCTTTTCATCCAGTGTAATTATGTGATCATGTGACTTTGTCACAACATTTGGCAAACTGTTGACAGAGAGATGAATGAATGATTAAAAAAAACACAAAAAACTTAACATATACCCAATAGCTTTAAAGGATTTATGTTCAAATGTTAAAATTTGTTTAAGAAGGATGTTCACTTTGCTAGGGGAGAGTCAGGGGTAGGGTTAACCAAGGGATTTTTGTTCAAAATCAAAATATTTCTTTGGTTAACCCCACATTTTAGAAAATCTAGATAGGTAGCTGTCAGTTTATAATAATGGAATGTTTGCTCGAGGTACTGGGAACGTGATGACCATATTGGCTGGTTAGGAAACACGACAAAATGTTCACACAACCAAATAAAATACTCTAAGCGTTTCCTCTGATAGTTCATATGATGATTTCATTTTATTATTGTGAAGAATGTAAATTATAAAATAGGATTTATTTGTACTGATGCCCTATTCAGGCCAAAACGTACATCCAACAATAAAATAAACATTTCACTTGATTATGGAATAAAACAAGTGAAAGGCTAATTAACATTTTTTGTTGGGTTGTTAAGTCATGATAAAATGAACTTTTTTCCACTTTAACATTTTCAGAGATATCCGCTAGTCCCCACTCCCACTTATATTCATTTCGTAAGTATATTTTGACATACCTTGTTATCATCACTGGTTTTCTTCAGTCCAACCTTGGCTTGTTTCTTAGCTTGCATGTCATCATATAAGCTGTCATATTCATAAACACTCGCATCCTCATTCAGAGCTTTCTCTATGGCCAACTTTGTCTACAAATAATATAATCAAAACAATAGATTATAACAAGGCATTAAGATACAAAATGTCACCACCACTTTTTACAGATGCTGAACACCAATTGCCGAATGCCAAACAACAAACGACAAACACCATCTTCTGGCGGTGACACAAAAAGCATATTAATTATGTTTGTTTAATCTTGGGGGATCCAATCTTGGTTCCAAAATTGTTATTTCTTATTTTGAATCACCCAAGCCCACAGGTCAAAATTCAACCAGTAGTTCTAAATTTTCTCTTACGTGGTGTGTGTAGTGTGCACAAGGATTACTTGAATGATATCCATTGTGAGACAAGTGGCTATTACTGTAAATCAAAGGAGGATTAGCTCCCAGAATGCAATATCGATATTCTTGCGAGTGTTGCTCTTATTTCCAAACTAAACAATTCAAAACACGTAAGAAGTGATCAAGATATTAATTCAAATCTTTTGGATCGCTGAATATGAATTTAGAGTCAGTTATAATAACAGAAAATAAGGACATTTCAATGTTGTCATCGATCAAGGTCAAGGTCGAATATTGAGTTGAGACCCTGGGAATGTTGTATATGGGCTATTAACAAAGTGACTATAATTCTGTCAAATAATGTCATACAAGGTTAAACTTCCCATAGTAATGTGAGAATTAAAACTTTCTAATGGTATATGATATATGATTCATAAAATGGTATATGATACATTGTGTCCATAAGTAGATTCTGCCGTAAGGTTATTGATGTTTTGGGTGTCTTGAATTGAATTTAAGACATTCAGCGATTAAACTAAAAGTGATTGATAAGCCCAGATGGGCTGGGTTCATTTATTTAAAATTACCACTTTAAAGAATTTGCCCAACTGTTTTTATCTTATATTGACTTACAGTTTTTTTTACTTTAGCTTTGGCGGCCTCGTCCAAGAGTTTCTTGTTAAGTTCCTTGGTGGCATCCTAAAAGAGAAAATACACATAAGACAACATTTTCTCATATGACTAGCCAAGATACAGCCATCTTTACCCAATGCAAGATATTGATTTCAATTAATTTTTCCTTTTTCCTTTTCATTTATATAGCCTGTCAGGGCTTTCACCAGGAAATTTTTAGGGTGTGGCGCTAACATCTTCAGAATAATTGTTCGATCGTGATAAATCGTATTTATGTTGTGTTTTTTCCTTTTTGCATGCTATTATTGTAGATTCAGTCAAGTTTAGACTGTGGAAACAGTCATGATTTGCCAAAAGGGTGTGGAGTGAGCTAAATAGAGTGTGGTGCTGCACCACAGTCTAAAAGCCTGGTGAGAGCCCTGCCTGTTGTGAGAAATTCTTCTGAGACCCCTGCATTATGAATCCTAAGCCAATCGCTAATATTATATAAACGTACCTCTTCATCACTGTCATCTCCAAATACGGAAGGTTTCTTCACTAGCAAGGCTTTAGCAGCCGCCTTCTTATTCAGCTGGAGCCCATACCTGAAGATATAGAGAGCAATTACAATTTTTGCCATTTACTAGTGGGGGACAAGAAGGAAGAATCACCTGCCGCCTTCTTATTCAGCTGGAGCCCATACCTGAAGATATAGAGAGCAATTACAATTTTTGCCATTTACTAGTGGGGGACGAGAAGGAAGAATCACCTGCCGCCTTCTTATTCAGCTGGAGCCCATACTTGAAGATATAGAGAGCAATTACAATTTTTGCCATTTACTAGGGGTGGACGAGAATTAAGGAAGAATCACCTAGCTGCCTTCTTATTCAGCTGGAGCCCATACCTGAAGATATAAAAGAGCAATGCATCATTCGGTCATATTACAATTTGTGCCAGCTACTGAACTGGTGGAGTAGTATGAATCACCCAGCTACCAGGTACTAGACTTCTTTCTGATGTCTGGGATTTTGTGTGATAAGGGTACCATATCAGCCCCTTTAAATGTCTGAAACAAAAATGGTGGTCACGAAAAGGAAAATAGATTGCTTTTCAAATCAGTTTTTTTTATTTCTAAATTTTACTTGTAGATCACTTGTAGATCATTTAAACCAATATTTTGGGCTTTTTTCTGAAAAATAAAAAATATTCTGTTCAGTGATCTTTCCGAAAGGTTAACTTTTAATATTTTTCAGTCACAATTTCAGTGGCTGAAAAAGCTTTTCATGATGTTTAGGGGAGACCATAACTATTGCAACCGTGTATCAATAAATAAGCTTTGCTTTACATTCATAGAAATTTATATGCCTTTCTTATGTTTAATTATTGGCTGAGCATAGTGCGATGCTGTCATCTATATTTATGCCATTCAGATGACATATTTTTCAAGTGCTGCCATCTTTTGAACTTTGTAAAAGATAACTTAATCCAACCACTGCAGTAGGCTGCCGTGGACAAGGCTACAACACAGTAGTAACTTGATAGTTACAAGTGAACCCTAGAACATTTTTATGTGATGATCTGACGATTTAATTACCGCTCGTTAAACTACCAACACCAAGTTGGGTTGCCACATTTGTATGGCATTTTAGTATCATGAAAACACATAAAAAATAATCATGTTTAACTACCCTAACTATGTTGTATGTACATGAATAGTTTTAAATTTTACCATATTCTTCCATCAGAAGTCCACCCGTATAGCTCAGCGGTAGCACTTGTACCTCTTACGCAAAAGGTCCCGGATTCGAACCCCGGTTCAGGCAAGACTAAATTTGCTTGTTTGCGTGAAGTACTTCAGGGTGTTTGACTGAGTGGTCCACAACTCATACAAAAGGCTGTGGTGTGTACTTGTATGTCTATGTATAAGTGCACATAAAAGAACACAGGGCTCCTTCAAGGAGGGGTTTCTGGGTCTATCTTCCATGTTAATTACGTAAATTACGACCGTATATATATGGGACATACCCAAGAGGTATTGATCACCTTCATTGGTGGTAAAAAAAAAAAATACAACACAGAAGCATAATAATAAGAAAGGGATTTCTTTTGATTTTTACATTTTTCGTTGACATTTTTCGTAAGGGTTGACAGGGTAGTTGTTACATGTGCGACAGCATGTAATTTTCATAGCTTTTGCAATTCTTTATCTTCCCCACTGTATGTTGACTGCCCTGTCAACCCTCACGCATTAGGCGTGATTCAGTCAAGCATTTGCTGGAAAAATAAAAATCACGCGTCAATTTAGCGTTTACGATCAAATATCACGCAAATCACGCATTTTGTTGAAATTTTTAAAAATCGTTTTTTGTGAAATGCCGATACGGTAAAATCCTGAACGGCGAAAAAAGCGAACGCATTCCGCATACAAAATATGTGTATATATCACGCATTTGTTTCGAAAATATTCACACCTACCCCCCCCCCCCCCCCCCCCCCCGTTGACGGGTTTGGACAGCGAGCGTTAGGGAGCTGGAAAAATTTTAGATGTCCAAAATCTGCCAGTGTTCACTGAAGCTGTCCAAAGTTTGAAGGAAGGTGTTCAACATTTGGAAGTCACTCATGTTAGATGGTCCCAAGTTGACAGCCCTGTGTTGATTACATTTCAGTTGAAGATCGAGCAATCATCCATCAGGTAGCGTAACGATTAAGAAAACATGATCAGCATAAGACCATGTTTACATATAATAAGATAAACTAGACATATTCTATTGAACTGATAAATCACAGTCAGAGAGAATGTTTCTGGAGAAATTCTGGGATTTCAAATACTTGAAGTTGGGAAACCGGAAGGGCTTACCTTTTTTAATTCCCGAATCTCACCGAATCTCTCCGAAATTAGCTCATCTTGGTGACTGTAAATTGCACAGCTGTATTCAATGGAGTCTTGTCATATTCAATCAGCCTCAATTTTAAAGTGTATATTTTATTTTCAACGTGATTTCATCGTTTTTTGTCGACTGGTAAGAATACGCTGGGCAAGTGGCAAGATGGATGACTTTTGACCTGACCTACACCGATGGCGGTGACGTCATCAATTTTATCTAGATACAAATTCTATTTGGTCATGTGACCTTGTGCCAGAAGTCCGACCTTTTGGTCAGTCGACCTGTTCAAAGTACATTTAGTAATAATTATCGCTTTTCAGAACAATTTAGGAAACAATATTTTCTATCTACGTCGATTACAAAGCATCTAAGGTACGTAAATTTATATGAACAACTGAGTCAATAGGGATAAATAGCCCAACGAGAGTCGGCGGTCTTAAAAATACTTGGATCTGGATGCCAGTCCTGGTATAGATATAGTTCCAGGGCAGTTCGAAGAACGTATTAGATGTCCGTGTGATAAATTTGAAAAATAGAAGAGAAAGTAGCCTATAGCCAGCCTATATTATCTTCGATTTCCTGCTTTTTTAGGACGAAACCTCTGATAAAACCTGACGTTTTAAATATAACAATGCTCTCAAATACGACATTTAGGAATAAAATCTATGATAAAGAGTATACCACGGTAAAATTAAGAAATAACTTACTTTTTTGGCTCAGACATTTTTGCTTCGTTTTCACAACCTTGAACCGCCCAATATAGATTTCCTGAGATTAACTAATTTCTGTATTTTTTAGATCTTCTAAACTTTTAACGATTAAAAAGTATGCATCGTTTTAATAAGTATCATTGCAACTAACTAAATGTGTCAATAAATGATTATATGCTACTTTAATCTGGATCAAAAATTTATACAATTTGGGGTCTGTCAAAGTCTATTCGCTCCTTTCCTATACTCTTGACCTACATCAGCTTTTTAAAGTTTAGTTCATTTTTGTGGAAAACCTCCGATTACTCAGCAGTGCTGTTGGTAAATCATGGTACAAGCACACCGAGATCTGTCGGGTTCATTGGAAAATGCCATACAAGTTTTAGATCAGCAAAATGTTGGTAAGATGGCAATACATATTTTACTTTTTATATCTACTCAAACCCGGAAGTAAATCACAGGCTGAATTAGGCACAACTGGAAAATAACATTTTGGTAAAAAATTGCTATACCTGGACATGTTGTTTTCTGGTACACTATAAAGTATGAAGGCATGTGTTAATTTCATTGTTTTTTCAGGAAAGTATCATTACATTGTCTTCTTTTAGAATATCTAGAGTCCATTTCACTGTTTAATTACGTCAGTAAAAGCTAAAAAATTAGAAATCAAAATATCATTTTGCAGTAATATAAGGAAAAATGTATTCCTATTGTATATGAATGACATTTGTATTACTTCGGTTGAAAGCCTTCTCTATATTCCGGCTTTGAGTACAAAGATTGAGCTGCCTTGGTATTGTAAATATTGTAAATCATTGTGTCACACGCACAGTAAATATGGCATAATAATATGAAATATACCTTTATGTATAGATTTGAGAAACATCAGCACCCATCTCCGTCTGAATCTATTGTTATATTTGATTTCTTTAAGCGAGAATAATTTCAAAGTTTCCTCCATTTATTCACGTCCAGAACCGGAAGCCATTTTTAGCTACAGCGAGTAAATTTCACCATGTGTCAAACTCCGAAAAGAAATTTTGAAATATCTAAATCCAGACAAGCAACGCTTCATCCTAGATATAATTAATATTCTTAAAAATATTTATAAAATTTATTAAAAATGATTTCTAGGTGCGTGTAGCAATTTTAACATACGAAATACGAGTACATACGAAATCAATGAAGTTACATCTAGCTGTAAGCTAGAGACTCAAGTAACATTTGTATATCCTGGATTGCTTCTAGTTTGGCTTATTAAGTGTGTGAACTCTTATATTTGGATTCTTCTCTGCCATGTTATTTTCAATAAGATTAACATGGTCGAAATTCTTCAAATTACAAGAGGGCACAGGCTTATTGCACAAAAAACTAAAAAATCTGAAATATGCAAATGTCATTCATGAACATTATGAATATACTTTTCCATATATTATTGCACAATGGTCTCCCAATTTCTTATTTTTGGTGTTCTACTGACGCAATAAAATAATGAAATGGACTCTAGTTAGAGTTCAATGGGAACTCCAGGAAATTCTGATATTTCACACTTTCTATTTTTCCAAATTTTATTTCAGAGTTTCCAGACAACACAGGAGCTACCATTGACCTGTTTCTAGGTTTACTAAAAGTAGACAGTGTAATGATACCTTCCTGAAAAAAGCAAGGAAATACACACATGCCTTCATACTTAATTTTGTACCAGAAAATAACATGTGCAGGTATAGCAATTTTGTAATGACCCAAGGGCGCCCCAGGTGAAAAACTAATTAACTAACGAGCATAGTGTAACAAGCCAGATAAAGAAATTGAAAGAAAGTGTGCTAAATTCAATGCCCCGTGGCGGAGATAGTGTAACGTCCCTTGATACCAAGTTGCTACTACAGTCCAGCTTAAGCCTTTATAGCTCAGTCAGTAGAGCATCAGACTTCGGATCCAAGGGTCCTAGGTTCGATTCCCACACGGGGCATTGAATTTAGCACACTTTCTTTCAATTTTTTTATCTGGCTTGTTACACTATGCTTGTTAGTTAGTTCATGTAGTTAGGCATTCCCCTGGGGCGCCCTCGGGTCATTACAATTTTTTACCAAAATGTTACTTTCCAGCTGAACCTTAATCATGAATCATAGCTTGTAGGGAAGAGATTAACAATTGTTATCGAGAGGATGAGTTCAGTTCAGACCACAATTCTTGTAATAGTGAGTAATTCATTCTTTAACTTTGTATATTGTTAAGAGTTCTCATCATTCTCTTCCTCTCGTAAAGTGACATCATAAATACATCAATTAAAAAGTTTTAATTCATTTTCAGGGATGACGGTTTCAGTTGTCGTATCTTTGGCAATCATATGTGTCGGTCTGGCTCTTTTCATATACTACCCCAGACGTGTCAGGTCTAATAATGCCAAATCCAGTAACACAGCAGCTTCTAGCGATCAAAATGAAAACAGTTATGGAGCTACACAAGATGAACATAGGACAATGATTCAAGATCCTACAGATGGGAATTGATGTAATTATAGATCATGCTGAGCTCACGAATAGATATTATCTTTGGACATATTTGAAAATACACAATCACAGGTAGATTATAATATTGATAAATATCAAATGAAATAGCCCAGTGATTGCAAAATGTTATGGAGTTGATAGTGAGCTGACTAAAATATTATGTATAATACAGAGCGTCTACAAGAATTAATTAACGGCTAAATAATTCCATAACCTGAGTTCAGAAGCAAGTACAAATTAATTCTCTGGGAATACACATGTAGCTTGCTGAATAGGACAGCTAGATGAATAAGTCCCTAAAAACAACAGGCGATTTTGTGAAAAAGACTGCTGAAAATCGCCTGTTGCCTGCTGCTAATGAAACCCCTGCATTGATGAGCAGCATGAAATGTGGAGACTACCATTCTGATTGGATACTGTCTTTATGGATTAAGTTTGTTAACAATGCATGTGCGTCCAGGCTAAAGGAACAAGAATAAATGAAATGATCATAGGCAAAGGCAGAGTTGACACTAGATCATGAAAAAATATTTTTCATCTATCAATTTATAGATGTCAAGTTTTTAGCAATGCCATAGAAAGATGGCATTGTTGTTACAGACATACACTTTGTAAAAAGTGGTAATTCACTTCTTTTGATCTCTGAACTTGAAATGCTGTTTTCTTTGCGAGTAAATTTTTTTTCACTTCAGTATTGACCCAAATTAAAGTTTTTATCATATTTGATTGACTGTTGACTGTGTGAGTGACATATCTCAAATAATATTTTGTCCTTTTTCCTTCTAAAATAAGCGCATTGCCTGTTTAATAAAGAAAATGAAGATAATAATAGAGAAAAAGATTATACTGGGTTCTGTTGGTGCTGCCATCTTTATATCGTCCCAGAACCTATGGAAATAATCCTCTCAGCAATGAAGAATACTTCTGAATAAATGACTTCCGAATACAAGTAGTTTGAAGCAACCATCTAGGCAAGATGAACATGTTTTGGCAGGAAATTTTCAGATTAACATCAGTCAAAATTCGCTGATCTGCAGACCGCTTTTACTTTTTTATAATTACAATAAAATAAATTGTAGAAGTGATATGTATATGAAACATTGTCTGTCAATTCAGAATTATACACCTGCTGAAAATTTCAACTCAAATGGTTGAGAAATCTTGAAATGGCAGACCAATTTCCAGAACTTAATGATAACCCTGTATATTGGCTGAATAATGATCATACTTTCCTGAGTACAGCTAGCTCAACAGATTATCTCTTTAATATTTAAAGAGTGATGATGGGGCTTTGTTATTTCATTGTTATGTCATATTTTCCAACTTTTTGTGGATGGCAGTTAGTGTTCGGTGTCTGTAACACAGCATTAGTAACATGGTACCTGTAACAAATGATATTTTGGATGTTATTGTCTTATGGGCTTGAGCAAGCTATTGGTAGCACTTTTAGTTCCAAAGAAGTGGATTTTCAAACTTGCTAGAAGAAAACATTTTCCTGAATCATAATTTTACTTAATGTCTTACCTTTCATTTTTTATTGACCCAGAGATAATTTTTTGCATCTATATTCACTGGTGATCCACTCGATTACGCTGGTTACCAAAACGGTTCGTTTTGGTAACAAAATGTCGGAACATCGAAAATACGATTTTCTTGTTTCCTCAATTTACACGTTGTAGGCAGAATTCCCACGACATTATTTAACACAAACGTGTATCAGTATCATATGTTTGAGAAAATGTACATATTTGCGAACAAATAGTTCAGAAGACAACAGAATCGGATCTTAACTGTTTCTCGAAAAACCGTTTATGTAACTTAAGTGAGGAAGTAAATCGACGATTCTGTTGTCTTCTGAGCTATTTTTTCGCAAACATGTACATTTTCTAAAACATATGATACTGATGTACGTTGTGATAAAAAACGTCGTGGGGATTCTGCCTACAACGCGTGAAATAAAGAAAAAAGAAAAATCGTGCCTTCGACGTTCCGACATTTTGTTACCAAAACGGTTCGTTTTGGTAACCAGCGTAATCGAGTGGATCACCAGTGTATATTGGAAAAAAATAGGATGATATTATAAGCCCCAACTTTGGCTCTTCAGAAAAGAACACACACATAATTGCAAAGCGCTACCAATAGCTTGCTCAAGCCCTTATTTTAAAGATATGAAATCAACCAATTGAAAAGCAACTGTGCCACATTTATTCGCTTCACTCCTACTGTACTACTAGATACAGTGATCTCCTCAGCATTAAAGCAAGTGGGCGCAGCACCCACCTGAGATTTTAAAAATAGGCCTGCACCCACCTGAAAATCGCACCCTCCTGAAAATTCATTTGCACCGACTTGAAAATGAGAAAAATCATGAAAAATTCGCATATTTTGGCAATTTTGGTCTGAATTGTGAAAATGAGACGTTTGCACCCACGTGAGAAAAAATCCTGGGGAGATCACTGAGATATATAGCAGTGGCGTAGCCAGCATTTGGTGACCAGAGGGGTTCGATTTTTCATGTTATCCACAAATCT